ATACTATTTGATTGCCTACATATTTTGTTTCATCATTTTTATTCTAGAATTTCATATTCCTATATTAATAGGCAATCAACTTGAATTAATAGAATTAAATTTACTTTTAGCCCACAAAGATAATAAATGTTAAGGTCTGATGTTCAAAGCTTTCTCAAAATACTAAATTGCTTCATAATAATCATTCATCATATATAATTATAATCCTTAGATTTATTATTATTATTATTATTATTATTATACCTTGTCCATAAAATCCTAAGCAAGTTTATTTAAGATTTAATGAATAATTTAAATTAATTAATGCGTCGTTGGTCTTTCATTAATACAATATAATAAGAAATTTGGTCGATAAAAAGATAGACAAATTTCTTTTGATTATTTAATATAATAATACCTTTTCCTGCAAATGCCTCAGCATGGTTAGCATCTATATTTTAAAACTTTATTATAATCATCAATTGCTTCATCATATCTTTCGAGTTAAGTTAGGCAATCTCCTAAATAAAATGAGTTTATATTTTACCTTAAGAAAAGAAATACTCTTTTTTGGATGAGTCTATCTTAATAGCTTTAGAATAGTATTACAAGGCTTCTTTATATTAAAAAGTATCTCTTAAGCATTCACCTTTAGAAATAAAGACAAATAAAACCTATCTAGTACTAAATAGCTGAATTATTTTAATTTATAAAAATGATTTTTCCATAATTCTATATAGCTTGAGAATAAAATTTTTATTCTCTTAAGATGTCACCTAAATTATCAAAAATCATTCATTTATGAAAATATATAACAATAGTAATTAATATTGAGTATTTTTGTCAATTCAATATTTTTAAATTATTATTGAGTGGAAAATATTATAAGAAGGAATTACTTTGCATTATTTTCCATTGATTAAGATTATTAATTTATTAATAAAGAGAAAAATTATGGATTTTAAAATCTCAAAAATCCATTAGTAGAATTCCTCATGTTTAAAATTCAAACTCAAAAATTAGATATTTAGATTTAATTGAGAAATAAACTTAATTCTGAATAATTGATTTTAAAATATTTTAATCAAAATAACTCATTAAAATCATCAATAATTATAATTACTAAAAGTAAATATAAAATGCCGTTTATAATAATTTTTAATTTATTAAATTAATTAAGTTTGATAAGATGAGAACAAATAGAAATTAATATTACTTTCTATATATTAATTATTATATCATATATAAAATAAATTTTAGATGATTCATCTTAGTCAATATAATAAATATTCATTATAAATTTAATGAAAAAGTTACTTTTTACGATTAATATAATCCTTTTTTATAATTCATTCTAAAATAAAGAAATTAAATGTTTAATGTTTTTATAGTAATAATTTTTTATAAAAAAAAGTTAATACTTTAATTATTTGCTTATATATTTAAATTTTTACTCAAATCACTAATAGATACAAACATAACTTTTTTTGCATACAAGAGCAGAGTTTTTTAAATAAATAGAAAATTAATAGTAGGCGCTTCTAGATAAGACCCTTATAATGTTTGTATATATTATTAAAGAGTTGTATTGCAGTATCAAGTTAAATAGCACTTCTATATTCTAAAATCATAATAAATAATTAGGTTCTTATAAACTTTAACAGGGTATTTATATTAGATCCTAATTATTTTATTGTTTATAACTATAGAGATAATCAATATATTATTTTGAAGAGGAAATCATATTGAAAATAATTAAGATTAGGCATATTTGATTATGCTAAAGTCATTGAATTTTGATCTAATGATTCTAAAACATATATAAATGTTTAAATCATTATAATGAATTGTAGGGCTTTTATAATAAAATATCAGAAACACAGACAGGAAACTTATAAATTACAAGAATCAAATCGAATATAAACCTTATCATCCTTATACTTATAATAGCAAAGGAAACAGAGAGAATAGGAGGTAAAATGGAAGCTCTTAAAAATTATTGCAAAACTATTGAATTAGATTTTTTAATTTACAATTAAAGAGATTATTTTCTTTTTAGGTTCTTATAGCAGTTTTGCATTAAGGCTTAGGAAATTAGGATTAAGCCATCATAAAAAAGCCATTTAATCAGATACTAAACATAATAAAAAAGGTAATCAAAGTGTTAAATTAAATAGAATTGTTTTATTAAAATTTTAATTATAATTTATATAAGGAAATCTTTTCTAGAAAATAACTAATATGACTAAGCCATTTAAGATTATCGTCAAACTCATAAATTATAAACAAACAGTTCCTTTAAAAATTCAACTTGAATGAAAGAACTTAACATTCTAATTGATAAAATAACAGATTTAATAAGCCTAAAGAAATTTAGATTCTTTATTATTATAGTACAAAAGTTAATTCATTTTTTTTGGATTACAAATATTAAATTTTAGTTAATAGATGAATAAAACAAAATTCTGATATTTTTGATTCCATCATTTTTATGATATTGAATTCATAAAAAATGATTTGATATTCTTTAAATTTAATTCTTAATTTATTCCTCTTTCAAATATTGTTATTTTAATTATAACAAAATCAATTCTATGTTTTTTTTTGATAATTTAATTTTACTCTTTTCAGACTCAAATATATAATTATCGGATGAATGATAGAGTATATAGAATTAAAATTTTATTATTTATTAATTATAATCTATTTGCTTTTCATCTATAATGAAAAACATTTTAAACTACTGGAATATGAATGAAATCAAAAATACTTATTGTAAAAGATGGTGGATCAACCATGATATATTACTTCGCTCAAATTTAATTCCCTACTACTTGTCTTTATAATTAATTATAGAATTTTCCAATTAATTTATTGCTTTAATCTATTTGATTTATGCATAGTATTTTCAATTCTTAATTACCTAAGAAATATGTAATGAATATAATTACAATTAAAATTTATTATTTTTTCATCATTTTTAGTTTTGGAAATAATTGATTTAAATTATAAATACCTATTGATTTAATACTCCAATTATAATTTTCTATTATTGCTTTCTTTCTTTTTTTGAATCAAGTAATATCCACAAAAATATCTAATTAATCATACACATTACATAAATCTATATTATGATTTAAAAGATAAAGGTTATTAATTCCTTGAAATAACTATTACTATTCCAATTAGAGTAGAATTATACTGAATTGAATAGTTATTGATTAAATACATTAATTAAATGAGTGAATAAATTTTAGAGTAAGTATTAGAACAAAGATTAGGATTTGGAAAGCATTATTGGAGATAATTCTTTATCATAAGTTTCATTGACTTCCTTGATGGTGCTGAGTTTCTATATTTAGCTTTATTAACTCCGGCTTTAAAATAGGAATGGAATTTGTCAATATTAGAACTTTCAATTTTTGGATCGTCATTTACCTTAGGGTTAACGATAGGTTCAATAATTTGTGGATTCTTAGCAGATAAAATGGGAAGGAAGAGTATTTTAATAATAGCAACAGTTTTTCAAGTATTTTATTTTTATTATTGGATACAATAAATAAATCACACATTTATACTTAATAAGAGATTATATAATTTTGTATCTCCTATATAAAGGCTGCAGTCGTTTTTCTTACAGTATTTTCTTAAAACATAATTTAAATGAGCCTGCTTAGACTTATATATGGGACTGTAATAGGTATGAATCTTGCGATTAGTTCAATATTAATGATTGNGAATTCATAAAAAATGATTTGATATTCTTTAAATTTAATTCTTAATTTATTCCTCTTTCAAATATTGTTATTTTAATTATAACAAAATCAATTCTATGTTTTTTTTTGATAATTTAATTTTACTCTTTTCAGACTCAAATATATAATTATCGGATGAATGATAGAGTATATAGAATTAAAATTTTATTATTTATTAATTATAATCTATTTGCTTTTCATCTATAATGAAAAACATTTTAAACTACTGGAATATGAATGAAATCAAAAATACTTATTGTAAAAGATGGTGGATCAACCATGATATATTACTTCGCTCAAATTTAATTCCCTACTACTTGTCTTTATAATTAATTATAGAATTTTCCAATTAATTTATTGCTTTAATCTATTTGATTTATGCATAGTATTTTCAATTCTTAATTACCTAAGAAATATGTAATGAATATAATTACAATTAAAATTTATTATTTTTTCATCATTTTTAGTTTTGGAAATAATTGATTTAAATTATAAATACCTATTGATTTAATACTCCAATTATAATTTTCTATTATTGCTTTCTTTCTTTTTTTGAATCAAGTAATATCCACAAAAATATCTAATTAATCATACACATTACATAAATCTATATTATGATTTAAAAGATAAAGGTTATTAATTCCTTGAAATAACTATTACTATTCCAATTAGAGTAGAATTATACTGAATTGAATAGTTATTGATTAAATACATTAATTAAATGAGTGAATAAATTTTAGAGTAAGTATTAGAACAAAGATTAGGATTTGGAAAGCATTATTGGAGATAATTCTTTATCATAAGTTTCATTGACTTCCTTGATGGTGCTGAGTTTCTATATTTAGCTTTATTAACTCCGGCTTTAAAATAGGAATGGAATTTGTCAATATTAGAACTTTCAATTTTTGGATCGTCATTTACCTTAGGGTTAACGATAGGTTCAATAATTTGTGGATTCTTAGCAGATAAAATGGGAAGGAAGAGTATTTTAATAATAGCAACAGTTTTTCAAGTATTTTATTTTTATTATTGGATACAATAAATAAATCACACATTTATACTTAATAAGAGATTATATAATTTTGTATCTCCTATATAAAGGCTGCAGTCGTTTTTCTTACAGTATTTTCTTAAAACATAATTTAAATGAGCCTGCTTAGACTTATATATGGGACTGTAATAGGTATGAATCTTGCGATTAGTTCAATATTAATGATTGAAGTTACTCCAAAGCTTCATAGAGGAAAAATTATAGTGGCACTTTAAGTACTTATATTGTTGGGAAGATGTTGGATAATGATATTAGGATATATTTTTATGGAAAGTATTTCTTAAGGTAACTGGAGAGCCATCTCTTTATGTAATTGTATACCATGTTTGCTTTGTCTAATTGGGACAATTTTTTGGATTTAAGAATCTCCAAGATTTTTGATTTTAAATGAAGAAATTCAAAAAGGAATAGATAATCTAAATTATATTGGATAATTTAATAATTCAGAATATTAGATGTTAACTGATGATGAAATTTAGAGTATAAAAGAATGGGCATAAATGTAAAAATTGCATCATTAATAATAATAATAATAATAAAATAATTCTATTAAATAACTTTTTAATTAAGAAAATTTAACAATTACATGGAGGAACTATTTGATAAATTTTTTGTTTATGTTTGCAATGATGGCTATCTTTAATATTTTACCATTTATTTTGGATGATGAAAACAAATCATTGTTACATTTATATATTGTAGATATAGGTGAAATCCCAGCTTTATTTGTTATGTTATATAGTATAGATAAATTTGGTAGATTACCTACTTTATTATTTTCTACAACTGTGCTCATTTTAATCCTTTTTTCTATTTGGTATTGGAAATTGTATGTAATCATTATTGGACTCACCATCTTTAAATTTTGCTGCAAGATAAATTGTGGAACATTAAGTGTTTTATTTGCTGAATCATATCATACTTTATATAGATCCTTAGGACTTGGAACAACAAATGCAATGGGAGGATTAGCAGGATCTCTGGCACCATTTTTGATCTTTCCAATCTATTTCTATAATTATTATTTGCCATTTTTAATTTGTAGTGTGATCAGTTTATTCACACTAGTATTATTAATGTTTTATCCTATTGACTTAACCAAAAAGGCATTAGATCAGCTAAAACAAAAATGATTATAAATTATGAACATGATTTTATTTATAATTTAAGTATTTCACTATATTGTTTGGACATCTTTTGTAAATCAAATTTGATTTTTGTTATCAGTGTTTCATCATAGGAAGGTCAAGATAATTCAATATGGAAATGTCTCTATTGCAATAAAACAGAATAGTAAGTAAATTTAGGAGTGGATAAAAAAATTATTAAAAATTTGTTATTGATTATAGATTAGATTTTCAATTATTCTAAAGCAAAGAAGTAATGGTTTTGAATGAAAAGAATTAAATAAATGAACTAATAAAAGTTTACAGATTTCCTTTAATTCTCTTTAAAAGTAATTGAATCATGGTTTAGATTTGTTATACTTAGCTGACCATTCAATCTAGAATATTATTAACCATAGAAATTAAGAAAAAAATAATATAAAGCAATGATTCTAAACTTTTTTATCAAGTCAAGATAGAGAATAATTAAATTTAGATGAAGAGCTTAACTATATACTTATAATAGTTAAGTATTTACTTCTATAAAAATATCAGGAAAACATATGATCAAAAAATATATTATCGATAATTTTTGCATTTAAATTTGGTCTCCATTATCTTAATTTTATTATAAAATCAAAAGTGTACCAATTAATAAATACAGATATATAATCAATTAAACTCTTAATTATAAAATAATAATTCATATGACTAAGATAACATACTTTATGGAGTATCTTTTAATTATTGAAAATTCACTTAAATATCTTAATAATTATTGTTAAAATTTTTTATTTTTAATTTCTTTATATTGGAATTGGAAAAACTGAAAAAATTAGAATAAATTTTGTTTACGATAATTTAGATACAAATGGTTGTAAAATATTTCAATGTATGATTCAATAAGTTAAAGAAATAATTTTCAATGATTATTATTATTAGTCGGGTTTAAATTCTATTTTATCTTTTAGGACTATTGTGTAGAGGTCTGTATCTCTGTACCAATTTTTTCTCTTTATCATGAATTACTATTCAAGAACCTCTTTTAGTGACTTTATATTTTGGAAATTATTAACTGATTGAAATATCCAACTATTCCTTTTTTTTTCTTAAATATTGTTTTATTCGTTGCTTCAAATTTTGGTTACTATTATTCTTATTTCTGAATATTTACATTTTCAACCTTCAGAATCAATTGAAGATTCAATATATGTCTCCTTAATACTAAATATATATATTTATAATATTTACATGCTTCCTAATAACTTTAATTTTGATCCTTCTTAGTTCAGCATTCTTTTTTCTAGATATCCATAATAAGATTTTCAATGATTACTTCTTTTGGGGACTGGAACAAGGAAATTCTGGGTGAGTTTGTTGAATGCTCACTAGAGGAATTAGCTAGCTATTTCTACACTAAACCTCTTACAACTTGATTCTATTATAATTTTGTTGACACATTTTTTGAGTTTCAATATTATATACTACATTAGCCTTTCTAAATGAGGAGAAGTTAATTATTTATTGAATTTATTGGATAGTTAATATATATAATCGAATAACCTCTGATATCATTTAAAAATATCAAAATAGACATAAATTTTTTATATAAAGAGAACATTTTATTTCTCTCAGTATTAAACATAATTAGAAAATTTATAAACAAAAATTAATTGTAAATTTTATTAATTAAATTAATGATATCTAATCAATTATAATTCTTTCTTGATCCAACTAGTTGCTAATAAAGAAATGATCCTAAAGAATACTTTTTCAGTATTGTAGCAAGTAGTTTACTAAAGGAAACTAAATATTATGAAACATCAAATGAGTCCAGAGATAAATTAATTGCAGCAATGAATTAAATAGCAGATATTGATCCTGAATTTATTTTATAAGTTGCTTACTATGTTAGGACTCAAATGTATATCAGAAGTGTGAGTAATTTTATCCTTGCATTTTCTACTCTCCATCCAAAAACAAAACCATTTTGCTCAACATATATGTGTCCTACTATTTTAATACCTGGTGACCTAATCGAAGTTTGTTAATTTGTACAAGTAATTTCCATTTGTGTTAAATCAAATAACAATTTGAATGGATAGATAGATATTAGAAAGAAAATATTTTTCCCAAAAATATTGTAAAAGCAGATCCGAAAGAAGCTTACCCAATTCAATATTTACCAACTTGGTAAACAATGCTCAGATTGTAGTAGAAAGAAGAATATTAAGAAATATTAGGAAATATTGAATCCAGATATTAAAAATAAAAGAAGAGAGAAAAGATTGTTGGTATTAAAATAAATTAGAGAATAATCATAATAATATGGAAAAGATGCATCATAACAATTTGAAATCAGAGCTATCAGAAAAACTTATTAAATTAGATAAAATAGAAGGAATCATATGAGGAATCCTCATGTTGTCAAAATTTAGGAATAGTAAACAGTTTTTGATACAAACTTCTTAAATTTGAAAGACATTGTTTAATTTAGTCATGTCAAAGAACCTAGAAGTTTGGTAATGTCAATTTTAGGAGTTAAATATCCAAAAACTTAAGAAGAATTTTAAAAAGAATTTAAAGGAGAAGAAAAATTATAATTTGAACCTGAAAAAGCAGGTTAAAGAATGTAAATTCCAATTCCAATCACATGGGATAGAGAATTAAGTAAAGGATTAAATTCAAAGAGACATATTTGGGAAGATTTAATTCAAAAAAATTAAATTCCTTATTTAGCCTTGTTGAGAAATTTAAGAAACATATTGAAATCAGGTTTGAGTCAAGAAGCACATTAGAAAGTAGTTGAGAAATTATCAAATCAAAAATAAGTTGAAAATTCAAAAATATTCCCACTTTAATTTTTCACTGCTTTAAATGAAATTGATAAATTGATAACCAATAAAGTCCAGAAAGTAAAAGACTAAGAACCCAAAAAAGAAAGAGCAAAACCATAAAAAAAAGAAAAGTAAATGAAAATTGAAGAAGAAGAAGAAGTACCTGTAGATCCTAAAGTGATATAATCATATAATGATGCTATTGAAAAAGCAATGAAATTAGCTGTTGATAAAAATTTAGATACAATTTCTGGAGTTACTTATGTATTTGTTGATGTAAGTGGATCAATGTAATGTCCAATCAGCGGTGGAAAGAAGTTTGGATCAATTAATTCATGCATGGATTGTGCTTTTGTTTTGGCACATTTAATAAGATTAAAATGTGAAAACTGCAAATTTTATTTGTTTGCAGCTCCCTCTAAAAGCCAAAACCCATACACAATAGTTAATTTTGATAATGATACTTTATTATAAGGTATTAAAAGGTGTTAAAAATAAAGTAAAGAGTTATGTGGATCTTGTGAAATGATTGGATAAACCGTTAATGATGTATTATTAAAGCCAAAAATTAGAGCTGATAATATAGTGATATTAAGTGACATGATGGTAACAAGGGGATTTTCAGAAAATGGAATAACAATGTAATAAGTCTTCAAGGATTATTTAAAAAAAGTGAATTCAGAGGCTAAATTCTTTTTTATGGATATATCTGGTTATGGAAAGTAAGTTAGTTTTGGTGATGATCTCAAAAGTAAAAATTGTTTCCTTATCAATGGAATGAGCGATAATGTTCTAAAATACATTTCTTATGCAGGCAAAATAAATCAACTTGATGATATTGTGGCATATAGTCAAGAGTTGAAATCCAAATAGCAAGTTAAAGAAGTGTAGAAAAATATTGGGATAGCCAAACCTGAGTAAATAGAAACTGAATGATTCTATTTTTATTTCTTAATTTATAACTTGCTATATTGTTTTTTAATTTATATTATTTCTATTAAATTAAATGTTACAAGAAATAAACTTATTTTTATTATAGGAAAATTAAGAATAAAAAAAATAATTGGGAATGTTATGGCAAAAATAATCATTTGATTATCTAAATTATTTCATGAAATTATGATAAATAATTGATTTTGCAAAAGTATGAAACAATTGTATTGATGAATTGTACTAAATTCAAGAAAAGAATTTAAAAATTTTGTAATTACAAAAAAAATTAATCATAAATAAATCATAAATCATAAATCATCATATTATAATTAATTAAACTATTTTATTCCAATATATCTGATTAAATTGAAAAAGAATTTGTAACTAAATCTTATTTCTAATTATTCTTTTAATAAGTTAATTTATTCTTATTAAGTAGATTTATAATTATTATTTTAATATTTTTAATTTTTTTTCTTTTATAAGAAGTTTTGTTTCAGATTGCTCAATAATCTTTCAGTCGGATTTTATTACGGTGAATAAGATTGGTAAGAAGTTCTGTTGCATTATTTTAAGCAAATTAGCCACTTTTTGCTTTTATAGATAGGAGAGTTGTCGAAAATTATTACACACCTACCAACAAAAAATATTAATTTTTAAGTAAATCTATTCAATATATAAATGTAATTATTCTATGTTATTTTACTATTTATCAAATCTTTGACACTTCGTGATTATCAAGGTTTTGTTCATCTAAATAAATTGCTATTATTCTTGTTTTAGTTTGTTAAATATATTTTTGAAAATTTTTGCCTTTAATCAAAGTATTTCATTTTAAATGATTTATCTTTTGTCAAAAAAGTTATTATAATAAAACTTCTAATTAATGCTTTAAATTAAGAGATTCATTTTGTAAAAATGTAAAAATTCATTTAATTAAAATTTTTTATTTACAGTCTTTGAACATTAACTTTAATACTACTGTCCATTTTTATTAATCTAAATATAGTTTACTTTAGTAGTACAGAAATAAAATTATAATTTATTGGGTATTTAGGAGATAATTGATTTTAAAGTTAATTTGAATTATTATGTCTTTGGGTATTTTAAAGAAAGGTATGTTTTAGAAGCAGTTAATTGTTATGAAAATTAAGAGTTTATTTTGATTTATGATAATTTTTAATACATAGTAACATATTAAAAAAAGATATTTTGTATTATTAAAATATTTTATTTTTACCAGCATATTCAAATGAATTAAATTGGTAATAAATATCATTTAATGTGAATTAGTTAAAAACTAATTATATATGTATTTGGACTATATATTTTTGCAATATAATCTAAATAAGATTTTACAATATTAATTTGAATTTTGTCTGAATTTAGTCAAACTTGATTCTAAATTAGGTATAATTATATATTAAATTATTTTTTACATTAAATCTGTTATATCATTTATTGTTTTTAATACTTTATTAAAACAAATTTATTTAAATAAAAATAATAAATTCTATTTATTTATTGTTTGTAGACTTTATTTATAAATTTATTCAAATAATTTTATATGTATATTTAACAATGTATTATTATTATTTTATTGTATACTTTATAATAAATTTATAACATTTTTTATTTTATATCTTAAATATTCAATATTTTCATTTTATTTCTTGTTTGAAAACTTCTAGAATATATAATTCTTTAATTTGTATCAACATCAAATATTTTAATATAATTATTATATATTTGCAGTATTTAATGGGTTTTTTCTTTCTAAATTAAAAATCAGCCCAATTCACATAGGCAAAAAATAAAATAAAAATAACAAAAAATGTTGAACATTTTTTTAATCAAAATAAACTTTCAAATATTAACTTACTTTTTTTTTTGATTGAAGATATTACTTCGATTTATACATTTATTAATTAAAGCCTATTTTAAATTAACTTTGAAGCATATTAATTATTAAGAAAATTAATATTAGAAAATTAAATGTCTTTATTTATGATTTAAATGTAATATATTTTTTCATAAACACTTATATTGATACTCTCTATTTCTTAACTATAAGCTCCCTTCAGATATAGTTCATTTTTCTTGATGAAGCTACTTTTTAGGAAATTAATATTTAATTAAAATGTTCATTTTAGAAAAATAATTTAGAATAGTAAAGAACTTATGCTCTCTTTAATTCAATTAATTTTTATTAAAAACTGAACTATTTATATACAATTATAATTTTTTATCAACCATGTTATATCGAATTGTTTCTACAATTGAGAATTTTATTAGTGTCAATATCAAAATAATAGAAAAGACAATTTTAACTAAAAATAAGATTTAACAGCTGCAATAATAAAGAATTGATTATAGAAAGACTGAAATAGTTGAATGTTGAAAAAAAATAATCTTGTTATGGAATTCTTCTCTTTTTATATTTTATATTTTTTTCATCTTCATTTAATTAACAAATAATATTTAACATCCAATTATAAATTTTAATTTTTCTAATCATATTTTTAATGAAGAACAATTACTAATATTGTTATTTAATTCAAATAACTAATGAAAAATTTTTCAGTATTTTAGGTATACTTAATTTTTTATTTTTAGGGTTTAATTCTGGCCTATGGACAACACAATTTTGAGGAATATTCTTTTAACGAGTAAATTTCATATTTTTTGTAGATTTAATTCTATTCAAATTTTCAAATTCATGTTTGAAATTATAAAGATGATTCAAATATGCTATTATTATTCCTTTTTAGAAATTATGTTTGGGGATAAATTTAATTAATTAAAAGATGATCCAACGTATGCACATTATAAATTTAGTATAATAATTAAGTTAAAATTTAAATCGATTTTTTATAAATTGATATTTCTCAAATTGAATGCATATATTTGATTGCAAAAAATATATGAAAATTTTTGTTTAAATTAATTGGAAAATAATGATGAAATTTATAAATTATTAGAGTTCAATTTGATTAATATTGAATAAAATATGTATTATGTAAGTTCAATCTTTGAAATTATCATTTTAAATGAAATAAAAAAAAATATATAATTAAGTAATATATAATATCTCTAGATGTAGTATTTATTGTCCCTATCAAGAAATTAACAATCTGAAAATGTATTTTTGAATGCAACTTTAAATTTCCGAGATCCGGATGTTTAGAATAGTTTTAAAAGTTTCCAGAAAAAGTTAAATAAATGTACAATGATTTTCATAGAAACTTTTAAAATGTTTTTGGAATTAGCTTTGACTATTTCAGCAATAGTTAAGGATAATTAGTCATTGTAATCATAAATCCTGATAGTTTTTCCAATATCAAGTCTATTATAAATTTGGAGTATTTAAAGGAACTCAACATTCAATGACTATTGGAAAATCATTCATGTTATAGCACTTCAGATTTTTTTAGGTTTGTATGTTGATTAATTCATGATTAATGGGTATGTATAATTATATTAAATGTATGTTACTCAAAGCTTAAACAACAAGAAATACCTAATATTTTACTTTACAATAATGTAATTTACTTATTTGTATTTTGATAATTTTTATGACTCGATCATATTACCTTTTGAATGGATATTTATTTTTGTAATAGTCATAAGTATATATTTGAGAGAGAGAAGGAAACTAGTATATTTTTTTGAGAAATTCAATTTCAGTCATGATCTTTCATATTAAGAGGTAGTACTCAACCATAGTCTACAATAGAACTTGTTTGTTATCAAGCTGAATTCGGATTAAAATTTTTAAGATTTGTTTGAAGTACTATTTGTTAATTAAGCTTGTAAAAAGGAGTTTGCTACTATTGAAAACATATATCAAAAAATAACACAAATATAGATTATAAATTGCAATGAGTCTAATATTTCTTAATGTAATTTAAAAGTCAATTTAACACAAGATCTCTTATTAAATAACTTTAAAGTATCTACAGGTGAGTAAATTAATATGATTGACAATCATTAGTCTTTAAATTAAATCCTTTATTAATACATTAACAATTCTTAAAACAAAGAACTTCAAGATAGTCTGCCCTTAAAATTAACAGGAATAGTGTATAATCATCATCATTAAACATATGATATCTTAGTTTCTCCATGTATATGGAAACATTAAAAAAGCTATATAGTTTCATTGATTGAAGTAACAGATAGAATCAAAATATCTTAACTTGAAAAGCTGGATTAATATAAAGATAATGTTTTAGCTACAGTTAGTCATGATTTAAAGAATCCAATCGGTGTTATTTAATCCATGATAACATTAGTATAGGATAGTTTATATGAATTGTCTGAGACTGAAACCAATCCAGAAATAATATAGAAAATATAGTCTTGTTGTAATTATTTAGAGATGTGTTAAACAAATGTATAAATATTATAATCTTTTGTTAATGATTTATAAGATTTTGCATAGATTAAATAATAGAAGTTAAAGCTAGCAATTAGTTAATTTGATATTTTATAATTGATTTAAGATGTAAAAAATGTATTCCAAATTTAAATACAAAAGAAGAATTTATAATTAGATATTATATCTAATTTAAAGTCTACTTAAATTTTAAATAATGATCCTTTGAGAATTAAATAGGTTCTCTTTAACTTACTCTCAAATGCCATCAAGTTCACATCAAAAGGAAAAATTTCAATAATATTTTCTGATGATTCTCAGGATATTTGTAAATTTTGCAGGAATGTTAAAGAATAAATTGAAATAAATAAATCAGTAATTGATATTAACAATTTAATTAAAAATAAATAAAGGTTAATACTTTGTACAGTTAATGACAGTGGTAGTGGAATGAGCCAAGAAATTTAAAGAAGACTTTTCAGAAATTTTGCAACTTATGACAATGATAACAACACAAACAAGTAGAGTATTAGTATAAAATGTTAGAAATGGTGTTGGTTTAGGATTGATCATCTGTAAGTAGTTGTGTGGGTACATTGGACCATTGTAGTACATTTATCTATAATCATAAGTTGGAGTTGGTTCAACATTTTAATTTGTCATTTATAAAAATTATGATAAATAGCTTCATTTATAATAAGATTAATGTAGTGTAGATTCCATAGATTATGATATTTCAGCACATTCTCCATACAAAAATATATTTAGTACAAACCACCTTACCCCTTTATATAAAAAGATTAATAAGAGAAATTAATTATAGGTGCTAATTGTTGATGATGAGTCATTTAATAATATGTTATTAAAAATATAGTTATAAAAAATAGGAATTCATTAGGTGGATACTGCTTTTGGAGGGTAGGAAGCCATAGATATGATAATTAAATAATGTTATGATATTGTATTTTTGGATTTCAATATGCCTGGTATGAATGGATTATAATGCATTATTGAAATAAAACGGATAAATCCAGTGATTAAGATTTATATGTTGACCGCTTTTAATGATATAAAGACTCAACAAAATTGTCTTGATGCTGGTGCAGACAAGATTCTATAAAAACCACCAACCTCCTAAGATCTTTAACTATTGTTTATTTGATTATATAATTATATATAAATATCTATATATAATTAATAAAGAAAATATTTAAAATTATATATATTATAAATTACATCAAAATGGATCATCCTTTTTAAAAGATTGAATTAAAAACTCAGTAAGATTGGAGATAAAATTAAAATATTAAAGTAGAAATTGGTTAAAGAAAATGAAAATGATGAAATTATTAGACTTTCAATTAAGTTTTAGAGTAGCTTTAAAAAATGATAAGTTTAAATAATCGAGATAAAATAATTGATGAATTAGAATGATTCTTTCAATCATTTTAACAAAAATAGAAAATAAATACAATTAAATTATTAGTTAAATAAAATTTGATCTTCATTTAAGTTTAATATAATAATCATACTTTTTTCTAGTTGTTAAAATTACTTTTCATATCATTTAAGATATTTGTAATTTAATCTACATTAATAGTTTATAAGTTCATCTAATTCATTTTAGTATTAAGAGTGTTAAATTCTTCTTATAAATTCTCATATTTCTATTAATTATCATGTTCAAATTAAGATAGATCTTTGATATTCTATTACTAAATCTATTTATCATACTTTCTCGATAAGTTATATGTATTCTAACAAATTATAATTAATTGCATGATTTGGTTATTCTTAAAAATTGATTCTTTCTTCCTCATAAGCAATAATTTAATTGTTTTAATCAGTTACTTTGTATTCTAGATCTTTGATTATTTATTCTAAACTTTCAATTTTTTGAATTTAACTTAAATTAATTTTGTTTAATCTATCATTTTCTTTAACTAATTATGTTATTTAGGTTTCCTTATATTATGTAATAAAAATACCATATTTTAAATAATAGATGTGGTTTGATCAGTTTAACAAACATCTTTATATTTATTTTTCCAATCTTCAATTTCATGTGTTTAATGATCAATGACAGATTCTAATCTTTCTACTCTTTATTTAATAACATTGAAATCTGTATTTTCAATTTAATCAAGTAGTCCTTGTTTTTCTTTTGTTAATTTAGAAACCAAATCAGAAAGTTTTTTATTCTCTTACATGTAATGTTTAAGTTAAATTTCAATTTAGGTTTAGGATTAATCATTTCTAAAATTAGAATTCTCCTTATTTATTTATGGACTATCTTGTGTTAATATTCTTTTAGCATTACTGGATCTGAAACTATTCTCAGTTGGTTATGATGGGACATTGACTACTTTGACATTCTTTAACATATTAAACTTTTAAGGTGTAGAGGGTGTCAATTCTGCAAAAATTGGTTATTAGATTGGTTTATGTTAAAGAGAGTTTTAAAGTAATGACTAATATGTTTTAATTTTAGGAGTGGATGCAAACATTGTAGCTGTTAAATAATAAATATATAATATTAAGATAGTATATTATATATATATAAATTATGAAATCAAAATAATATGTGTCTTAGATATTAGATTTAGATGAACAAAAATTATAGATCAAATAATTAGAAGAGAAAAATGTAAAAAATATACTAATAAATAGGAAAGATTACTTTAAAAAAATTATGATTTGATTCGTGAAATAACACATTACTAAATACAATTAAGAGATAAAGATTAATAAATTGAGTAATTGAAAAGAGAGAATGGATAATTACGATTTGAATTGCAAGTATTTTCATATTAAAAATCAAAGTTAGCTTTGAAATAAGAAGAATTATATAGTGCAGTATCATTAGATAGATATAAGAAAGTGGCTTAAACAATTCAACCTTAAAGTATATTTAATGTGTATCAATATTTAGGAAAAAGAATATTTGAAACTAAGAAGACAACTTTGCATATGAATTACTTGAGTCCTAAGAAATGTAATAATGAACAGGATGATGTCATAAGTCCTGAAGTAGTAGAACTTCGAAAATACAGTGAAGATGAATTACATTAAGTAGTTGTGTAAGAAATTTAAGTGCAGGAATATAATTATGATAATGCATCTAAAGTTGATTAAATTATACAGAAATACTCTAAAAAGAAATTAGAATAATGTAAAGGTGAAGAATCAAATTTTAGTTCATAGCAATTATTTTAGGAACCTATTGCAATTGAATAAGAATTATTATCATCAAAATAATTATTGTAATAAGACTAGGCTTAATAATATTCATTATTTGAAGAATTCATTATTATTAGTGTTTCTAAATCAACTTTAAATGGATTAACTAGTAATATATTAGAAAAAAGAGAAGTGAATTTAAAACCAGAGATATTATTTTAACATTCATCTGCTACATCATGTTATAAGGAATAATTATTATTATTACCATAATAAATACATCCATATGGATTGAAGGTGAAATTAGAAGAGAAGACTCTATCCATGAGTAATTTGAATTCGTATATCATCTAATATATATTTTAGAATTTTAATGGGTGGTTAAAGTTATGATAGATTAGCAGGTGCATATGTAATTACTATGAAATCAGAATAAACATTTAATAACAATAAAATTATTAAGAATCCAATTTAAATAAATACAGATAAAATTAGTGATCTAATTTCAATTACTAATATTCATCATTAATTATATTGTGTATGTGTTGATGTTCCTGATTTCTATGATTACAATGTTTGTAACAATAACTCAAAATTACAAAAGAAATACTTTTATTCACTTTGTAAGACTTATTGTTTCATCACTAAAGCCCCAATTATTGATTTTTTTATTGAAATCATTAAAATTATTATAAGTATCAATATTATTTATTATTAGATACATTAAAATACAAAAAAGCAGAGATCTATTCAATGGTTTCAGAATTCGAAGACACATTAGGAAATATTGATAATTCTTTTTATACAGTAAAATAAAATTTTATAATAATAATAGTCATTTAAACCAGAACTATTTAATTTTTTAACAGAGTTATAGAATTCCAAATATATTAGTGAATGCAATTACTAATTTTTATAGACTCCAATAAAACCATAACTCATTCATTGTTCAAATGTTCAAAATTATGAAATAGAATGGGCCATATCATATGCATTATCACATATAGAATTACCCCATTATTTAATTCTTTTGATCAATATGATGTTGGAATAGAATATATGTATAATTAGTTATAATCGAACTTTATTAAGTTCATTATTGTAATTTTTATATATAATAAAATAGGATGGTATTACCACATATGATTTAACCATTTTAACACATACATCCTACTATTCATGCTTTAACTGCTTAATTGATGCCAATCCTTGATTCTCCAGTTCCAATTATTTGTGGGATTGTTAAAGATAATGAAAATGGATTAAGTAATTTGGGTATTGAAGATGATGAATCCTTTTTTCATGAACAATCTCAAGTTCTGTTTTTTGATGTTAACAAACTTAAATTTTTTAATTTAGCAAAGAATATAACAGATAGTAAGATGTATACAACTTTATTTTATAACTTATTCCAAACTTATTAATAATTACGTCAATAAAGTGTTCCTGGACATTATTTAGCAGATAATAATGAAGCAACATTAAATTTGAGTTTAAAAATCTTAGATGATACTTAATCCTATATTTAAGAAAATTTACTTTCTTTAGTTCCAGAGCTTGATGGTGATATTAATCTTGATTCAATATAAGATAAGATACTTAATTCAACTGAGGATGAAATTTTCAAATAAATAATAAAAACCCAATATTTCTCTTACTACATATAATAGAAATTCCATCCTTTATGATATATTTATTATTATATAATATATAAATAAAAGAAGATTATATAATAATAATATTATGATTTTAATTTATATACATATATATATTTAGATAGTTATTCACAATTTTTCTAAATATTAGATTACTAAATGAGGGTATTTATTTTTCATAACCAAAAAATTTATATCATTCATTTTTCCATCATTCATCTAAACTCTAAATACATTATCTTTGTGTCCAAGTATTATTTTAGGATCCAAGGGAATAGTATCATTTTATTCAGATACTTGTTCATTTTTAATAATGTTTATTCTTATATTCTAATTTCGTTTATTTGTAATTCCATATTATATCAATTCTACCTATAGATCTTACCTGAAATCACTCTTAATATTGTAAAGTACACTATCGATTCCAATCAAATCATTTTTCTTTATATATACTTCCTCTATTAGTCCAGGCCATTTATTATAAAGTTCCAATACTTCTCCCTAATTTGAAATATTTAGAGCACTATAACAATTATACACATAATCACCCTCATCTTATAATGATGTGCACAAGTATTACTAATGAACACTTCAATTACTTTGACTGTTTTTGTTTGAATTGGCTAATCTAATAAATCTCTTAGAGTAACATTCATTCCAATAGAATTAGAACTTATTTTAGAATATTCATATGTTTGCATATATTAAAATTAATGCAATTTAATTCCAAGAAAAACGCTATCCTAGGAATCATATTATTTTGTATTTACATCATTTTGGATCTATATATTGATGAGACTTTACTTTAATATACATACAAATTGATCTTTTCTATTAAGAATCCATTATTTATTGAGTTTAGCTATCTAATTAAAACAACATCATTATTGCTATGTGAAATCATATTTCTATACCTTTATTTGAGTTTTAATAAGAAATTAGATGTGCTTTTGTTGATTTTATTTAGTTGTGTTTTAACAGGAACACATGCTTTTTTAAAAGAAATCTATAATTAAGGCAGACCCTACATGTTCAATTCAGATGTTTAAACGTAATCTCTCTTTCTATTATAGTTTAGAATGCATTGCAGAATTGGGTAAACCATCAGGTCATGCAATTTGTATTGTTTCTTATATGATATCCCTCTATTAGGCTGATCGTTTTGAAAATGAAGAAGAAATGAAGCTACCACTTTTTAAATCAATTCTTTATACAATAATAGCTTTGATTGTTTGTTTATCTAGAGTAATATTAGGAGTACATTCTATAGGATAAGTAATTTATGGTATCATATTTACATTATGTATGTATATGATTTATCTGAATATTGTACATCAATAAATAAAGAAGTAATTATTCTATTAATATAATTCAGATTCATTCATAGACATATCAAATATTAAAGTCATAAATTAACTATTTTTACAGCAATATTATTTTTAGTATTTTTAACACTATCTTTATCAGCTGATTTCTATTCTCGTAATTACTTTGCTTAATAACCTGATTTATATTATAAATATATGGATGCTGTTTAAGAATGTAGGGTAAGGAATGGATTAGAAAAATTAAATGATGAAAGTGGATTCATTCTTTAGAGATCAACTTCTCATTCCTATGGTTATTATTTTATTATCATAGGAGCATTATTGGGTAAGCAAAAGAGAACTATTGATTAGGACTGGTTATATTTAGAGGTGTTTATGAAGAAGGATTATATGAAGTTCAATCTAAATTCAGAACAAGATTGACTCTTTTTATTAGAATTATGATATTTTACTTAATGATATTTTCAGTTTAATATGGAATGGAATATTTTGAACCAAAATAATATGAATCATATCTTATAATGATAGTGGTTGGACATATAATATTAGGATTGTGTGTAACATTAATCTATCCAATATTAATGTATTTTTTAGGATTAGAAATATATGGAAGTATGTAATGTGTAAATAAGTCTACTTTATTTATTGATTATTCACATATATGGGAATCAGATAGTATGATTTAAGAATGAATAAGAATATAAATATATTATAATCATAAACTAATATGAACATATTCAATGTTTACTCAATAATGAAAATCCTTCGACTAGATGATAAGATATCTTTTCAAAAGTTTTCTTGATGTCATCCAATATTTTCTATAATAAGTTTCCATTTTCTTTAGTTAATTCAAATACTTCTATTTTCTGATTAATTTATTATTCTTCTTCAAATAATCCATACTATTTGTATTTAAATAGGAGATCAATAGGAAGATCTTCATGTTGTAAATTAAGAATAGCAATTTAACTCATGCATTAAACATGATTAAGTAATTTTAACAATTCCTTATTTTGAAATAATAAATCAGATTTCATTTTGGATAACATCTTAACATAAAAGTCTTCTAAAGATTTGATTTCATCTTAAATCTATATAATTTAAATGGAAATACTTTAGAGAATTATTAAATCTAATCATTTTTATCATTTAATTCCTTCTCTAGTAATTTAATTTATGTTTTTTGTTTTGCTAAATCATTATCTGAACCTATAGATAATTTCAATTATTGGTTATATGATGTTAATTATTAGATAGTGAAATTTAATTTCTTAATAACCATATCCTTATGTTTAATTTAGTCTTTCTGAATTTGCATCTGTTATTTGAGAGTCAAAATTTCTTACTAAAGATTGTAGTAAAACTTACTTACAAAGAAGTGTTTTCATTCTACATATCAATGGTCTTCAATTCTTTAACTTATTGTTCATAAATTTATTGCATTGGAGTTTAGAAATCACTTGTAGTAGTAACAAAGCTACCCAATTTAGATGATATTTTTTAGAACTCTTCTTTGAAGGATGTACATGGTTACGTTATCATTTAGGTTTCTAGTGTTTTTCTACTTTAAATTTTATTATCAGATTGAAGAGTTTAAGTTCTCTGAGTTGCTTTTGGTGTGCGAAACCAATTTTCACTTTATTCCTTTTATGCACTTCTAGTGGATGAACATTTCAAGTATTATTCATATTACTTCATTTAATTAAGTAGTTAATAATATTTAATTATTATTATTTTCATCTTAATCTTTTATTTCCAGTTAGAAATATAATATTAATAATGTATGATAACAATCTATAAGTCTTTTATTCAATTCAATATTTCTATATTAATAAGAATATTAAAACACTAGAATATTATTATAAGTATCTAATATTAATTAAATTGGTATTATTACTAATATTAATTACATTATTGACTATTAATCAATTACAACTATATAATTAATCTAAACCTAAATCCACTGAACAACTATGAATTTTATCAATTAAATAATATAAAAGTACAATTTTTTTCTAGAGAACAACAAATATAAATGCTAAAAATTGTCTATTAAAATGTTATCTACTTCATACATAAAAAATAAACATAATTATTCATATACTATCAGAAATATAAAATATTTTCTCTATTTTTTATATGAAAGCATAGATATATTAATAAACATTATGCTTCATTTATTCTATTTAAGAGTAAATAATCAAATTAACCATCACCAAAAGTACAAATAATAAAAGGATAACCTATTTAACAAGTATATTTAGTACAAGATAATGATAACTTAAATCTAATACTTAAGCAACCAAAAATAAATTCTTATAATTAAATATTCAACTCTTAAAATGTATAATAGAAATTAAACCATATTCCATTTCCATCAAAGATCTCTAAAAAATAATCAAAATCTATTTTATAAAGCAACATCAACAAGTTTTGAATCCATTATAAACTTTAATTTAGACTCATGTTAAAAAGATAGGCAAAGTTATATACTTGAAAATGAGTATAATTCCATTCCCATAAGAAGAATTATGAAATAATATGACTTCTCTCCAAAATTGAATGTGACTTTATTTTTACTTATATATAAATAATTTGATGGAAGATCAAGTTACTCGTTTCAAGAATAAGTATCTGATAAATCGTAGTAACACAAAAAGAATGACAATACGTAAACCCTAATTAGATCATTCACCAGATAATTGGAAGGAAATGTTTGGTAACTTCTTAAATGATATCTCGTTAAAAAGGAAACATCATAGAGAGAAGACTATGAATGTATAATCATATTTATAAATATATTAGCCTCTTTAAGATCCATTAGTTCATGAGAATCCTCTTTTAATACAATGTACAACTTAAAGATTTAAGTTGGAATTATTTAAGTATCTCGAAGGAGAATAAAGTGTTTATGAGATGATAAATTCTATCAATTTCCCTGGATTAAAAGTAATTATATACTTGGACAAGAGTAAGAAATAAGTCCAGACTAAACAACAATAAAACATCATGTCCAAAAGTTGCGAAGTTTTAGAAATCACCATAGTGTTCCTATATATGATAATTCTATTCATACAATGTAAATGAAATAACATCATCTAATGAATGAAGGAAAATTTACAGAAGCTCAGTAAATATAACAATAATTACATGAATAGACATAAAGGAAAATTTAAGTTTTAAGAGATTTTATTTAAGAAAGAGTAATAATTATTAATATTACTATTTTTAGATTGAATTAAGAAAAAAGGCTAATTAACAATAAAGATTGGAAGAAATTAAAAATATTCATTTTATTAAAACCTTCTATGATATTTCTAATGAATATCGTCTTAAACATTAATAATAATAAGAATAATTAAATGAAGATTTTCATTACTTTAAAAAGAGTGTTCCAGGTTCTAAAAAATTAAAATAATTATATGTGAATTATGATAATGTTTAACCTTATGTTAAACACTAAGGCAAACACTTTGATAAATATAGTTATCCATCTATTGCTATTCTTAAAGATACTATGAATTAATAAAGCAAAGAGTATTTATAAGAAGTTGAATAATAGAAATAGAAAAGATTAGAGGATGCTTTGAAATAAGTTAGAAAATTATTAGAATCTCAAAATATTCGTTTTAGTAGTAATAGAAATAATAATAATAAATCTTAACCTTTAGATTGGTAGATTGATGTTACTATTGCATCTCCAAAAAGAAATCCTAGTGAAAAGATTAATATCTCTTAAACTGGAATAGATTATAAAAATCTTAAAGATTATGTAATAGCAAAGAAACCTTTTTTTCTATTTACAAAAAGAGCTAAATAAGATAAAAATCCAAAAAATGCTCATGGACTTATTACTATGTATGATCTTAAATTATATGATTATATTCATAATAAAAAGATTTATACATCCAATCCTCAACTCAAATAGATATCTGATAAACTTCATACTATGATTGAAAGTAAAAAAGAATAAGAAATTAATGCTTAATTGGAAATTTAAATTGAATAAAGAAAATATTAATTAAATAAAATGAAAAGAGATTCAGTACCTGAACAATATTAAGATGATGTATCTTAGTATTCAGATGATTAATCATTATAATCAATATATGAAGTTAATTTGGATATGTTATATAATTAATCACATTAATTACATAAAAAATTAGGGGAATCAATTGATGGTGGATTTGCTAAAAGAATAAAATAGATTATAAAATTGGAAGAAGTAAATCAATAATGTTTGAAAACTAATATAGACAAATTAACAAAATAAAAAATTGCTTTTTGAACATCATATGTAATTATATTAATTATATCATTTTAATCATTAATTATATAAATGCCTCTTTTAACCTTTAACAAATTTTTGATTGATCTAACAATTTTAATTAATTATTTAAAATCTATAATGAATAAGATAACATTGAAATTTATAGATAAAGCAATTGAATAGAAATACTAACTTGAACATTAATAACCTAAAAGAAAAACTCATCTAAAAATACTATTAATATTTTTTATTATGCTATAGATCATCAAACTGATTATTGCAATAATAATAAATAATTATAAAGCAGTTTATCCTACACTTGGAATGATGGGATTTACAACTCTTTCAAAATTCTTTAATATTGATAAAGAATATCATTAACGAGCATTAATCATATACATAAATATATGTTTTTCAATTTATGTGATCTTCTTTGATCCACAATCAGATCCACCAACTATGTATTTTAGAGGAGCCAATTAAATGGTCATCAACATTATCAATATAATAGGAATAGAATTTTTAGATTCAACAATTACAATTATTTTATTGTACTCACTTAGAATATTTCATCTCATCTTAAATACTTCAAGTATTGATATTACTTCTATTATCTTTGGTTTTGGAGCTAATATATCATTAATAGTTATGGTTTATTTTTATCATAAAGCCATTAGATCATAATTTCTCTTATCTAAAATTGATTAAAGATGGGAAAATATATTAAAATAAATTATTCATAATTAATAATTTATCTTAATCAATTATTAAGTAGAAAAATTGTAATTTTAAAGTGTATCATCTACTTTTTCAAAAACTATTCAATCATAAGAAGAAGTCATTAAATTTTTAAGAGAAGCAAAAGTAGATAATGGTTCTTTAGAATAATATATATTTCATAAATTATAAGATTTCTCTTAATAATATATAGAAATTATTAATCATTCAATTAATGTTAAGTTTGATAAATAATTACTTTAGGTTTATTTTTCTATCTTTTTTGGAAATCAACCAACCATACTAATTTAATTAAAGCAATCATAATTATAATTAAAAAACAAAGATGTTCAAAAAGTATGTTAATTATATCTAAAATTGTTAACTGTTTTTATTAAAATAATTAAAGAAAATATACCTTTTGATTATAATTAATTCCATAATTTAGCTAATAAAATTTAATTTTAAAATAAAATAACATCAATATGGAATTAATAAATGATATCAAAAACAATTAGTCTAAAGAAATCTATATTGAAAATTTAAAAATTTTGTAATCCAAACACCAAAATTTAACTAATTAGTTCAGATTTAATCATATATACAATTCCAAAAATATTTCATTTATTATTAGCTTGCATAGTAGATAGTTCAATTAGTGAATTAATCATTATCAAATATGAGACTGTAGAAACTCAATTGAAGCTAATTAAAATACAAGGAAAATTTAATATTAGAAAATTAAATTCTTATACTATAAAAATTAAGAATTGTTTACTTCTCATTTGCAAAGAAATTAATGTCTAATAATTTTGTAAAATTTTAGTTAAATAATATTAGGTATTAATATTGAACTTAATGATGAAATTCTTTAACCATTTACTAATATTATTATGCCCTAATTACATTTTAATTATTCGAAGAAAAAGTTAACATAATGAATCAATATAATAATTTTATTTAATCAATTAAATTAAAGAAACTTCTTCAACACTTGTACATTATTTGTAACTTCAAAATTTCCTTGAAGATTTCGCTTTTTACATTCTCCTTAAGCTCTCTACTAATCTCCGCAAAAAATAAGAGTATGATTTTTGTACTTCATTTGTTAATATAAATGACATAATAAATCTATACCTGCATTATAATTTGTTTTTCCTTCTTCTATTCTTACCATATCACTAACTACTCTAAATTAAGATTAAGCCAAATATATGAGCCATTTATATTTTTGGATAATTTGAATTGCATCTTTAGTTGAAGTACAGAATATAATTGAAATTTTGTTATTTTACCTTTCTATTTCTTCAGCATAGCCATAATTATTTTCAGGATTATCATCTACCCAAAGTAACACATTCTCTGATCTTGGTAATGGTAATTCTCTCATAGTTACAATATGAGGTTAATTGGGATTAACATGAATTTTATCAATTACAAAAGTTGAAAAGGGATACATTATTACCTCTTCTTCTCCTTAATAAAGAGAAATATTGGATATATCTTTGGCACTTATAAGTTCAACATTAAAAATCATTCCTTTATTATTACTAAAATTTTAAGCAACTTTCTAATTTAAAGAAACACTACTAACCTCATTCCATTATACAGTTTTTCCCTTTTGATATATTTTAGTATTTTAATAATTTTTTATTCCTCGATATGCAACACCTTTATAATATTTCAAATGTCGAAATCCTTCCATTAAACATTTTAAATATTTCTTCCAACTTTGATAATCTGATGTTCTTAGATCATTATTTAACTTTTGATAGATTAAATTGCTTGTATATAATCTGATAGCAATAATGCTATGAAGAGGAATTTATTAATAAATTTATCTCTTTGATTAGTTATTATTTATGTCTTCCAGATTTGTTTAAATAAATTCATTAATTTAAGAATTACCCAAAAATTATAAAGAATCTTTAAGTTATGATAAGTTATCAAGTTACTAATTATATATCTCTATAGTAAATTTTATTGGAAGTCCTCCAGAATGTTTATCAATAAAGAAAATACTTTAAACATCTGTTAGTGGTGTAGTAGCATCATAAGAAATTAAAGGTTTTCCGTTACATAATATTAATGATGTTTCAATATATTATTTAGATTCCAAAGTCTCTAAAAGTTCTCTAATATTTCCTAAATATTAATTCTTATTAACTGTTAATAGATATGACTAGTTCTTTGCTATTATTGAAATATCATTTTTATTATTAGTATTTTAATTAATGATTTATTTGTCCCCTTAAGATTATATAATTCCTTTTAATATCAAAACATCAGGCTCAGTTCCATCAAATCTAAGATGATAATCTTCTAATGCATAATTGTCACTCATTAATATACCTTTATAATATAATTGTTATGATGAAACAGGTATACCTTTCTTCTTTTCGATTAGTAATTTTATGTTTTGAATTAAAAAATGTGGTAATACTTGAAATTCTTCTCTTTAATTTTCAATTTCAATGTATATTTTATTCATATTGTGTACTAAAATGTCATAAGCAATAAAATTATTTGGATATTATGTTGTAATATTATAAACAAGTTCTGTTTCTCTTACTTCATTGATTTAAACAATATTAACAAATTATCCATTAGAATCAAATAGAAGATCACTTTCACTTAATTTTTCAATACAAAAATTTGGATGTGGTTATAATGCCTTCCATCCAGTTTAAGTGTAAACAGGATGATTTGGAGTACAAAAAATTCTACCATTCTGACTAATAATCTCAATTAATTTTTATTTATCAGTTGATATTTTCTTAAACATAACAATAGACTATTTGAATTGTTTTTATTCAAAATCATAACACATAACAATGTCACCCAATTCAATATCTTTTATTATTTTTGTAGTTCCATTAAAAAGTTTTATTGGAGCATATTCAGGAAAACAACCCCCATGTAATTTCAATACTAGATGCAAAGTACTTTCAGGGTGTATATTGTATTAAAAAATTAGAGTTTCATCCTCTAATGCTTTCCCTTGAAAAATAATTCTTTATTAATTTGGGGGTATACCTTCTTTATTTCTTATTTTCTCTTTAATATCAGCAACCTTCATGTTCAAACCTTCCATATCTAAAGTTATTGTTTTCCCAGTCAATGTTTTAATAAAGATTTCCCATTTTGGAGGATATATATAATTCATATTTATGAATTTCAAGATTGAATTGTTTTTAATATCTTAATTATTGAATCTTTTTTCTTTGTTCAAAATATATCCATCATAAACCATCTACACTTTATTAGTATCAAATGATGCAAGATATTTTTAGGATATTTTCTCCATGAATTATCCAATAATTTATGACGTGTCTATGATTTCTGTTAACAATTCCTAGATACCTAATTCCTTTAAATCAAGAAATATTAATATATTTTCAACTTTCTCTTAAATTAAAATTTACCTGCTTAATATTTATAAATATCCTTCTTCTATTCTTTAACTTCAAAAAAATCAATCTCATCAACAATTGGAGGGAGATCATTAATCTTTTTCCATTTATCAAAAGATGGAATCATAATAGAATTCGAATAATTAATATTAATTATTTAAGATTATCTGATTGTATAATTATGTAATAATCGAATTCTAAATAGAATATAAAATGATCTATGCTTGGCCAAATTACTACTATAATAAACTTTATAAGATATACATTACACTTATATTTCATAATATGAGACAACATGAATTCTAAGTTCTAAATATTCAAATTATTTAACATATGATTAAATAAATAATCATAGATATGTTAATATAATTATTATATTTTTCTATTTTTAATGTCATTACTCTATAATAAATATAAAACCATCATTTAAATATTTTTTTCTTTCTTTTTTTATATTATAATTTTGATTAGTAATATATTAAAAGGTCATGTAAATAATTATATTTAATATTTTAAATGATAAATGGATTATGTTTGAAAAAGTACACAAATCCGTCAAAAAAATAATAACAATTTAAAATGATATATATTATAAATTTATATATTATCAAATTTAAAAGATATATTTATGTGCTCACAATAATATATATTATAGTAATATAATTTCAATAATTATTTAAAAAATGGACTTATATAAAATCTATTTGTTTAAAACAAAGTGAAAATAGATATTAATAATAAAATAAAGTGATAATATTATACAAAGAGAGATTTCGATTAAAGGATATATCTAATACTAATAAATAAAGAAATGTATAATATTTAATTTTAACATAATTATTTAATATAAATTTTTTTATATATAGTATAACATAGAAAAATTGAATTTAGAAGATCATTAATTTTCTTATTGATATAATCCATTAATCCATCTACCATTTATAAGTTCTTTTTTCGAATTAATAAACTATCCCATTCCGTATATTTTATCATCTTAAAATTATCCCTAAAACATACTCTTATCACTGAAGTATAATGTACCATTACCATTTTTTCTATTTTATATTTATAATTTAATACTTTCCCATCTTGAATTCTCCATCATATTAAACCCATGCTTTCAAATTTATGGCTACATTTAGATCTATATGATCTACAAAATCAATCTTTTCATAATCAAGATTCTTAAGTATTCCATACCCATCATATTAATCATCACTAAATAGTCCAGCATAAATAACCTTTCCTGATTCATTTGTTATATAACCTGAGATTATTTATATTTTTTACCTTATCTACGATAATTAATGTCTAAAGTTGAATGATATGTTATTTAATCACTAGCATATGATTTATTTTAATTATTGAATTAATTTTGAGGATGTGATAAAGTGGATACATCACCAATTTAAGGAACTTTGATATCATATATTTCTTAAGGTATATCATTTTTTCCACTATGAATTTATTTTATCATATGTGATTTAACACTAATTTATTAATTCTACTAAAATAAGGATTTGAATTTAGACACTAATTACTTCTCCTAAATTTTTTGATCTCTCCATACTCCTCTTACAATATTCTTATTGAGAGTGTAGAATTATCCATTACCTTCTATCTAATCATTTACAAAATTGCCTTAATAATATTCATTATTTGATAAATACAATGTTCCTTGACCATGTTTTCTATATTTAAATAAAATATTAATACTTTGAATTTTGAATATATCCTTCATATTTTGTTGCATAATTCATTACATTTGTAAAATCATTATAATCATATGCTTCATTCAAAATTTCATAATTTTTATATTGAATAACTGAATAAGGATTTATAACTTCTTGTTTTTCTTTGTTTTAGAAATCTAAATAAAGTAGAATAAATTTATACTTATTGATTCCTCTAATTCTTCATCTATTTATTTAATCTATTATTTACTATTAAGTAATTTAATTATATAGTTCTCTTATTCTAGAGGAACTGACACTAATCCATTAAGAATTCTACTTATTTTACTTTTTGAACTTTGATTTAATACTTATGACATATGAGATTATTATTGATTTGATAATCCAATATTTCTGATTGCTAATAATATAATTAACTATGGATAATCAGGTCTCTAATTTGGATCGATTATCAACATTTAAGCAATAATTCTTAAGAAATCTTTTTCATAGTTGTTTTTTTATAATAATTCTTGTATTCTCAAATTCAAAGCAATCTCATCTATTCCACATATTTTATATAAATCTTGGTTACTTTTATCTATTTTTAAATTATGATAAAAATATACTTAATATTATATGTAACATCAACATTCCAAAACTAAAAACAGTTGCTCTTTCAATATCAAATTTAATGTTCATAAATTCTTCTGGAGCTGGATAGCCTTCAAGATATTTATGATTATTAATAAAAGATTTAATTTATTAAAAAGGTTTTAACATCCAATAATTTCCATCCTTCGTATAAATATTAGAGAAACCTAAATATTAACAACTATCTCTTAATGTTCTTTGAGCTTCTATAATATTTACAACCATATTAATGATTTAATTTTTATAGAGTATTTTTTATCTATTTATATAATCCATTAAATTATAAGATGGATGTTCCATAATTATGGCAAATATGTATTATTTAGTAAAAGTTTCTACAATACATCCTCTTGATTAATAATAAATTTTAGTTATTGATTAACATTAATGATAATCTTAAGCCATTAATTCAGCATCTTCATAAGTGTCTGATTCTGATTTCCATACCCAATGTTCATATTATTTGTCTTCTTCAATGTGTTCATATATTGTATAATCTCCCCTTTCTGCAAGTAATTTCATCTACTTAAGTCTTCCACTTAATAAGACTATTTTATCATTAGAATTGCCCATTTTTAATATTTTATTATTACTATTATTTAAATACTACAATTTGTGTTTTATTGTCAATTACATATCAATAACTTATATATATAAACAACAATTCATTTTTATCTTTTATAGAGCAAAAGAATAAATTTGGAAACATAAAAAAATATATCATTTGAAAATGATAGGTCCAAAATCAATATTTTAGATACCTATTTCAGATTATCAGAATCAAACAAATGATGATCTAGAATGCTTAGATGATTATTATTCTGAATCTATGCCAAAAGATGACATATCAACATCATAATTCATTTAACACAAACCTAATCATAAACTAAAAACTAAAAAAAGAGTCAGATTTAATCTAGATATTGTTCTATGTCAATTTAGTAAAGATGAACCAGCCATTACAATTTCTAAATAAACCAAATAACTAATTGCATCAAGGCCTAACTTAATGTGGGTTAATCCAACATTCTTTAACTTGAACAAAATATGATTTTTTATTTTATATATTTCACTTCTTTTTTTACTTTCAATCACCAACCCTATTTATTTATGGTCATAGATCTAAGATTAATCAATTCTTTAAAATTAAGAATTAATGGGTAAAAATATTTATTATACAATACTAATATATTTATTACTCAAACCCTAAAGTAGATAATAGATTTCAATACTCTTAATAAATTCTTTTGTATAATTTTTATCAAATTTGAATATAAATTAATCAATTTGTCTGTCACTTCCATTTTTTAAAACAATCAATTAACAAATATTACTTACATTTCTCAACTTATAAGTTATGATTAAATGTAAAGAACTCATTTTTTTAAATTATAGAATTAAATCAATGTAGAATTAAAGTTTCAGTACACATTAATAATCAAAATAATCATTTGGCAAACTCAATTAAAATTTTTATTTCATTTTTATATATTGAGATTTGAAATTCAACTATTATCAATACTAAATAAGAGCTTTTAAATTAATTAAGTATTTATATGTTACATAGTACTTGATTACCATAAATTAAAATAAATTTCTATTTTATTATTTTTATTGACCATTGCGCTTTTAGAAACAATTAATCAATAGAAATTTAAATAATTTAAATTATTAAAAAAAAACAGAGAATAAAATTCATTATTAAACAAATAATATGTATATTCGATAAAGATGATCAAATTTTACAATTTGAATCTCCTTGAGTTTATAGAATAATTTATATTTTACATAATAATAAATATCAATATGAGAGTCAATAATTATGTGTTATGAATAGAATTTTAAAAACCTTTGTAGTAAATAAACAATTATTTTATAAAAAATTCATATTATGAAAAGTATTAAATCATTAATTAATTTACAACTTATCTTAAAATATCTGTTATTTATTGTAATTGAGTATGAAATCATAATAATTTATTTTATTCTATTTTATAAAATTAGATCATAATTTGCATGAAGAAGAATTGAATTATAAGATAAACAGTACAAGTATAAAAATTGTGCAATTTATCAAATTTTTCTCTTTTTCTTTTTAATAAAGTTTCTAGAAAAATATTAGGTTTATTTTTAGATGTTCAACAAGTGTCTATTGTAGAATCTATGCTCATTTAGAAAGAAGATTTATTATGCTTAGATTCTAAACATTCCATAATAATAAATTAATTATTTATGTCATTTTGATGATGCATCATTGATTTAAATCATTTAGAAAGTCATAAATCAGAAAATTAGAGTTTTATCATTATATGGTACATTTTAGTATAGTTATTGAAATCAATCTGATATAATTGATTTAGAATGTAAATTTAGCTAATAATTGTAAATTATATAGATTTTTGATATTGTTTATGCATAATACAAATGCTATAAAGATCTTGATTTTATTGATTAGAAGAACATTGAAAATTTAAATAAATAAAGAGTATATTACATAACTCAATATAATGATAATATATATTTAAGTGTAATATCATACATTTGGAAAGGATGATTTTGATAATAATTAGAAAACTATTTAAGGAGATGATGAACATAATAGAAATGAAGAGTTAGGAGAATTGAAAGAAAGAGCTAATAAATAAATAAATAAGGTTTGGTTACCGAATAATAAAATCAAAAATATCTGATTATTCAAAGGAATAGCTTCTTTCTTCTTTAAAAGATGATTGATTTATCTATGGGATGTAATTTTGGTATGGCTATTACTTTCTATTCAATTTCATCATAATAATGTGAGATATTTTAATCATCAAGCTCATAAGTGTCAAAATTGTCAAAGGATGCTGATGGAGAGAGAGGAACAACACATTAAGCAAAAGTTGATGGTGTATCTATAGTTGATTGTGTTTTGAGTGTAAGAGATGATTTAAAGGGAGCAGATTCAGAGCAGCCCATTATGTTAATTAAATATTAATAAAGAGCGTTATTTAGATTATATTAATTAGGGGATAATTTATTAAATAATATAAAATTAATGAATAATTAATTATATTTTAGAATTTATAAGTGGTAATTCTTTTTAGAATATAAAAATTATTATGTTGTTTAAATAAAATTGCTCATTGTTTAGAAAGTTATTAAGTTAGAAATGTTTAATGATGCCAGGAGCATACAATGGTATGGTTGGTAGATAATGTGCAGATAATGGTTTTGAAGCTTTATACATATCAGGTGCTGCAGTCACTGCATCAAGTGGAGTCCCAGATATTGGGTATAATTTAGAGATTAGTGTTTAAGCATGGTAACTTTGGATGGATTCTGTAAGACAATCAAAGATGTTGCTCTTGCTTCAGGATTACCAATTTTGGCTGATGCAGACACAGGATTTGGTGAAGGAGAAATGTGTTCTAAAACAGTTTGGGAATATTTCATACATGGAGCATCAGGTCTACATATTGAAGATTAAGTATTTCCAAAACGTTGTGGACATTTAGATGGTAAGGAATTGGTTCCATCTGATGTAATGGAGAAAAAGATATAAATAGCTAAAAATGCAAGTGTTTAATGTAGTGGAGGAGAGTTTGTCATTTGTGGTATATAATATAATTAAATGTTATTATAGCACGTACTGATGCTAGAGGTACACATGGATTAGATGAATGTATTAAAAGAAGTAAGGCATATATGGATGCAGGTGCTGATATGATATTCCCTGAAGGATTACATACAAAAGAAGAAATGGCTATTGTTGCAAAAGAATTGAAATCTAAGAATCCAAATATTTATTTATTAGCTAATATGACAGAGTTTGGAAAGACTCCATATATTTCATTAAAAGAATTTGAATAAATGGGTTATAATTGTGTTATCTATCCTGTTTCAACATTAAGAATTGCTAGTAAGGCTATTGATGAATTTTTGAAATAATTGTAAAAGGATGAATCTTAAGTAAATTCAGTTTAAAAGTAAAGAAAATTAAATAATTTATAAGTATGTAAACACGTAAAGAATTATATTCTACTTTGGGATATACACCTGGTAAGGAATGGTATTTTCCAAATTCAAAGAAACAATGATAATTGTCTAATCAATATTTCATAATAAAAGCAATATAAATATAATCACTTCCTTTTTCTGTATATTTAAATGAATACAAATTTAAGCAACATAAATGTATTAATTATTTTAAATTTATTCCTCTTTCACATGTAGTTTCTTAGAGTGTATGACTATCTTGTGGATTTCAACTTTCATAATGACTATTGATCCAATTAAAATAATAAGAAATTATGTGTATCAGTCATTATTTATTATGATATTAGTTCCTAATTACATGATTAAGCATTTCTTATACAATTTATTAATTAATATCAATTAGATTAAGAATTTATTTTTCTTTTGCTGATTGAGATATATAATTTTATGTAGATTCAATTTGTTTTAGTTTTGAATAATATGGACTAGATATTGACATTTTAGGTTCAAGATATCTTTGAAGTTAAATAGTTCTATCATTCTAATCTTCTCTTGGTTCATATAAATTACCCATAAATATTCAAATTAATTTAATTCAATACAATTTCAATTAAAATCCATAAACGTCATTTAGTAACTATTTGGCAAATGAAACACATTCTTGATAATCTTTATCATTAAATTAACTCATCTTTCTAATCAATTCAATTACAAAATCACTTGTTATAAAATCTTTCAATTTTATTTTCATTTCTGGTACTGTCTAAAAGAAATGTGAACAATCAAATATACAACATAATGTTAATCTAACATATTCCTATTATTTTATTTATAATATATACAATTGTAGGTTTTAATTTTAAACTACACATTTCAGTACAAAATATTATAAACCAATCTACTGTATCTCTTAAATCAAAATTAGGTATATTAGGTTCACAATAAGCATGTAAAATACAAGTATAAAATGAAGTCATTGTTTCTTTTAATCTTTCTGCATAATCTTAATCAACATTCTATTAACTTTTTGTTAAATCCATACTAGCAGCAAATCCTAATTTTAGTATCTCTTTCAAATCACCTAAAAATTAAAATGATTTCTCTTTCAATCCTAATATTATATCTGCAATAGCATTATAAACTTATAATTTTAATTCTCTATTAAAATTAGGATTCTATATTTTAATATATATTTATTACTTTAATTAAACCAAAGAAATAATTTAAAATGTTCATATAAGGTACAAACTCTTCTTCCATAGCTCTTGCAATATCTGCTAAACAAAATAATGCTGTCTTAAAACTTTCCATATCATCTGGTTCAGATAATGGTTTATTTAATTCTCCTATTAATTAAGATGAATATTTAGATAATTTCTTTTTAAATGCATAAGCTATTCCTGAGAGTACATAAAAATAATCATTTTTAACTCTAGAATCAACATTTGATAAAGTATTCATAATTGATTCAAATACAGATTCAGGTGTTGTTGAATCATCTAATCTAACAACACAACCATGCATTGCACTCATCAATCCCATTTCTAAATGATATTTAATTTCAGCAGGTACTTATGTACCACTCTCTAATAGTTAAATTTATTAAAAGAATTGAATTAAATAGTCATTACATAATTTTGTATCAGTAACACTATAAATAATATTAAGAATAGCCATAAAAGCAGTATCAATTAAAGCTATTTCTGAATTTTTAATATCTGCTCTAACAGAAGTACTTGCTAAATGTTACAATATTGTAAATTTCTCTCTATTAAATATACTATTAGAAAAGAGTTGCAATTATTCAGTGAGATAAACAAATACCCAAATCAAATGTTAAACAATTGATATTTTATTATTTAATTAATCTAATAATGTTGCTAACATATGATTTGCTTAATCATGTTCATGAAAACATTATGGATAATTTTCAGCTACTCTACTCAATGTTTAAGCTGTTGCTTTCTTTACTTTGTAATGTTGATCAATTAAACAAGTGAATAAATTACTCAATGCAGATTTAATGAGTATTTCTATTTCTTTTGTTTAAACTTCAGCTAATGCACCAAATGCCATAACACTAGCTTTTCTGTATTCCCATTATTAATGTGTTAAAGTATTTTATATAAAATTTTTGACTAATTCATATGTGTTAACTCCAGCAAAATCAATTATAAATGCTAATCCTTTACATGATGAATCAGGAACTGATAAACCTTAATATTCATCATCAACATCTCCACTATCTAATAAGAGGTTTCTCATAAATGGTAGTAAGAATCCTTCATAATTCTTCTTAAAAAATTACACACAACAATCTACTGCATTACTTTCTGGTGTTTATTAATTTCCATTTTATGTAATTTCTTCTTTCATTTCTGCACAAATAGTATTCCATATTTCAATTGCTGCTATTGAGATTTCACCTTAATTTTCAAATGAAGCCTAAGTTGTTTAAAATAATTCATTTATAAATGCAGGTAAAAATGTAAAGAGTTACTTAACAAAATCAATTAAACATTAAAGTGCTTTATGTTTAACTTCTTAAATGTTACATATTGCATTAGACAATATCAAATTTTTTACATAAGTAAAGATTTCCTAAATTTAAAGTTAGTGCAAATACTTATTATTTAAACAAATTGTTCATAAAATATAAAGAATCCTATAAGGCTTTAATTGCAGTCAATCTAATTTCTAAAGTCTACTCATTTAAATCCATTCCTACACAAATTCCCATTAAGATTACTTTTGAATCTTACTCAGATATACCTGAAGATTGATGAGTTTTCTAGATGATTAGAATTCATACTAATGCTTCACAAATGTAACCTAATGTCATGATAGCTGACACCTTAATCAAAATATCAGTGTGTTTAGAATTTGTTGTCAATCGAGAAATTAGATCTGGCCATTCTTGTCTTGGTAATTCTATGGCACATATTTCACTAATAGTCTAATAAATATTTAAATAGATTTACATTAGCTGCTGATCTTCTTATTGTATTTTCAGGATCAATCAACTATTCCATGAACTTCAATTTCACATCATTCTTAGTTTATTAAGAACATGCTAACCAAGTTATTTAATTTGATGGAGGATGCTACTATAGAAAAGATTAATATACAATCAATCCCACTAATCTTTTTACTAAAGTACTACAAGCTACTCTAATACGATTCTAAATGCCGCGATTAGAGAATGCTTAAGCACAGTATACCATGAATTCATCTGGACATTCATCTTTGTACTTAAGTAATACTTATTCTGCTGAACTTCGTTGTGTATTACTCTCAAAGAATGCACATTACACTAAATCCAAAAATTATTGTGGCTGCATTTTTATGTTTAATTTTTTAAAATATAATGTATATACATAATTTAGTAGTAGTATATAATTCAAGATTAATTGATTTTCTTAAGCATTCTTCTTTCAAAATGTGCAAAGTTTACACCAAGAATAATACCATTATAATTAGGTTTTGCAGTATGAGGTTTGATTGCTTTGATCAAGGGAGGTAATTTTTAATAATTAGGAGTCTAATGGTCTTTATTAAGAGATATTTCTTAAAGTGGCATTTTAAGAGGAATCTTATTCATTTGAGGTAGTCGTTATCTCGATTCCCCTTCTCTAGTATTTGACCTTTTCTTTTTGTTTGGATACCTATTGAAGAGTTGTATTTCTTTCCCCCAATTTAATAGAGTGGGCTCCAATTCACTGACCTCTCTTAGCTGCTCTATAGCCTGATGCTCGTTAGGGATTAAATTCATTAATTAAATTAATAAATGGCAATTAACACTCTGGACACATAATCTACAATATTTGTGCCCCTTTTTACTTTTGCCACATTAAAGTAATGGCATTATTCAATATAAGATAGCTTACATGCATCTTGTATCTGCACGCTTCTTTACAATCACTATTATATATATATATTAAATAATATTTAATGTCTCAATTGTCTAGATAGATGAAGAAGATCGGTAATTACTAGCTAGGGGATTTGCTAGGCAGAGGTTCGATTGGTACTGTGTACAAAGGATTGAATTTGGAATTAGTAATAAACACACAATAATAGAGGGAACACTTGTGGCAATTAAGCAAGTGTCAAGAGCCACACTGAAAGAAGATCAGTATAAAGCATTACAACAAGAAATTTATCTATTGAAGAAGTTGAAACATGAAAATATAGTGAAATACATTGATTGTATAGAGACTGATCAATTTTTGAATATCATTCTTGAATATATTGAAAGTGGAAGTTTGGCAAGTATTCTAAAGAAATTTGGATCATTTCCAGAGTCTTTGGTGGCAATTTATGTTAAATAAGTATTAAAAGGATTAGAGTATTTACATTAATAAGGAATTGTCCATAGAGATATAAAGGGTGCCAATATTTTGACTACCAAAGATGGGTAATTTTAATCATAAGATAATAAAGTACTGTTAAATTGGCTGATTTTGGAGTGGCTACAACTTTATCTGAAGATACGACATAAAGTAATAACATAGTTGGTACTCCATATTGGATGGCACCTGAAGTTATAGAAATGTCTGGACATTTATCTACTTCCTGTGATATATGGTCACTTGGATGTACAGTCATAGAATTATTAACAGGAAATCCACCATATTTTGATAGATTATAATATGCAGCAATGTTTTAAATTGTTCAAAGAGATTGTCCTCCATTACCAGAAGGAATCTCAAATGAATGTAGAGATTTTCTAATACAATGTTTTTAAAAAGATCCTACTTTAAGAGATGATGCCACAACTATGCTAAAACATCCATGGATTACTAAAAGTTGGCATATAGTATAAGGACCTAATTTACCTGAAGAAGTAACAAATACTATACGAAATCACATAGTAGATTAATCTAATTTTGGAACATTTATTACTGATTCATTTATTGAGTAAGTACCTTAATTAGTTCAATGTTAATCACCTAGAAAAATAGATAAAAGTAGTGCTGTTAGAGATTCTTAATTAGATTCTCTCAGATAATTAAAATTAAGAACTAGTCATTAAATTAAATAAAATGGATTTTGGGGTTAAAATGAAGATGGTAAAAGTATGAGAGAAATTAATGAACTTATAACTTAATTAACAGAATAAAGTGATAATTCTTAAATTATCAAAATTTTAGAATAATTAAAAGACACTATTCCAAATGATAAATGTAAAGAATATTTTATTCATACTGGTTTAACTTCATTATTAGAAATTATAGAAAAATATATGCCATTATATTGTGAAAATAATTCATAAGATTAATAATCCTTATAAATTTTAAAATTGATATTTGAATTAATAAATATTGTTGTAGATTAGAATCCTTAATTATTAGAATTATCATGTTATTTGGGAGCAGCAACATTTTATCAATAAATCACTTCTTCTGAATTTCATAAAGAATTAAGAGTTGAAGCTGCCTATTTCTTAGGATAATTAACTTATTTCAAAGAAGGATACCTACTCTCAATAGGAGGATTAGATAATCTATTAGAATTAATAGACACATCAGATATCTCTGATAATATTGATTTAATTGGTTTAGCATTAGATACCATAATATTACTCTATGATCTTAATACTATAAGTTAAAGAAATCTAAGTAGACTTCTAACAAGCAAATTCATCACATATCGATTAGTACTTATAGCTGAATAAATTCAAAATATAGATGTTAATTTAATGATTAAATCATTGAATATTTTAGTGATTTTAGCAAAATGTGATGATAAAATAGTTAAGTAATCACTTTGTGAAAAAGAAGTTATCACTAGATTAGCTACTTTTCTTAATTAAAATTAAGAATAAGCACTTTTAAAAACCATAAAAATATTTAGATATCTTTCTACTGAACCTAATCTTTAACCACATTTAGATGGATTTGCTATTATACCAAGAGCTTTAACTCTTTTAAAAAAAGATTTACCAAGTTAAGGACCTATGATTGCAGATATATTAAGAATTATATTTTATCTTACAAAACTTAATCACGATAAATAAGAAGAATTATGTCTTTATGAAGGTGTTCCATTATTGCTTGAATTATTTAAATTACCAAGTGAATAAGAAAACTAAATCTCAATGAAAAAGGCAGCTATTAGTATATTATGTTCATTAGCTACTTCTTCTGAAAGATGTAAATAAAAATTACAAGAAAATGGAGGTATTAGCATTTATGTTGGATTATTAACAACAAATCTAAATATTACAAAATTACTTGATACAATTGTTAAATTAATTGAACTTGATTAAAGTCAACGTATTCCTCTTAGCAAAAATATTGATATTCTTGTTGCATATTTTAAAAATAATACTGTTCCTATGTACCCAACATTAGTTAAAGTACTACCAAAAGAATTTGGAATTAGTCTATTATTTAGGAAATAATTATTGGAATTGTTGATTTAGAAAGATTAAAGTTAATTGAACCTAAAACATCTGCTTTAAATATTATATTATCTATTAGAGTCTGATTCAATAAAAATAAAAGACATGTTTAAGAATTCTATTCTATAGTAATTGATAGAACAGGAAGAACATGGTTTGGCTGTTTAAGGAATTGTAAAGTAAATTAAGGAATTGATATTATTAAAATAATGATCATAGATCGTGTATATGAGCTTATCTTTTTTCTTTTCCTTTTAATTTAGGTTACATTTCTTCTTCATCTTTCTTATATTCTAATTATTTTTAGACTTATTTTAATTTCTTTTCCTATTATTACAACTTCTTGGCATTAATTTTTTTTTATTCTTCATCTGACCAATCTTCATCTTTATGTTATTATTCCTGCCTTTTTTATTTTTATTAATCTCTTTATAATGTCTCTACTTTATTGTTTCTTTTATTATTATTGTTCTTATTACGAGATTTCACATTGCGATTGTCACCATCTGCCAAGAAGTCGTTGTCTTCTAAATCCATTTAAATTTATTTATTTAGGTTTGTACAAATAATCACTATGTTAAATATTCTATAATAAATTTTAGGTTTATAGAAAAAATCATAATTCATTCACAATATTCTAACATTTTCAATAACATATTTATATATATTATTTCCACTTCAAATAATTACTTATCTGTTCATTAAATTTATATGTATATTCATATTATAATCAATTATAGTAATTAGAAACATAGTATTGATATTGATTATTGATTCAAAATAGAAGAAGAATTTGAATCAGAAATATACTCATACAATTATTATTATATATGAATGTGATTAATATTAAATTTATATATATATATATATAATTTTGAAGTAGATGTAAAAGAAGAGGGAGAAGTTTAGGATTGAAACTCGAAGAAATGATCTTGAACGATGTTTTAAATAAAAAAGAGAAATCTAAGATTAAGGTGCAATAATTAATGTAGGAGAATACTGCTATAATTCTGATAATTTATTGGGGAAGGGTTCTTATTGTTAAGTTTATGCAGGATGGAAAGTATGATAGTATATTTAATGATTTAGAGTTAGAATAGAAATAAGAAGGTGGCAATTAGAGTAATGATTGGAAATGAAAGAGTAAGCTCGGAAATAGAATTGTAGAAAAGTTTAAAATCAAAGAATATAGCTAAGATTTATGATGATGTTAAGATTGAAGATAAACATTATATAATAATGGAATTATGCGATGGTAAATAACTGTCTATAAAATGAGAGTCTCTAAGCAAACGGTATTAAGAATTTAGTAGAAATGAAGCTATTTAATATTTTTAGTAAATTCTTAATGGTTTAGAAGAATTATAGAAACACAAAATCATCCATAGAGATTTAAAATTAGACAATATATTATTAAAAAAGAAATAAGTAATTATAATACAAATGTTGATAGATAAAAATAATTGATTTTGGATTTGCTAAGAATATTACAGACAATGGATTAGGAACTGAATCAGTTAAATGTGGAACTCCTGAGACAATGGCACCAGAAGTACACAAAAGTATTAAAAGAACAATCTATAGTGATAAATAAGATGTTTGGGCTTTAGGAATTATTTTGCACTAATTATTTTATAAAATCCATCCTTTTGAATCATTAGAGTGTCTTTTGTAAGTCTATTCAATATAAAAAAAGGGAGAATAAGAGAAGAGATACAAGAGAAGAAGAGGATGAAGTAGTTAATGATTTCATCAATAAATGTTTAACAGAAGAAGATAAAAGAATGAGTATAAAAGAAGCCTTGTAACATAGGATTCGTAAATATCAAATTGCTATTGATTCTGATGATTAGAAAACATTGTTCGGTTAGATAAAAGATTGTGTTTAAAGTAAATTGGAAAGTCTGACTCACTACTGGTATGAAACAGTAAGGGGTTACTTAATTAAATGAATGAAAACATATATATATATATATATATATATATATATATATATATAATTCAATTGACTATTGAAGACTTTTAAGGAGTAACAGTTTTATTCCGTGTAAGTTACTCTTATAATGCATCTTTGACATCGGATTATAATTTGATTTATTTTCTAATTGTTTTAGTCTAACGATATTCGTCTAAAATATGATGCGCTTTGATTCGCTACTCTTTTTCTCGGTATTCCTTATTGAATGTAGACTCCATCATCATAGTTTTCTATTAACCAACTTTCTCAGATGTAATTACACATCCCATATTTATAAATTATAATATAATATCAAATTATTGGTACTATTGTATTCATAATCTTTTGTACTATTTACATTCTGATTGGCTACTCCTTATTGCAATATTAAACAGTAACATAATGTAAGTAACTTACATATATTAGATTCATTAGACAACAAAGAATTTCTATAAGTAATCTCAATGTTCCTACTTATTCCACAATCACTTTTCCTTATAATCTACATTCTTAATAAGTTTGAGTTTGAAAAAAAAAAATACTATTAATCCCAAGATTAATAAGGATAAATATAACAATTATGCTATTCTCTACATATGCAAACTCATTTTGAATGTCTTAGAACATAGAGTTATTGAAGGGATTATCATTAACATCAATGAAAGGAGTGCCAATATGCTGATTGTTGTCTAACACATGTAAGTCATCGAAACACTAACATTAACTAATTTCATGCTCACATCAAGTAACGTGCACCACAAATCATGCTAATCAACATTGAGAATATTATCAATGCAAATTCTATAACTTTAAACTCTGTCATTTATTCATCCTTAAATTATAAAGCTATTGAATTCACATACAGTATAGGTATGTCTTATAAATTCACACATTCAGGTTCATTTTCAATTACTATCTGATAACTTGAATACATTAATTTATTATTATTAAATAATAAAATTAGATCAAACCAATACTAAGAAATAACATACATATAAACAAAAAAACATTTTAATTATACATTTATATTATATTCATTAAAAGAATTTTTACCATTCTATTTGATAATAATTTATATATTACATCTAAGTTATTCTCCATTAAAATTTGGTATTACCACTTTATATTCTACATATAAATCTCCATGTTAAGATGAAAATTCATGTTATGGCATTCCTTCTCCTTTTATAATTTACACTTCTCCTGGTTTTGTAATACCATCTTTATCAATTCTTACAAAATGATTATCAAGATGTTTAATCTTCTTCTTAAAACCAAGTAAAGCTTCTTTCAAAGTAATTTCGACTTTGCATTTTAAATCATTTCCTTATCTTTAAAAGAATGTATGAGGTATTTATTCAATTTAAAATATTAGATCAGAAGTACCAGAATCATTACGTTCATCAGCCATATTCTCATATTTCTATAATATATATATCTATTATATTACTATAGTTTATTTATCTTATATCCCTTTTTCTATATATAAACTAATATTATCAGCTCCAGGAATAATCTAATAAAATATAATATTCTATTACCTTATCACCTTTACAAAGATGACATTTTTTTTTGATGATCTTACCTGTTCCAAAACATCTTTCACACGTGGCTTAGAATGTTTAAAAAACTTAAATTATCTATATATATAACATTACATCCAAAACCAACTTATTATCTTTTTTAAACACTACCAACACCTTTACAAGTTGGACATGTTTCTACTAAATCTGGATCATCAGCTCCTGATCCTCTACAATGTGGACATAATATTTATTTAGTCAAATAAATAGGTATCTCTTTGCCATTATAAATATCCTCCAAAGTTACTCTAACCTTCACCTTCAATTCTGGACCCTTACGTTCTCCTTATTATTCTCTTCCAAAAAATGATCCGAAAATATCAAATGGATCATGATGCTACATTCCCTGATTATTTAGACCATCAACTCCTCCTTTATCATATTTTTTTCTTTATTCAGGGTCTGATAATACCTCATATGCTAAATTTATATGATTTTATATACCCACGTTGATTTTCGAGAATTTTTCATTTGCATCTGGATCACCTTGATTTCTATCTGGATGGTATTGTTGTGATAGTTTACGATAGGCCTTTTTGATGTCTTACACTGAAGCATTTGGAGAGACTCCCAAAATATCGTAATATTCTCTATGTACGGCACAATATATAGATATTAGAAGTGTAAATAATGTGAGTGATAGCTTCATTATTTTTATTAATCAAAGACAAAGATCCTCTCATTATTATGTGCTTGATATTCATAGCCAACAAACTGTTGCTGAACATTTGGATCTCTAAGCAATTGTATATTTTAACTGATTAATTCAGCATTCTCTTCATCCTCAATCACTATTTGACGTTAATCAAAATTATCATCACTTGGATTTGGAATAAATGGTGCAGTAAATTCTCTTTTTTATAATTTTGACCATTAGAAATTCTTAAACCAAGGATGCAATTTAATTTCATGTCCTCCATTATAACCAAGTCGACTTGTTGGTTTTCTTTGTAATAATCGATTAACAAAATCAACAGCTTCACCACTCCAATTAGGAGGTACTTCACTCGATCTAATTTATACTTATTTGGCTAATATTTAATCACGAATCTCTTATCTAGATCGACCAACATATGGTCTCTATTTTTTAATAAATATTAATTCATACTCTCCCTAACATAAATTCATAAGCAATAACACCCAAAGCATAATAATCAACTGCAAAAGTGTGGTTCTATCTACACATTACCTCAGGGGCTATTTACTTATTAAATAATATACAGCTTACCCATATACCCAGGAGTACCACTAGTATCGCTAGAATTTTCAGGCTTCATAACACGAGCAATACCTAAATCGGTAATGTGTACAAAACCCTTTTCATCAAGTACCAGATTTTCTGGTTTGATGTCTCTGTGTATTATGTTGTTAGTATGTAAGTACTCTAAACCAATAAAAATAGAGGCCACAAAAAACTCTTATTATCATCGAATACTATTACTAGTCTGTTCCTCATTAAATCGTCTCATTCTTCCAATATGAAATCGTAAATCACCTCCACACATGTAGTCCATCACCAAATACAAATTCTCTCGATCTTGAAATGCATAATTCATATTGATCAAGAATGTGTGCTTTAGTTGACTTAGTAGCATACGCTCATTCATCACTGAATGTACACTCTTCTTTGTTATCACTAATGCTTTAGACATCTCTTTCATTGCATATGGTTATCCAACCCTTTTCACCTTCCATACCTTCCCAAATCCTCCAATTCCTATTACATATTCAAATGTAAATGCAGCCTTCCCAATCTATTTAGTATCTGTAACCTTTGGACTTACAACTTCTGGCTCTTTGTTCTCTTTCCTAACTTATGCTGAGTCATTTCGAATATGAATTGGCCCTGTTGGTGTCTTTGCTGACATTGCAATTGCACGAGCTTTGGCTATTAGCTATGTCATTGAGTCTTTTTGTCCCTCTGATGGTTACTTTACTTTCTATTATTTCATCAGTGTAGCCAATTTAGATAAATCTATTGATGCATTCTTGCTATGGTATAGACCTTTAGGTAAACTCACTTAAGTAGGTGACACTGCTGGACTCTGAATTGCATATTAGGAAGGACTCTTTTATTTCAGTAATAGAGTATTGATGAGTTTATTGTTTGGACTGCTAGCTTAACTCATCTTAGGAGGTTGCTTCATTATATTTAATTAATAAACAGCTTATATTTATATACTATAGTAACTTCACATCTGATTGAATAAATATAATTCAACCTTTATTCATATATAGTATTCTAAATACAAATAAGTTGATGTGATCATAACTTATTTATATAATTAACTTTTAATGTAGAGGATTTAAAATTAAAAAAACTAATAAAATGAAATGTTATTCTTTATTGAATTACAATAAATCATAAAATAGTTAAATTTAATTCTATTTGTCTATTCATTTAATGATTTTTAACCAAATGAATAAATACTAAATTGATAATAATAATAAATATAATTAAAGTGCAATTAAGTATATAGATATTTATTATAATAATTCATAATAATAATAGAAATAATAGAAATATGAAAATTGATATTAAATTATCATTCTTCATAATCTTCTAAATTCCAAAATTTATGGAATAAACAATATATTTTTCTTATGAATAGTTACAAAGGTCGATCAGGTTTTTGTATATTTTTTAATTAATCAAGATTTTCTTATTGAATATTTAGTACTTATATTCTTTTTTAATAAACTCTCTTTAAATTTTCATCTTAATTTTAATACTTACAAAATCTATTTTTAAATTAATCTATCTCATTCTATATCAATGATAATTTTTCATCAAATGAGATTTCAAATAATTGATTCCATTATTTAATTTCTTTATAATCTAAATTAGATGATGATTTAAATGATTCAAAAAATTATTCTTAAAATTGTTTTAGTGATTTATCAGATCTATTGAATATTTTAACTAATTAATTTATAAACATTTATGTTTCTTCATTCAACTCATTACAAACTCTTAAGATACTATTCAAAAACTTATTTCTTTAAATATATTCATTTTAATCCATATAATTATTATTTAAAGATGTATTAACACATTCAATCAACTTTCCATTTAATAATCGATATTTTCTTGGATATTCATCTTGATTTCTCAAAAGGAATACTTTATTCTCCTTAATATCAAGTTATTTTCTTAAACTATTTTATTTCTTTTCTATTTCCTTTCTATTTTTTAGACATTTCTTTTTCTGATTTATTTTATCCTACATATCTAACTATTTATTTTATTTCTCATCATCTTTTTTCTGTGGTCCTGTTATTGTAAGTATTTTATAATTAGCCATTTCAGTGATCAATTATAGTAATTCCAAAGAAAACTTATTTGTAGCAATATATCCTTCATCTTAATATTCAATCTCATCAAAATTATCAGATTTGGATGGTCTCCCACATTTCTTCTTACTTTTAGGCATAATCAAGGGAAATATAAGAAAACAAAAATAAATTATTTATTCCTCTTTTCCTCTAAAACAAATAAATTTATTAAAAAATTTATTCTATTGATTAATATTCAATTTAAAATCAATTCTACAATGATTGAAAACATCTTAGCTTAATCACAATAAACTATAATACCTTGATTAAGTATATAAATCTGAGAATTCTAAAAGAAAAGAATTCCATTATAATGAATATTGTAACTCAATTTATATCATATATAATCAAATCAAATAATACTAATAATAATAATAAAAAGATTGTTCAATATACATATATAATAATAATTTAAAAATGTCAACTTTCTAAGAAAGGTTTAAGGGTAAAACAACAGTAATGAGTAGGAATGGCCTAGAATCAGTAATTAATTCTTGTTAATAACCAATTAAGAAAGAATTTGAATGTATGATAAATGACTTATTACAGATTAAAATAGATGTCCTCAGATTTAATAACCTTTACAATAACAAATTAATGTTCAACCTGTACTTACACAAATTCAATATAACAATTAATAGAGTCATTAAACCTTATATTAACATAATCCATACATACCAGAGTAATAGATTCAAGATTCTCTATAATATTTCAATCAATAGTAATATTTTCAACCTTCTTTTGATTATTAAGTAAGACAAACAGTTAATGAACCTTAAAAAAAAATGGAACAAAGATCCTAATCTGCAAAATAATAATAATAATAATCAGTAGATGATTTGTAACGGTACAAACCATACACCATAAAGGATTATGAGATAATGAAAAAGACTGCAAATGCTAAATTAGGAGGTTTGGGACCTAATATTAGTGGAGAAGAATGGGCAAAAGAAAAAGAAAAGCAACTTAAAAGATAAGAATTTGCAGAATAAGTCAGACAATTTAATTCAACTAATATAATAACTATAAAAAATAAAGAGATTAAACAACCTGAAATAAATGCTAGGTATTATTAAAAATATATCAAGACAAAAGGCAATAGAATTTGCCAGAAATATACCAAAACCTGTTGTGAAAAAGAAGGATGATAATAATACTATGAAAATTATGCATAATAAAATAATAAATAATAATTAGGATATTTTTAATGATGAAATTGAAAGACTTGAAAGAGAACATATAAAGTATTTAAATTAATTAGATAAGATGAAATGATATTTTTTTATTAATATAATTATATGTTCTCTATAATAATAATAAATTTGGAATATAATATAATTAAAAAATGATATTAAAATATATTACACATTTATCTTATGTCAATAAGTATTATTAAAATTAAAGAAATAAAATGGCTATTTTTATTTATATACTCCTGTCAAATGATGATTCTTTGATTATTAGATTATTTATTTTAGAATACAACAAACAGGTTTATTGTATCTAGAGAAAAAGCATGGTTCTTCACATTTTTGAGAATTCAATATAGTACTATAAGCAAGTGACAAAGCATTCTTAAATTAAAATATTAATAATAATTACTTTAATATGCTTGATTTTAAAAGTGCTACTAGCAATGTTATTGCCTTTATTATGTAAATCCAATATAACTAATTCTTATTATCCTTGATCACTAAAATTAGATGAATCTTTACAATTAAGGAAATTGTTATTAGTAAATATTAGGTTCATCAACTTACATATTCTCTGTTTGGGATGGAACAATATTTATAATTTTATTAAAATAATCGATATCTTAACTATAAAGATCGAAAAAGTCCAAAAAAGTCTTACCAATTTCTTCATTTTCGATATCACGTACACGTTTAATTTGTAATAAAGCTAAAATCATAGTCAGAATGCTATAGCTATTCAAACCACCCTTATTACATATTATTGATATACTTGATAGGAATTTAATAGATTAATAGATTTAAAGTAAAACTTCAAAATTAATGCTAGACTTTTAAATTATTTAAATTCTTTCTAAAATTCAATCATTGAATTAGCAGTCTTTCTACCAGAATGATCATTTTTACTAATGGTAATATCAATAAGTTTATTTTAAAATTCTTATGAACATTACATTTTCAAAACAGGTTTTCTAGCATTATCAATAACTTTGACATCCTTAATAAAGCCTTGTATCTAAAACTATATACCATAATACTTTAAATTATTCAGCAATCTTATATAATGAAATCTTTTCTTATTCATTTGTTTCAATTACTATATCAATATCAGAATCTAATAAATTTAAACCAGTTTAACAAGAACCATATAAAAATGCACGAGATTTAGAACATACTGATTGAACAGTCTATTATAATATAATCTATTATACTTCATCAACCATTTAAACTATTTTATCAATAATTGGTCTTTATTCTTCCAATAATTTATTTAATTCTTAAGAGAATGTATTAATTTCAAATGATAATTATCTAATTATATAGATATTATAATTTACTTAACAATGTCATCTAAACTAGTTCTATGATGAGGTAGTGTGATAAGTGATTCAGAGATCAATTAATCATAAAATGGTTGATTAATATAATTATTTTCTGGAATTTATGATTCTTAATCTTTTTTTTCTTTATTTTCAGTTTAAATTGCTTAATCATTTAATACTTTTATTGGTTTCTAAAATATTTCATTAAAATCTTCATATTTATTAGATGATTTCTATGAAATTTAATTATTTTCATTAAAATCTTCTTATTTTCTTTTTCTATTGGGCGATTTTTGAAATTGAATTTCTTCTTCTATAAGTTAATTTCTTGTTTCTTGATTGCAAGCAACATCTAATGGTGTTTAATGTAATTAATTTTTTTTTTTATATAGATTTTCCTTTTGACATATACTTTTTATAATTTATAGATTGCCCAATCTAGAAGCTATATGTAATGCTGTATCTCCATTTTCATCTTATCCAGAAGCACCATATTATTCAATAATCTTTTATGCAGTTTTAAAATTGCCTTTACGCATAGATTTGATTAAATGTTAAGGTTTTTCAAGTTATGTTAATTAAAGCAATGTTTCTACAATATCCCAATTATCTTATTCTGATTGTATTGCAATATCAAGTGCTAATTTAAATTACTTTTTGTCAAACTTTTCTTTATATTTAATGATCTCATTCAATATACTAATTTTGCCGCTTTTTGCTGCTTAGATCAAAGCAGTATTTCCTTAATTATCCTTATAATTAAAATCAATTTATTATCTTGATATTTTTGGTAATGATTTACTTTAGAATTTATTAAATGCATTATAAGTGTTCTTCACTATCTCTTGTATATTAGATGCATTCAACTAAGGCTTATGAAAAATTCATTTATGCTGTTTAATTTACACGTATATAATCTTCCAATTAAACATATTCACCTAAATTGTAAATGAAGTTGTACCTTGATTAGTATATTCGACTATTTTTTATTAGTGAATAGATTATTATTACATATTGTGATTTTTAATAATTTAAATATTACATTAACAAAAATTATCATAATCAATAATTTATAGATATAAATATTAACTATAATAATCAAGTAAAAAAATACAAAAACTATTTATTAGAATCAAATTTGTTAAGTTGATTCTTATAAAATAAGAGTTCTTTGACCATTTAACAATATGTGTATTAATTCAAATAGTCTCATATTTCCATCAAGTTTTTATGTTTTAACTTTGCCCACCAAAATAGATAAATAAGGTAGAACAAAATTCTAATGAGATTAATTTATTCTATAATAGTAAGCTTATAATATTAAATTAGATAAGTCTCTGACCATAAGAAAACAAGATAGTTTACTTATATCAAATTTAAATTCGTATTCATTTTGATTTCGCAATAATACAATTATGTCAATCAAATAAATCTTTTACTTTATTATATTACAATGATATACCAATTATTATTTCTATAAGGATTTCCATACTTTTGTCTATAATTGATCCATTTCAATGTAAGAAGAAGGACTAAAATATTTTGGAATTAACATTTTACTTAATATAATTAAGATTACAGATTGTAAGTGTTTCTTAACTACTTATTGAATTCTTCCCTTATAGAGTATTATTAATATCATCTTTTGTAGAAGCTCTCCGAAATGACATAATGTCAAAACTCTTGCAAAATTAATTAGACTCATAACTAGTAGTTCTTCCCAATGTGAAATTAGACTATTAAGTATGAGTGTGAAGTATTTGAACTTTTCTTAATATAGAATAATCATTTGTTGATGGCACTTATTTCATTTATAATTTTATAATTATAATTTAAATATCTATATGATTATATATTTGTTGGATACATGAATATAAAAGAAAATTAGAAAATGAATTGTTAAAATCTATATGAGTATTCAAAATAATATTTATAAAAATAATAAAAGAAAATGTCTAATATAAAAATTGTATATCAAAGAAAAGTTCATAAATTACCTCCAAAGATTACAAGTCATTAGGAAATCATAGAAACTATAAAGTCCATTTACCCTCAAATCAAAGAAGTCCATTTATATACTATTATCAATCCTAGTAGAAATTTAAAATTATTCTTAGCTGAACCAGATGGAATTGAGGAAATCAATTGTGATTTAAATTTAACATTACTTAAAAAGTTGTATAAATAAATGGGATGGCCAACAATCAAATTACTTGTTGTAGAGAATTTAAATGATGAAAATCAATTAAGAAATTCCATGGATTTATTAAATCAAAGTTAAATTATGTTGGATAAATCTAATTATCAAGATTAATCCAATATTAATAAGTAAATAATTGATCTAAATATTAGAGTACAATAAAAATAAGTAATTGATTATAGAAAAGATGAAAAATTAAAATAAATTATCATCTAAACTATTGATGAACGATTAATGTACCATAATCTTTTGAATCCAAAAAAATAAGACACAGATATGATAGAAAAGGTTAAACAATTATCATAAATTTTTACCTAATATTCTTATGATTGGTTATTTGAATTTGTTAAACAATAAGGTGCTAATTAATCTTATGAACAATTAATATCGTTGCTGACTGAGAATTATTGATTATTTTATTCATATATTAAATAAATTAAAAAAGATTTAAAAATGGTAATAGCTTCACACTTATTGTTTAATAGGGAGCTCACAAATCCTTGAGAATGAAGAAAAGATTAATTAAAGCCAATAAATAAAATAGACCATTACCAAATTGGTTCAGATATAGAACTGATAATACCATCAGGTATTTCTAATTGCAATTTTTAGATATAATTCAAAGAGAAGACATTGGAGAAGAACTAAGCTTAATATCAATTGAGTTATAATAAACATTATTACATGTACAAATTAACATCAATACTCATTTTATATTTATACTCATTATTTTAAACACTCAATATATTAATAACTCAATCGATTTGTTAGTTTTTAAATATAAATGTTCTATGCTATTCCCCTTACTTTAAGTAAGTAATTTTGCAATAAAATCTATTGCTCCTTTTAATACATTATCTATTGTTCCATTTTGACCTACCTTTCCTATTGGAATTATTTATTTTATTTAATTTTTCATTATACTGAAAGTACTTCCAATCAAGTGATTAATGTATTCCTAATATTCTACAATATTATAATGTTTTTTATAATCAAAAGGCACCTTGGATGGATGAAATGGATATATTTTCCTAAGATTTAAATACTAATATTACTTGCTAGGTTTCTTTTCAATAATTTTATTATAGAGTGAATAATCTATAAGAATTAAATCAAGGTTAGGAAAGGATTTACCAGCTATATAAGCATTTTAACTCATAACATTATATTAAGGATATTTTTTTTAGAATTCTTCTAATATATTACCATGAACAACAAATGCCACTTTTACATGTATGGCTTCTTTAAGGGGACTGAATAAAAAATAATGATTATTACATTTAGATTATGGGTGCTTCAATTAATTCTGGTATTTTTTGTAATTCTGCAACTAAATAAATTTTACGATCACCATCATTATTAGTATGATAGTATTTATTTAGTGAATCGATTACAGATTCAATTTTAGATTTATCTAATTAAACTTTCTTTTCTGTAATATATTGATGTTTTCTAAATTGAGAATTAGTGCTTTTAAGTGCATCTGATCTTTTTTCAGCTTTTTTAATGGTAACCTTTTTTTAAGTGATTGAAGTCTTTTTGAGTGCTTATTATTGCATGTCCATTTTAATTTTTTTGATTACTTTAGATTTTCGTAAGCCCATAAAATAAAAATTAGTTATATTATTGATTTGAGAATGATTAATTTTATATATATTGATATATAAAGAGGTAATGATATTTGAGAGAGATAATAAAATAATAGAATAGTATGAATAATAAATAGTAGTTTGATGAAAAAAAAAAAAATAATTAACGAAATAAATATATGTAACAATCTACTGCCAAAAATCTGAGAGACTTACTCATAAAACAATAATTGAATTCTAAAATACATTTTAAAGGTGAACCAATAAAAGTGCCACTTAGAAAATAATCAGGTACTTGGGAATGTTAATGTAATCTCAAACATTGTGCTATCTGTACTCGTAAAAAGGTTAATCAGAGTCCAATGATTAGATAACAAGATTCAAAAAGAGATATGAAAGTTGGAAGTTCAATCTCTGCCCATCAATCACCTAATAGAGAGAAATAAAGTTAAATATTAATGAATAGATAACCATCTGCAAAGAAACCATAATATGCAGACAATATTATCTATCATAAAAGTAATATCAGCAATTCATAACTATATGAAAATAGTTATCAATTAAAAAGTAAAGTTGTACCTAAAAAAGTTGAGAGTAAAAGTATGTTGAGTAGTACTTAGATGTCATTTAAATTGAAATTGACTAGCAAATATAATTCTGCTAATTCAGTTAATTCAATCAATTCATAATCTCGATCTGAATAGATATTAAACTCAATATCTGAATCAGCTCCTAATTCTCCAAAAAAGGATAAATAATCTCATAGTCGTAAATCAGAATTGAATGATAAAACTCAATTAGTAGCATAATAAATTGAGAATCTCCCTCCAGAAATAGTAGGACGTTAACATTTTAAATTTTTATATGTAATTGGAAAGGGAGGTTTTGGTAGAGTATGGAAAGTAGAAATGAAGAAAAATAAAAAAATGTATGCTTTAAAAGAAATGGCTAAAGCTAAAGTTATTTAAAAACGTAGTGTAAATTCTGTACTAAATGAGAAATATTTGTTAGAACATCTACATCATCCTTTTCTTGTTAATATGTCATATGCATTCTAAGATAGAGAGAATCTCTATCTTATCATAGATCTCTTAACAGGAGGTGATTTACGTTTCCATTTAGGTAAAATGAGACGATTCAGTGAAGCTTAAACAAGTATTTATTTCTAATTCAATTTTTATTAGAATTCTTTGTTGCCTGCATTCTACTCTCTCTTACATATTTACATCAACATGGAATTATACATAGAGATCTTAAACCAGAAAATCTAGTTCTAGAAGAAGATGGATATATGAGATTAACTGATCTGGGAATTGCACGTATTAATAAGGGTAATAATGCTGGAGATACTTCTGGTACTCCAGGATATATGGCACCTGAAGTAATGTGTAGAATGGATCATTCAATTGTTGCAGATTATTATGCATTAGGAGTTATAACATATGAATTAATGCTTGGACGTAGACCATATAATGGTAGAACTAGACAAGATATTCGTGAATAAATATTAGCTAAATAAGTTTAAGTAAGGAGAGAAGAAATGCCTAATTATTGGAATGAAAGTGCTATGGATTTTGTTAATGCAGTATTGATTCAATATTATATATATAGTTAATTTAACGTAAACCTGAAAGAAGATTGGGAGCTAATGGAATAGAAGAAATTCTTCATCATCCTTGGCTCAAAGGATTTCCATGGGATGATCTCTTAAAAAAGAAACTTACAGCTCTTTATACTCCAGGAGTAATTTGATTTATCTAAAGTAGTCTGTAGATAATAATTTTGATTTCCAAAATTAGATATCAGAAGAAACACAATTGAATGATGAGTAATTACTTGAAAATCAAGTAATGTTACGTCGAGATACTGTCTAAGGTAATAATAAGATAATATATATATATATAGCATTATTTGATGGATATCAATATGATGCTGATCTCTCAAAATTATAACATTAATAAACTCAAAAAAATTCATAGAGAAGATTTTAACAATCACCAGACAAAAAATGAAATCTATATTTATATATATATGATTAGTTAATATTAATTTGTATTTTTTGAATATTGTTTCATTATCCTTTTCTTGATGAAACTTATTATTATTTGGTGACTGCATGTTCTTCAATCAATGAATCACCAACATATTCATTTACTCTTTTCTTGAGATACTCATTGACAGTTGCAATCTTCTCTCTGTAAATCAATAAAGATTCTTCCAATAATTGATTCTCTTCATGTCTTTTTTCTTTCTCTGCATTATATAACTTCTTCTTGTAATTGTATTCCTCTAGAATAACCTGTAGATTCATGTAATACCTTAAGTTAAACTAAGAATTCTCATGCTTTAATCTTATAACTCCTTCTTTTTCGTTAAAATATCAGAAGCTAATTCTTTGTCATTTTATAAGGAATTCAAAAATTTGGCCTTTGCATCATATTCTTATTTCAAAGATTCCTATTCAGCCAAAAGATTTGTCTTGAAATCAGCAAAATCATTAGCAGATTATATTTCCTATTCTTCCAATCCCTTAATAGTTTCTCTTAATTTTTCAATCAATTATTAAATTACTCCTACAACATCCTTTGTCATTAATTACACTAATTATTCACCATTTCCTCTCTATCCTATTAAATTAATTATCATTTATACTGGTTTATGAAAATGAAGTTTCATCATCTCCTAATTTCACAAAGTCTTAGACTGCTTATTCTTCAAAAAGATTGGCATATTTGCTCAATTTCTCAGCATAATCTCCAACATGATTCTTTTCAATCAAATTGGTTTATTTGCTTTAGGCATCACTTCTAACCCAATCAAGTACTGAAAGTGCATTTTTGTACTCTCTAAGGGTATCAATGAATAAAGCATTGGCTTCACAACGTTACCTATAGTGTAATGAATATGTGGTTACTCAGCCAAATTCTCTAATTTCACTTCATTTGCCTTGTATCTCTTATTATTCCAATTCAAGTAATCTGTAGTTTATTGAATTTTCAAACTTAATTAAATAAAATAAACAATTACTCAACAGCTTCAAGGTCTTATGAGGCAGCTGCAGCACTCTTTGAATTTACATTCACAATTCCTGAGAATTCATTGATATCTTATAAGATAGCATTCTCAAATCTCTAGAATGTAAGATCAGCCTTGTCTTAGGCTTCAACATTGGCACCCTGTAAATCTTCCAAGAGTGTTAAAACAGATTATATAGCATCCTATGAGCTCATCACATTTGTCTTAGAACTAAGCAAATTCAAAAAATCTGTGTTGATCTTCTTTGGACTGCACAAAACACCTTGGCTTAATAGTAAAATCACTAGCACTCCTGTTACACTCTTCATTATTTATTTTATTATTACTATAAATACCGTTTTTATTAATATTAATTAAATCACTAATCCTATAATCTTTTTTATTATTCCTTCTACTCTTTATCATCGAATCATCTGACCTATTCTATTTTCTTATGCAATTCCAATCCATAATTCTCTCCAAACTTATGATTAAATATCTTCCTATCACAAAGTCAATTATATCTAAATACATATCCCTTAATTCTACTCTCCTATTTATCAAAATTCCAAGAATTATATCTATAATAAATCTTCTATTATATAATTTGTTATCTCTGGAAGAACTTTTACATGCAGATTAAAAACATATTGAAATAACATTCTAATCTAAACTAGAATTTCTTTATTATATGATAAAATTCTATTATACATATGTCTATCAATTGAGTTATTTTTTTTATTTATGCATCCTCAATTCCTTTCTTTATTATATTCTATATAATTTAATTTACTACTTTTTAACAATGAGTAAATAACTATTTATGTTATATTTTCATATAAATTTTAATTCATTATCTTAAAATTTAAATTATTATATTTCCAATTATCAAAATATATTTGTCTTTGTTATGTTTACATATATGATATAGGTAGTAAATAATATTTAATAGCAAGGAATTTGATATGAATATCGTGATACATAATCTAATTATTATTAATATCTTTTTTATTATATGATTAAATCATAATGTATAAGCATTACTATTTATATTCATTCTAAAATATTTACACTTAACATATACAATTTACACTTAACTTAACAATTCACACACAATACTTTTATAATACAATATATTAATATTAAATAAAATGTATATTAGTCTTTCCTCTTAGAATAAGACTTGGTGGACTCATACTTCATTGGTGCCAACTGAAACTCATCAGAAGGTGTAGGATGTTATAAATGGAGTGGGTAGTTTCTAAAATAAGGCAACATTGATTTCCACATATTTGAGTTTGGAAGCAGTTAACAGGATTCCTGTTGCTAAGAAATTAGCTATATATTTCAAAGCAGCAATAGTTGGGGCTACATTCTTTGGATCAAGGTATTGAGGATTTATAATTAAAGAATTGCAGCAGGGTCTTTTTATTAAAGAAGCATATAATCAGAAGTTAGCAAATTATTGGATGGTGCACCAATTTGGGAAAATAAGTTTGATGTACCTGAGTTGGATAAGAAATTCTTCTTCATTGATGACGATAACAATTTCGAACCTTCTTTATGGCATCACGGAATGTATGATATTATTAATTGTAAAAGCAATTCCATTGAGAAGCCAAAGGTATTTTACAAGCATGAGTGATTTTAATCATTTAATGGATAAAATTTAAAATAAAATTAAATCTTTAAATAAATTATGGGACGTATGCAAGCAAAGGGAAAAGGAAAGGGTATCTCAGGATCAGCCCTTCCATACAAAAGAAAAGCACCAAAGTGGTTGACACTCTCATCTAAGTCCATCGTTGATTAGATTGTAAATTTGGCAAAGAAGGGTACAAGAATAATATAAATTAAGGTCTTAATGGATCATAAATTGGTGTTTATTTGAGAGATCAATAAGGAATCCCATAAACTAGATTCTTGACTGGTCAAAAGATCTTGAGAATCTTGAAGAAGAGAGGTAACTATAACCTTTAATTAAGGTTGTGCACCAAAAATTCCTGAAGACTTATATGCTTTAATTAAAAAGGCTGTCTAAATTAGAAAGCATTTAGAAAAGAATAGAGGAGATATTACAAGCAAATTTAGATTGATTTTGGTTGAAAGCAGAATCCATAGACTAAGCAGATATTATAGAAGAACCCAAAAATTGCCATCAAATTGGAAATAGTAAACATAAATCTCTAAACATATAGTGTATCAAAGACTGCATCTGCCTTAATCGGTTAATGAGCAAAAAATTTAATCAAATATAGTACATTATTAATAATATAAATAAATAATTCCTCATGTAAATAGAGAGAATTTCTTTTTCTATTGTTACACTCCAATTAAAAGAGGTTCAAGTTATTTCTTAAATTACCAAATTTGATCAGAGACATTAGCCAAACCTTACCATTATGATTCCATACGAGCTATAAAAATAAATTTAATATATGTACCATCAAATGATTTAATCTATTCTTGTAATTCATCTCTATTTATTCTAATGTTTTCTACTTTGTTATTAAGTAAATCAATTTTAATTTCTAAGTTTTTTTCAATCTCATACACATTTAAACCAATTTAATTTATTCTTTCATTCACTTTTACTTCATCTGTCTTTAGAGGATGATTTTATTGATTTAATGAGGAATTCATAGATAGACTCTAAATTTAAGTCCCACCTAAATCACATTATAATTATTCTCGAATTGCTTCAAAACTAGATTTTAAATATTGGAGGATACTCCTTTTAATAGTTAATCATTTTATTTACAATTGTATATCAACCAATTAACTTTAAAATTGATCTAATTTTTAATTAATCTCTTTCCAATTAGGATTGCCTTCTTCAGGAATATGTAAAAACTACATATATTGAATATATATATTGTACATTTCTTATTATTTATTCTACTCTCTAAGTAAATTAGTCTGAATGCTCGAAATCCATAATATAATTAAAAAAAAATTATTAATTAATTCATTTCTATTAGATGAATTGCATAAAGAGCTATTCTTTAAAGGAATCTATCAACTCAGTTTCATTTGGTATAATATAGGATTCATTTTTCATTTTTTATTTGGTTAATTGAGATCTACACATTGGACAAGAATCTTGTTCTTTAACTATAAACCATCCATCTATACAATCTTAACAATAACTATGTCCACAAGGTAATAATTTATCAATCTTTTTTGCAAAACATATTTGACAAGTACCTTCTTCTTTTTAAAAATCAAACATTAATATTGATTACAAATCCTCTAATAATTGTCTACAATAGTAAAATTTCTGCTAAGTAATTAAAATATATTCCTTATCAACAAATATTCCAATACATAATTCATCTTACTTTTTAAAAAATGGAATAGTATCAAATAAATCTTATTTCCTTTTTGTCACTTCTGCTAGTAATTATTTACCCAAGCATTATTTAATTGTTGGAGATCTTGAATTACAAAATTTGAATACTTAGCTAACAGATTAAATGTAGCTACATCCTTAATGAGCACATGTAAAGGTCTTTATTCCTAAGTTTATTGTTATCCCATAATAATATTTATATATAATCTCAGAATCTGTTACCAAAGTATTAATATGTTGCTGTTAATTTCTATGACAAAATGTTCTAATATTCTTTCTACTATCCCTATTTATCTTGTTCTCTCAGAAGATTAAACATAATAAGTATTTTCTTAAAGATCACATCATTCATGTTCACCATCTAATGTTTCATGAGCTTATTATAATTCCAACTATATATTATATATTTATTTACTGAATGAACTTCATAGAAATGAGGCAATATCAATATTAGCCTTGAATGTTTGAATTGCTTATTCTAATTGATTCTTTCTATCAACTAATATATTTAGTTCATAAGTCAAATAAGTAGAAAATTCAACCCATCTTTAACCTTATCTAATTTCAGTATCCTAAATTTATGACATACCATTACTTCAAAATTAGACCCAGCTCCTATTAATTGTTATCTAAGTTATGAAAGTAATTAAAGAATTCTTAAGATTGCTTTTTGATCAACCTTTGTGGCTAATCCAGTTTAGGCAGTAACAATAGGTTAAATTAGAGCACCATGACTTTCATTTTCAATTAATCTCATTTATAAAGCTTCAAATTTTTGTTTAAGTTCAGCAAATGTTGCATCCATAGAAAGATATTAAACTAATTAATTAGTAGTTTCATCAACAACTACAATAGCATCGTCATTTTCACCATTCTTTCTAACCCAAAATTTATGTGCCTTATTTTTTTTGGTATCCTCTTAAGCAAATGTTCTATCATTACATTTAACATCCTTTTTATTATATTATATAATTATTAATTATATAATTTATCTGGCATCAGTTTCAGTTTCAGCCAATGCCTTTTCATTATCTTCTCTCATTTATGCATTGGCTGTTATTTAAACTGTATGATAAGCAATAGAATTTTCTAATTCTGTAATAATAAGAGTGCATGCTGCTCTGTCAATTCTAATAATATTATCATGTTTATTTAATCATCAACCAATCCAGCCAAGACTTGATTAAGTAATACTAAGATTTCTTCAGCATTTTCTTTTAATTGTAAATACATTCGAACAGTTGAGAGAATAGTATTTCGAAAGTTATCAGCATCAAATTCTGTCAAAATAGTTTAAGTATCCTTTTAAACTGCAAATACAGATTAAATGATTAACGCAAAACTAATTAGTTTGTATTATTAAAACATATTAACAATTGATATAAAAACTAATCAAATCATTTTTATTTATGTAAATATTTCATCCTTATATATGTTTATCATATGTAAGTGTTGACAATATTTGCTTATTAATGAGTTTCTAAAATCATGACTGATTAATAAACTTAATAAAATAAAGCTTTTATATATAATAATGAAGATTTCATATAAATTTATATATCATTTATAATACTCAATAATATGTATAACAGATATTTTAATACTTATATAATAATTCAAAATATATTTATTTAATATATTGGCTTATAATGATGATTTAAGTAAATAATTTGAAAAATGTTAATTTACAGATCAACAATATAATTTGGATAATTAATTTCCATTTTTTTAAATTAAGATTTTTACAACTGAATTAAGAGAAATTAGTTAAAGGCATGTATAATGTAGATTAATTTTATAAAATATATATAAATTTGAAATGCGTTTTGTGATTGGAAAATCCAATAATAACATAATAATTGAGTATAAATTCCTAACAAAACTAAATAAGCTATATTTAACATTTAATTATCCAGAATATAATTTAATGGATGATTAAACTCTGTTGATTAATATAATATTCATAGAGTTTATTTTAAATTTATCATTTATACATTGACAATCTTAATCCATTTATAACAATGTAAATGTTCAAGTAAAATAATAAATGTTATTTAACTGAAGTAAAAGAAAAACTCTATAAGATTCAATAATCGATTATGATATAATTAATTTTATTTAAATAATTGTATATGATTATAATATGGAGTGGATGCAAATAATAGTTGATTAAAATATTAACTTGAAGTAGAGTTAGATGATGATTGGTAGATTAATGTAAGTAATCACAATAGAAAAATCAAAATTTTGAGACTATTATTAAAAAAAAGTTTAAATATGAATTAATAACAATTTATTCATTCTTCTCGTTTATCTACAGAGATTGGAGATGAGAAAATGCTTCTGCATAAAGACAAACTACTTCAAAAGATAATAGAACAAGTTCAATTGTTGATGTCCAATACTAATTAAGTATTTATTTTTGTATTAATAGTAGGCAATGGAGGGAGATTAACAATTCTATGATGGATTCAAATATGGCATTGCTCATTAATAGATATGTAGATAGAAATATAAATTTTAGCTGACATGATGTCATAGGTTTAGATGAGTTCTAATATTGATCAACCTAGAAGAGTATTTTCATAATAGGTTTTCACTAAAATGTCTTAGATACTCAAAAGTTACAGCACTTAATAACACAAGGTTACCATAAAAATCAATTAACAATTACACTATTTAGCAAGAGATACCATACGAACAATTTAAGAGGCTTTTGAAGCTTGTTAGTAAGTTGATAAAGTTCAATTATGTGGTAAAGATGCCTCCTTTAAATAATACGATAAATATATTAGATAATTAGATTAATTGGGATTCTTTTGGGAATAATTACATAGTCTAGAAAATAGAACCATTACAATAAATAAGGAGACTATTTCTTCTGAAATATCATAATATTTAGATCAATGGTTGGATACTTTAATATAGAGATTTGATTTTAAATAGACTTCACAAAGGCTTTAAACACCATAATAAATTAAATCAATTTAAGCTTCAAAAGTCTAACCTTAAGTGGATCATAGATTAAGAAATGCTCATGAATTATTTGCAGGACTTGGCAGAGAGAAAGATTAAATAGCAGCTCTTCAATTATACACTAAATTGGCAGAAGAAAATAATGCAACAGCTTAAGCAATTATGGGATAAATATGTTTAGAAGGGATAACAGGACCAAAAGATTATGATTAAGTAAATTTTAATTATTATTTATGTTAGGCATTTAGTTATTTTAAAAAAAGTGCTGATTAAAGGAATACATTCAGTTTATATCATACTTCCAAATTGGTTTTGGTATTTATTAAATTAATTATTAAAAGGAAGGAAAAGTATATGATAAATTTTCTGATAAAGATGATAATAATACAATAGTAAGTAAGTATTCAAGTGAAGCATATAATCGAAATTATGATTGTACTTTTGCATTGACTCTTTTAAAAAGAGCTGCAGAATTAGATCATTTAGAATCCATGATTTATTTGGGAGATCTATATAGTAATGGACTTCAATTATAGGATTGTAGAATTTCAATAATAATTTATTAGATACCTTAGAGAAAGATTATTCAAATGCTGAATTCTATTACAAATAAGCTAAAAATAAGAATTCTACATAAGCAATGCACAAATTGGCTCTTCTTTATTAAACAATGTGTAAATAACCACTTTATAAAGTAAATTATATATTTATTGAATTATAGAATAGAAGTTAATTAATATAACCACTCTTAAATCAAGCTAAAAATCAAGATTATTTACCTGCTTTTTATGATTTAGGATTACTACTTTATTAAGGATTACAAGATGAAGTAGAATAGAATTAAGTTATGGCTGATTTAATTTTTGAATAGGGATGCATGAAAGGTGATCTTAAATGTGCTTAGAAATTACTTAGTTTAAGATTTTAAGCATTAAGAAAAAATGAAGTTGCAATTGATGATTTCTTCTCTTTACTAGATCAAATTGAAGAAAATAATAAGGATTGGACTATAACTTATTATATGAGAGGAAAAGTTTATGAAAAGGGTGTTTAAGTGGAGAAAAATTTAAAGAAGGCACAAGAATAATATAGATTAGGTTACATGAAGGGATGCTAAAAATGCAGAGCTTAATTAGATAAATATTAAAAAGATACTATTCCAACAGATAATAATCCTACTAATTCTTAATAATCTTCTTTAAATCAAAGATAAACAATTAATGGATTCATAGAATAAGTAAGATAATCTGAATGGAGAAGACCATTTTAAAAATAGAGATAAGTATCTATTGGAAATGTCTAATAAATTTTTAACAATATTGATAATGATGTTTAATCTACAGTGTATAAGATTATTTTGATTAATTTTAGTTAAGATAGATATACTAGAATGACTATTAGTATTACTAGACCAAAGAATCAAACTGATGATAGAAAGAGAGGAGTATCTGCCTCAGAATTGCCATTGTAAGATATTGGTAGAAGTATTCTCCTATCATAAATGAAATCTCCTGAGAAAATTCATTAGCATTCTTAGTTTTGGTCTCCTAGATTACCATCTTAATAATCTTAAGCTGGATCATAAATTACTAATTCTACTACCAAAAAAAGATTCAATCTCAACAAAATTCGGTAAAATAATTATCCAAGTAATCAATTTGAAAATGTAGTTAAATGAATTTATTAGAGTTATGTTAATTATTTCAATTATTTTTTTATTAATTCTAGGATATTCCAAAATATATCCTATCAATTAGGAAAAAGAAAATTAAAGAATACTTAAAATCATTTCTAATAATTTTACAATTTTTATAAATTAAAGATAAATTGATAATGTATTTCAAGCAGTCTGAATAATAAATTATAAATATATAATTTCTTTTATGATATTTATTATACTATTTGTAGGTTTTGTTTAAAGTAGTGTACCACCTGGAACAGGAGAATGTAGTGTTTATACTACATAAAATGATTGTTTGAATTCTGGTTATTGTAAATGGAGTGGATCTTCTTGTGGACTTTATACCTCTGATTAAGATTGCTACAGGATTGATGAAATAGGGGCTTGTCGTATTAATGGAAAGTATTAGACTCTATGTACACCTTTGGATTTAGTGAGTATTGAATATAAGAATGTATGTGGAGTAAGTGCTACTGTAGATTATAATTATGTTAGATACCCAATTATTAATAATGGATATTCAACATACTCAATCTCTGGATTGACTGTTGCTTAATTAAAGGTTGCTAAACCATAAATGAATTTTCTATATTAAATTTTAACTGTGAATATTCAGGTAGCTCAAAATTCAGAATTATAAGAAATATTGGATTTATATTAAGAATACGAACCTGCATTTCTTAATGCAACAGTGCATCCCTTTTATTTGGAAAAGTGTTTATTTTAAACATTACAAAATTTAAGAGATGATACAACTATTTTAACTAAAGCAGAAAAAGAAAATACAATAACCAAGTTTTGGAATATAGTATAAGTATATTAAAAGAAAATGGCAATTTATAGTAAGCATTATCAAACAAACTATTACTTTTTGAATTTTGCTTAAACTACATTCTCAAGATTATTTATTTCAATTGAGGGATAAGATCATACTACTTCATTGACTTGGATCAAATATGAAAGAAATGGTTTCATATAGGTAATATCTTATACTCCAAAATTCTTTGGTATTAATGATGCTTTAACAGATGTAATTTATGTGAATGTAGTTGCTGAAGATGGAACACCTTTTGTTAAAATTGAGAATATGGAGATAATTTACACTCAAACAACAGGGACCCTGACTAATATAGCAAGGTAGTTATAGTTTATTAGTGATAAAAAATAAGTACCTCATACATTTTCTTCCTCATTAACATCAACACCATGTGATGATATAGAAAGAACTTGTAAATTTACCCTTCCGTCACCTTTAACAGATTCTTAATTTATTTTTTATATATAGAAATGAATTAATAAAATTATGATCTCATTAATTTTCATCTTCCTCATAACTATATACGCTTAACCATATGTTGGATAATATGTTTGTTCAACATTAACATCAACAACTTGTGGAACGGATGCAATTAATGGTAAAGGCTGGTGTTATTGGGATACGTAAATTTATGACAATAATATGATAGTGCTACAACTACATGTTTAACTTTACCATGTTATCTTATTGATGAAGTAGCTGCCTGTCGAACAGGAGGATCATTATAAACTGGTGGGGCAAATACAGATTGTGATTCCTTAGAGACATTTAGTCTATAATATGATAATGTGTGTTGCGATAAGAATCTTGGAAAATTGAATTATGCCTTTGTAAGATTCACTATGAATTTTGATGGATATGTTGATTAAACTAATGATACCCCTCCTATTTCTATGGCATCTTTAGATATTACTACCAGTGTCAAACACATGTTTAAATTGTATACAATCAACCCTTGGCTGGTATCCAAGGAAACAACTGAAGTCAATTTTCAAACTAAACTAATTGCTATCTTAGATAAATACTTAGAAACTGCTACTCGAAATGAACTACTTACGTAATCAAGATCTCACCCTTTCTACTTAGAGAGAACAGTCTACTAGGCTTTATAACTACTCAGAGATTGGACTGTCATGCATTAATCTACTATTACTCTTAGAAATGCCATTCTCCCTAAGATTAGGAGTGTAGCTCTTGTTGCTTTAACTAGAATGACAAAGTTTCAACCAAACTATTATCAAACTAACTATTATTTTGTTAATTTTGCCATCATTCCTTACTTTAGAAACTCACTCAAGATTTCAGGTTAATTACACACTTTGACAATTGATTGGAGTGATTATGCTTATACTGATAATGGTTATGTGATGGTGTATTCATATGCCCCAGAATAATTTGGTATAATTAGAGCTTATTCTGATATTGTTTGCATTCGTCCATTCCTAGGAAATAGTGTAACATATGTAGATACTGAAAATAATTATGATAATGCTTTTTCTTAAATTAAATTTACTTATTATTGGTCAGATACTACTCAAACTATCAATGACCAAACAAAGGTTAAATTATTTAAAATTAGTGATGATACTTAAACTATTACAGATACATTAGCTACTTTTAACTGTGTTGCTGCTACAAGAACTTGTACAATTAGTGCTAATTATTCACCTTCTCCTACTCCAACAGACGGTAAAGGCCAAAATTATTTTATTGCTCATGCCGACTATAATACAGCATAAAATGAAAAAAAAAGAGCATAATGTATCTTGGCTTATAAGACCTGGACAACTACTTGCGCTTGAGTTTTTTATTGAGAAGTTTAAAAAATTAATGTTAAATAATTATCATTTCCTTTTTCATTAATACTCTTAGATTCAAATTAAATTAATATTATAATTATTATAGTATAGTATTTTTGAACTATTAAATTTTTAACTATGTGATTAGTTATTTTTTGTAAAACTTAGAAAAAATTAATAAAAACTATTTACTTTTAAATGTAGATTACTAAAAAGAGAAATAGTAGTAATAAATACAGCTATTATTCTACCAAATTAGATTAAATTATTAATGCACAAATATTATTATTTTATATTTTATATATTGAATAATTTAATAAATATGAATTATTAAATTAGGCATAATTTTATTGATTCTTATTACATTAATCATAATATCATTAAGAGAATTTGATAATAATACTAAATTTAAATCAAATTTTTGATTTTGTAAATACTAAATATTAAATATCTAGTTTAATCTATTGATAATTTTAAATTATATCTTAGATAAATGTTATCGGAAATAGGACATTTGTGCAAATATTTTGAAAGAATGACTATTTTACAAATTTAATTAAAATATATATATTAATATTATATATTTATAATTTAAAATTAAATTAAAATTAAAATTAAAATATGAAATTTATTATAATCACATTTATCACACCATATTTACTATTAATGTTATGCAAAATTAACTATACTAAACAATAAATTTATTGCAGGAAAGATGAAATCAAAGATTATTAAAATTAATTCTTTCCTATTATTTACATAAATAATGGGAATAATGAATATGTATATAAAGAGAATCCATAATTTTTAGAATAGATTACTACTTTTGATGAAGAATTACTAAAGGATGATAAGATATTAATTTATTCAAACATTTAAGCATAAAGATTAATTTAAATTTATTAAAGAGAAGAGGAATATTTATTATAAATGAAAGATATCAATTTAATCATTATTGATTCTAAGGAATATTAAATTAAAATGGAATTAATATATTCATTTAATTTTTAAATTGAAAATTGTAATAAAATCATACATTCCTATTATCTGAAATATTAAAAATTCATCATAGTTTGTGAATAAATTGACAATTATTCAATTAAAATAATCAATATAAATTAATAAACAATTTATATTCAATAATCCTTTGATTATATTAAAGATACAGAATGCTAATTTGATGTATATTTTTCATAAAAATATACATAATTCTATGTGATATATTTAAATTGTTTGGATTGGAAAATATATATATTTCATTTTGATAAAGATGATACTCAAGATAATATAGTATTTGTAAACCAAGATTATTTTCCATATCGATAACAATTAGAAGTATTAAGGAAAATTATATTTGAAAACACTTATTTTCTTTTGTTTGATCATAATATTTATGAATTTTAATTATCCAATCACATTATAATATATACCAATAAAGAATCTAAAATTTTAGATTTTGAAAGTAAATCTGATAATTAAATCATTATTTTAGAATAAAAAAATGAATAGAAAAATATTTAAAGAATAATTAAAAAATAAAAAACATAGATAATAATTACAAAATAATTAAAACCTCAATAAATAGTAATAATGTCTGATTCTATTATCTTATTTAATGAATCATATATAGAATGTATTGTTAGATAAGATATGACATTTTTATTTCATATTTAATTAGAATCAATTCAAACTTTTTCATTTTATCCATTTTTCATTGGTAAAAAAAACAATAAATTTATTATTTTAAAAAAAAATAATTATTCTCCTTTTTTTAATTGTAATGATTATTTAAATCAAACAGATGTGTATTTGGCTACAAGTAATTTATTTTAAGAAACTTAAATTATTTAAATATCATTAATATTTAATTAATTTTAATAAAATAATGAATAAAATTTATCATACTATTTATCTATTAATAAGTAGATTGTTGAAGAGGATTTTTAGTTCTAATTAAAATTTTATGAATAGATTAACCCATTTCCAACATCTAAGGTATAATTTTTATAAAATGATGAAATTTATTGTGAAGATTAACAACAAGAGAATATTGATGAATGCTTTAATAAAAATGAACTTGATTTTTTATGGCAAATTAATTTATTTTATACTAATCAAATTTAAAAAGTTATTTAACTAAAAAATTCATAAATAATAATTATTAAATGTAATTCAAATGAAATTTTTAATTTAGGAAATTTTGAAAAAATCTAATATGAAAATGTTTATTCATTTCAAAATGATTTATTTCTATTATCAAATAAAAAGATGAAAGTTTTGAGAATTACAATATTAAGTAAAAATAATTATTTATAAAATATTTATGAATTTTAAGACTAAATTATTAATATTTTACATTNAATCAAACAGATGTGTATTTGGCTACAAGTAATTTATTTTAAGAAACTTAAATTATTTAAATATCATTAATATTTAATTAATTTTAATAAAATAATGAATAAAATTTATCATACTATTTATCTATTAATAAGTAGATTGTTGAAGAGGATTTTTAGTTCTAATTAAAATTTTATGAATAGATTAACCCATTTCCAACATCTAAGGTATAATTTTTATAAAATGATGAAATTTATTGTGAAGATTAACAACAAGAGAATATTGATGAATGCTTTAATAAAAATGAACTTGATTTTTTATGGCAAATTAATTTATTTTATACTAATCAAATTTAAAAAGTTATTTAACTAAAAAATTCATAAATAATAATTATTAAATGTAATTCAAATGAAATTTTTAATTTAGGAAATTTTGAAAAAATCTAATATGAAAATGTTTATTCATTTCAAAATGATTTATTTCTATTATCAAATAAAAAGATGAAAGTTTTGAGAATTACAATATTAAGTAAAAATAATTATTTATAAAATATTTATGAATTTTAAGACTAAATTATTAATATTTTACATTAAAATCCAGGATACTTATTTATTTTAAAATCTTGTGTTAGCTATACATTATTAGATAATAAATATATTTTAGAATAATAATAAAATTATAAAGTAGATTCCAATGGTTAATGTATATAATAAAAGTTATTATATAAAAACTTTTTGGAGATTGATCGATCAAATCATGTTTTCATTTTCAAAAATGAATTTATTACAAATATTATTCATTTTAAAGATGAGATAATACATAATATACATTAATATAATTAAGATGTAAATTAATTTTTGATCTTATCAACTATTAATAATAGAATTGTTGCTATTAAATATTATTATTATTATTACAAATTAATAGAAGTGTAATAAATATTAGATTATTCTTTTAATTATGTTTACCCATTAATTCATAGTGTAAATGGTTTTTATCTTGTGATTGCTGCTTATGATTATCTAAATACTTCAGTACTTTTAATTTATAACCTTGTCAATTATGATTAGAATCCATTAATTGATATTATCAAAGTTGATAACTTTACTTTCACTCTGACAACATATAATGAAATTTTTTTCTTTCAATAGAAAGTTTTTAAAAAATAAAAAATTTAAGAAACTTTAGTAAAATGTAGAATAAATTATTTTTCTGAACCATAAAAAAGTTTAAAAATAGGTATTCTTTTTATTAATTAATTTAATGAAACTCTTTCTCAAGTTGATTATATTTAGTTTAATTTAATTAATAATTTTCAGAAACTAAAATCTCTTGCTACTTAAGTGGTCGAATTTACATATCATCCTTATTCAAAATATATTCTATTTGATCCCAGAAAATTTGTTTCAGGTCCTATTGAAACTATATCCACAAATACTTATGACTTAGTATTGCCATTAATTCAAATTGATCAAATTAATAGGCGATATTGCTAAGAGATTTAAAATTCCACTTGCATTATAGAAAAAAATTAATCATTAATTATTTCTAACATATATGATGTTTCAAAGCATTTTATATAATTAGATTTAAAACAAAAATCAAATATTATGATATTGAACTCTGAACTTTATTTTTTTATATGTTATATGTAAGAAAGTGATCTATTTATTTTATTATATTTAAAGACAACCTTAGAAAATGTTGCTAATTTAACTATTATACAATAATTTAATAACCCTATATTAAATATTTAAACAATTAACTAATATTGCCTAATTATTTGTAGAGATATAATTTATATTTATGAAATTGTAAATAGTAAACTTAATTTAATAAGTACTTTTTATTGTGTTTAATGCTCTGTGAAATAAATACATAATTCAAATTTTATTGCTATATATTAAAAGATTACTTCAACTTAAATTATTGAATTTATTATTCTTGATTTTTTAAATTAAGAACATTTTAAAAAATATCTGCCTTTAAATGATTTAATTTATATTGATAAAGTTATCGAAGTTTAATTTGAAATTTTATCGATTAAATTAATAGAAGGTAATTAATATTATGCTAAACTATTTATATTGTTATCTTAATCCTTTAGCTATGTATTTGATTTAAATTTTAATGGAGAAAACATTACTAATGAAAGAAAAGTAATAAAAGCTTTATCAATTACCCATTATTAAGAAATTTTATTTATGTTAAACTATTAAATAATGATTTTTGCATATTTTGATACTTAAAATTTATTGTTTGCAATATCTATGTATAATCTCACTGAACTCAATCTTACAGATAAGATATATACCTTATATATGAGCTTCTCTTCTATTTAAAAATATAATGAATCTCATTTTATAGTAATACCTAATGATGATGATTCAGATCATATGGTTTATTAAGTTGTCTCATATCAAATTAAAATTGATAATGAATAAATCAAATCCTTTAATTTGACTTGTAAGAATTCACTATCTGAGGTTGAATTTTAAATTCATTTATTGAATGAAAGCTAAGAAAAGAGTTTTAAAATCTAATTATATATTATTATAGTTTGGGAAATTATTTTATTTATCTTTCTACTCTAGAGAAGAAGAAGAAGTAGATCTAAATAATTTTATTGATTATTAATTTTTGATTTTAAATAAATAAGATTTTAGTATTTTAAATGACTATAATATTAGAATATAATTAATTTTTAAAATGATTATTCGAAGATTTCATTAGAATTAAATTATTTATACATATCAAAATATTATTTCTTTTCTCATTTATCTAAATGAATGAATTTCTTTAGACATATTCGATTTAATTTATAATATATAAATAATTATATATATATTGTATATTCAATATACACTGGTAGACATTGTTTCATTAATTTTTCAATTTTATTTCTATTAAATTTACAATTTCAAAAGTTAACTAAGAATATATAATAATCTTTAAATTAAATTGCTTTTTATACAATATAAACTAACCAAAACAAGTTCTAATTTTGTTTAGAAATTATTAAGTTGAATTAAACCTTAAAAATTATATTATTTAAAAACTAAAATTAAGATTGTATAATGTTTTCATTTTAATCAATTTTTTTTTTAACCAAATAAGCTCTTTAGAACTAATTTTGCTTTAATAATAATACCATAAATCTTTTTCTAAGTAATAAATATATTTAAAGAACAAATAAAATTATATGATTTATCATAAATGGAATAAATGGAGAAAAATCAGCTTACTTTAAAATAAACAATTGGAAAATAAAAAAAATATATTTTAATATAATTTTCTTTTTTCTTTGTTTTTTTATCACATAAAGATAAAATAATCTATAGGCTTTATAATAAACATTTAGAAACAAGAATACTTATTAAGTATTATTATCTGTTAGTAGAGTTTCTATAAATTTTATCTATTGACTGGATGTTCTTCTTTTAATAGCATTAAACTTATATTGGAAATTTTGATACATCATTTCAATATTGAGAATGAGTTTAACGTTATATAATTTAAATATAAAAAAATGAAAGTGTAAACAATTCGAACTATTGATTTCAGCAAGGCAAATAAATAGATAAAGAATCTTTCTCATAAATTTCTTTAGAGCAAAATGCTTAGGAAGAACAAAGAGAATTGTAGCCCTAATACAATTTCTTAAGAGAATGCAGCAAAATAGCTTTTAGAAGCCCTTCGAAAACCTATCCTAAGATACTTGAGAGATTTGATTATGATTAAAGAATCAATGGTTTATGAAAGAAATATATTTGATGAGGTGTGTTCTTTGGATTTTAGTGAGAATTCAGATGTTGGAGAAGGTTTCAAGATTTCTTTTGCGACCTTAAGTATCAAATAAGAGAGCATTATTGATTTTTAGAGTATTTAACCAACTAATGCTCCTATAGTATTATTTAGAGTACTTTAAAATATAAGAAAGAAGAAGATGATGATTTCTTTTTAGGAAATTAAATATTATATACTTTAAAGGAACTTAACATCAATTAATAAGAGATTATAATATGCAAAGAGAGAGCAATTAAGAAAAATAATAATAAATAAGATGAAATAGGAGGAATTATTAATGTAAGTTTACTTGAAATATTGGTCTTAATAAACATAACTTTTGATATTTTTTGATCATTTTGGTTCTAAGATTAAGAAGATTTACAACAATAAATTAAGATAAGACTTTAATGTTATGAAATGTTAAATTCGAAGGATAGAGGGGTTTAGTCGATTAATAAGGTTAATAAATATTAAATTATTTGAATATGGATAATATTTGAATAAGTTCTATAAGAATTTGCATTTGCAAAAATGTTTATAGAAGGTATTCAAAAAGTAAATTAAATTTTCATTTTAACAAATTCAATGTATGAAATAAAGATCTCCGATTATATTTGAGTTATTGTATTAATTTCAAAATAAGCTATAGAAATAAAGCATTAAATTATTATTATTACACTCATTGAGATAGTAGAGGAGATTGAAGTCTTTTTCATATGGATTATAGGATTTAGAAAAGATATTAAGGAAATTAGATTATAGATGGGGATTTAATAAATTATAAAATAAATAAGAATATAAAAGAATGATGTTACCTACAAAATATTTAGTTATGATACTTAAAAAAATATAAGATAGATAAAAGAATTGGGTTTTGCTCAAATTAAATTAATGAAATATTATAAATATATTTAATGTCTAAAAAGCAAAATTCTTAGTCAGCTCCAGAGATTCTATAATATAAAGTGCGACCTCAAAATCATTATTAAATAGAATAGTTAGTGTTAAATGACATGAAAAAAAAAATAATAAATGATGAGATGAATTCAATCTAATTCTATGATATTATCCAACCAGATATGGTATAATAGATTTATATTTAGAATGAAATTGTTACTACTAATCCAAAGGATCTAACAAAGAAACCAATTAAGTTACATAAAAAAGTAAAACGCTCAGATTTAGAATCTAATTTAAGAAGTAAGTTAGTTAATGAACCTGGTGGTAAATTGTTACTTTAAGAAATGTATGTAATCTATTTATTAATTTTAGTTATGAAAAATTAGATGAAGATGAAAATACTTAATAAGTAAAAGCTGTGCTTCATAAAGAAGAATAATTTAAGGGAAATAGATAATATAAACCAGAAAGTGATGATTTGATGGTAGCCAATTTAGATTAATGGTGGAAGTAAGTAAAAATAAAGAAGTAGTAAGAATTTGAGAAGAAATAATTAGAGATTGAGAAAGAAAGTATTTAGAATATTGTTTTAATTTAGAATAGGTAATAGCCTAACTCTAAAAGACAGTATCGATCTCTTCATTTAGAAGAGGAGCTGTAGATAAAAGAACTGGTACAACACTTTTACCAGCATTCCCTAAATTAATGTAATCTCAATCATCTGATGATAAATCTCCATAAACTGAAAATCAAAATCTTTTTTAAGCTAAAGTTAAAGGTTCATTGGCTAAATTATCAAATTTAAAGAAAGCTGAATTATTACATTAAGATATGGGTTTAGTCAAATAATTAGATAAATATCTTTAATAAGGATCTACATTAACTTCATAAGAATTAATTAATATTGAATAAGCACGATAAAAATAATCACATGAAGAGAAATAAACAGATACATTGATATTTGATTATACTGTTGAGGGTTTGAAGAATAGTTTACATACAAGAATCAAGATGCATTTGACAAATTTCTTAAATGCAAATGAAAGAGCTGTCTTTTATGAAAAATAGACTAATTCAATTTTATAATAAATTAATGCTAAATTAGATAAATAAAAAAAGATAGTGACTAAAAATGATCATGATTTAGAAACTCTAAGAATGGAGAATCATGAAATATACAATAGATTAAGATCTATAGAAGATATATAAAAATAATTGAAAGAAGAACTTGGTAAAGTTGGAAATAACAATAATTCATAAATATAAAAATCATAGAAATCTTCTAATGTAGATTTTTATATGGCTACAGTTGGAAAACAAAATGAAATAGAGTCTCAATTAGAAACTATGAAGGATAGTTATAAGAAATATAAATTACAAATTAAACTTAATTTTAAATAGATTGAAAAACTAGAGACTGAAAATTCTAAATTAAATAAAAATAATAAAGAATTATTAAAATCTATATAAGGATTTCTATTGGAATTACTTAAAATTGGTCTCGATTGTAGAAAATAAGGATTATGTTGGATTGTTAAGGCTGTTTGGGATACAAATGAAAAATTAAGTGATGATAATTTCCCTTCTTATTTAGATTCAAAAGGAAGAGAATTTCTTATTTAAAAAGCCAAAAAAATTATTGAATTAAATGATTTATTTATTAGAGCTCATCAACTTTTTGGTAGTTATCATGGAAAATTAGAAACTTCGTAAGATAATTTAAATACTTCTATCTTATCCATTTTATCTAAAAATCATTTTTCGTAAATTGATTCTGAAGATATTAAAAGAAAGACTTTAAGAGATAGGAGAATGAAATCTAGTGGAGAAATTAATTTATTACTTAAAGGATTAAATAGAGAAGAAAAACAAAGTATTTAAGGAACTCTTACATAGATTTTCTAAAGTAAATAAACTTTGAATGATATAATATACACTGAAGCATAGAAGAAAATTTTAAAAATGTTTAAAACTGAAGCTAGTGTTATCTTAGAGTAATCTTTTATATCAGAAGATAAAGAAAAATTAATTAGAGAATATTAATAAATTTAAAAAGATATTGAATTAAAAGAAGTCTTGTTTAAGAAATTTGAAGATTTGGAATTATAGAGAATTGTTAAAGAAATAGAATATAAAAAATATTTATAAAGGTATTATATGATATTTTATAATATTAAAGATTTTCTGTAGAACCATTATAAGTATTATCAGCATTATTTGGATATGTGAAAGCAGAGAGAGAATTAATTAAATAGGGTATGATGCATATATCTAATAATTGAGTTTTTTTTTTTTAAATTGATCATTAATTTTTTGTAGTTTTTTTTTGGCAAGGCATCATTTATAATTGAACATTCTTCTTTACTTATGATTTTTATGGTTATTGTTATTATTATTATTATTATTATTTTTATAATTATTATAAAGATGTATTTATTGGATCTTCTTCTTATTATGCATTTTCTACTATTTCATTTAACTATTTATTATTAACAGGAGGTTTCTATATTTTATAAAATCTTTTAAGAGTGGCTGTACTACTACTAGAACTAGTTGGTTTTGCATTAGTAACAGTTGTAGGTCTGATTTCTATTTCATCTGATTTTTTTGAATTTCTTTTATAATTTGTAATTGGATTTTATTCAACAACTCTCAAAATACTCATAATATCTTTTTATTTTGAATCTTCAACAGTAGCAATTTCAATAAATATAGATAAAGTATCTCCTAGCCATCTTAATATAAAGACTCCTCCTTTGTGTTTTTTTTATATAAGATTATCAACTTTAATTCCCTTTTTAAATTCTTATTTAAGATTTTCAATCAACATTTTTTCTTATTAAATATGTTTTGCTCTATCATTTTTAAGACTGGATATTTTATTTTTAACTAAAAGTAACCATCTATTTAAGAAATGTTTTCCAAAATCATGATTTAATTATTCATAAAATTAAAGTGCATTTTCAAAATTAACTTTTGCTTATAGTAAACTACGTTCTTATAATGATATATAACCACTTGCAGCTTCACAACATGCAACACCAAGAGTACATCCTTTTTTAATAAACATTTCCTTTGCTTATTTAAATGCTTATTAAGATTTCTTTGGTTCTTTAAGCATATAATATACACATGCTTTTGTCTTGATTATATTAGCAGTGAATAATAAATCTCCATAAAAATATTAATAAGCCCAATTAATAAATTTTAGACATTCATTATATCTTCTTTAAAGTAATAAGATTTAACAATAATATAATATAAGTTTTTAAATTTTATCTTTTTTATTTGGTTATTAAGCAGAAGAAGTTTATTCTTCTTTAGCTTTACCAGATTTAGCTCTATCTCCTATCTTAGGAATAGCTTATCTTTTAGATAAAGGTTGATGTTGTTTTTCATCCTCTTCATTTTTTGACTTTTTCATTTCCTATACAATAGGTTTAATTTATTAATCAAGAAAAGTAACTCTTTAAATTAAAGGATTAGGATTAGGAGAAGATTTAATAAATTTTGGATCTACAACTTTTTAAACTTAAGTTTAATCACTCTAAATAACTTGAGGAAGTTATAATTATTAAAACTATTATTAGTTTTAACATTCTTAAGGATTACTAGTATCATCTATGAGTTCAGGTTTAACATTATTGGAGTTGATTTTAAAAAGTTTGGATTCAACATAATTAATACTCATTCCATTATCTGAATAATCTTTATTAGATTATAATTCATCCTCTTCTTCACTAATTGTTACACCAACTTTAGCAATAGAAAAAGATTTTCGTTTAGGAGCATTAGTCATATAATCATCAGAAATTTAATCAAATTTAAAACTTGATATAACAGAACCAGTGAAACCAACTTTAGAACTAAGATGAGATTTTTAACTATTGTTTTCATATTTTTTTTGCATCATTTCTAAATTTTCTTTTGTTAAAGGTAGATTAAATGTTTCATCATCATTTTCCTCATCCTTATTTTCTTATTTTTAAGGTTCAATTTCAAATTAACCATTAGATATAATTTCAAATTCTCTAAAAATAGCATTTTTTATATTTTATTCAATTGCTAAGAAATCATCATTTGGTTAATTATTTATGTCATGTGCTTATGTACCTATTTATGTATAATATGTCTATGATTTTTTTAGTAATAATTTAACAATATTATGATGATATACTCTTTTTTATTTTGAATCTAATTTACTCTCTGCAAATTTAATAGTAAAATTATATAAACAATAATGTATTTTAGTATTTTTCTTAGTTGATAATAATAAAGAACTCTTTATTAATTAAGTTGCCAATTTTTCCCATCCTGGTCCCCAAACATCATTTAATTCATCATTATATATTCCACATGGTAATAATCCTAACATACCAAAAAATATAGCAGCCTTTTCATATCTTTCTACTAAATTGGCCCAACTTAAATTTAATGATACTCTAAGTGATCTTCTTTCTTCTTCAGTTACTCTACTTGAAATAGGTAAATCCATCAATTATTTATAAGATAATTATTGATATAATTCTTTTAGAGTATAATTCTCCAATAATCCTGAAGATAATATTATTCCTTAAGGATGACCATCTAAAATTTAAAACAAAGCATGATTTGAAAATTTCTAAATCAATAATTTATCATTCCAAGTATACTTATTCAGAAGATCATTACAACCTAACAATTCTTCAACTTCAGGAATAGTTATTTCTCTAGAAGATGAATGAATAAATAATTAAGCACTTTCTTCTTAGGGTAATCCTTCAATCTTTATTACTCTTCCTTATTAAAGTATTTCACTTCTACTTGTGATACATAGATGACATTTACAATTGGCTAAGATTAATTCTAGAAAGTCGACAAAAACATCACGGTCATTTGAATGCATAATAAGATCACAATTATCAAGAATAAGGAGAAATTCTTAATTTTTAATCGTTTAAATGATTTATGTGACCATTAATTATTTGATTTCATAATTACTCTATAATGTTAGATTGGGCATAAAAATTTAAGCAAATCTACTGGCTACACTATCAAAACTATCACATTAATTAAGTTATATATAAACAACTCCATTCTTGAATATATTTCTTTATGCTATATAAATACTTATTTCCTTTAATAAAGCACTTTTACCAATTCCTAATACTCCTTTAATATTAATTAATTAATTTTAAATAATTTTATCCATTACTTCTTACATCTATTATGATCTACCAGTGAAATTAGGTACAAGAGATGGCAGATTGTTTTAGTTCTATTGAGGAGTAAGATCTTTAAATTCTCCTTCTCTTAATAACCATGTTGAACATTAATGAAGAGTCTTTGTAAGTAAAAGGAATTTATTTTCTTCTGCATAAGGAAATCTACCTTCAACTTTAACTTAATTTTTAGCAGCTAAAAAAGCTTAACATACAGTTTATTGTCCTTTTATTAAACCATGATAAAATGATCTTGCAAAGACACAACATGCTTCATCCATTATTTATTCTTTTGTATGTACACAGATAACATGTTCTGCTCCAGCCTAATGAAAGACTTCTCCTATGAGTTTGGAATGACAACTAGCTACAAATACAAATAATATTGGAGATTTGAGTTTTTAGAGGCATAAAAGTATTTGATTTGCTGAAACTAATTATGCTACTCCATGTAATTATTCAAATAAGAGATATGACTATTAATTGGATTCCATATATATTCCATGTCCTGCATAATGCAATGCTTTTGGATTCAAATCTAAGGCTTCTCCAAATCTATCCATTCTTGCTGGTGTTGACATAAATTTGATTTCTGCTTTGACATCTATAAATACTTCTTTAATTGAATTCAATTCTTTGTTTATTTCCAATTTCTACAACACTTTCTTAGTTGAATTATTTGTAATTTGTAATAGAGGTTAAGAGTACAAAAATAAAAAATCGATCTAAGTTTATTTTGTGGGAGTGAGAGAGGATTTTATTGGAATCAAAGACATGAGGAAATTCCTTAAAGGATCACTAGATGTAGTATCTGTAATGGTAGTCATAGTGTCAGAGGAACATTCAGACGTTTTCGGTTTAAGCAATTATTCAAAATCATACTCTAAAGCACTTTCAAATTCTTCTTTAAGGTTTGGACTAAATTTGTCTATCATTTAATATGTTTTAGAGAACAACTATTTTTAAACATTGTTTGGCTTCGTTTATGAATCGATTGTAATATTTGATACTACTTCTTATTCAATGAATTAATCCAAATCTGGCAGTGGTTCATCGAAGAACAGATCATTAACAAAGTCATTTGGTTTAGTTGTTATGTAATCTATGTCTTATTAGCTTTTGCTGAATTGAGGAATATCAGGTTTGTTATGTGAAATCACAGTTGTATTATTTCTTTTAGGTTCCTATTGTTAAATAACAAAATTTCCAATTTTAATTTCTCCTTAATCTTTCATCAAAGTTTATAGCATTTTCATTAATGCTTCTTAGTCCATTTATTAGTAAATATAAATAAAAAAAAAGATTTAATTTACAACTATGGTACGACTAGAGAAACTCATCTATGAACAATTAGTCAACATTCGTGCTCTTAATAGACAAAGAATTATTGGGTCTCCCAGAAAATGGTACTCTGAACCACGAACACCAGCTATGACACTATCAGCAGTCAAATTATTCACTTAAGGATGGACTGGTCTTATTTATAAAATGGTTGAGCCCTTATTTGCAAGGTAATCAATAATCTCTATATTTAAGATTCCTTTATCGATGGATGAGAAACATTGGTTTGGATAGAGGATTAGCATTAGAAGATTTACTTCTATTTTAAGATAGAGAATTAAGAAGAGATCCACTCTTTGAGCATATTTAAAGAGAAGGATTCCATCCCTATACTTGGATTCTCTTCAATAAAAGGAGAGCTAGATTCTCAAAAGTCGAAAGAGGTGTCAGAGGATCTACAGCTCCAGAATGGTTATAAGCAGAAGCTAGAGAGCGAACATTGGCTGATAGCGTTGAAAATATATATGAATGGGACAATTATGTCTATCAAAACTACATGAGTGATATGACACCTACTGCAAGAGGAACAATACTATAGAAAATATTGCCTCTTGAATGGTTCCTCTTTTTCGGTCTCCTCAGAGTTGACTCTTGGGATAGATACTTTTATAATGAAGTCATGTACAAGGGTCTTGAATACTCAAAAGAAGAATTGGCTAATATTCCTAAACCATTCAGAGCATAATTAAGTAATAATTGATTATATTAATCTCATTAGCTACTGAAGAAGGCAGAAGATAATTTGAAATTGATGTTAATAGATTTATCGACCTCTATCCTGGATCCATTGTTAAAGAAGGGTACTGTTGAAATCAATATTTTAGTGAAAAATTCGATTTCCAACGATTCTATGCTCTTGAAGCTATCAATAATAATAGAGACTTGAGTAAATTTGATTCATCTTTGATTTCTCAACTTAAATCTGAACTTACACAATAAGTTGAAAAGAAATCAGCAACAAAGGCCAAGAAAGTAAAACCATCAATGCCTAACTGGTTGCATTCTGAAGGAAAAGGACTCTTAGCATGATAATTATGCATACATTAAATATATAATAATATATTATTATTTATTTAATATATATTATTCATTATAAAAATCTATATTGATTAAATAATGAACTCTTCAATTATATCTATGACAAATAATTTAATTCCAAAAAACATAAGATTATTAAAAATAGAGAGAGTCTTTCTAGTCTTATCTTAATAATAATTATAAATATTAATGAGCCCTATCTTCATGATTGTAACCTTTTAATAGTACAGACTTAGATTTATTATATTAAGAAAAAGGTTAGATTTTAAACATATTTTTTAAATTCTAAATATAATTGAAATTGAAAAATAATATATTAGAATTTTATAATAATTAATTAACTATCATAATATATATATATTTATATAATAAAAACTAAAAAATATACAAAATTCAATAAAGTCTTTCTAATCTTTTAATTTTTTTCTTAATAGTTTTTCGTTTCTAATTTAATTGTTTAATAATATTTGGATAATTGTATTTTTTGAAGTATTTAGTAAAAGATTTCATAGCATCAAAATTATAAAGTTTTTCTTTTGAGTTTGGAGTGTAATTATCAGCATTTTGATTAAGATTATTTGGAAATGTTTCCACTTCTTAAATTTTTGATAAATTGATTTACATAATGTCTTATGTTTTCTTTTTTAGAAATCCAAGAATGGTCTATCTTTTATTTGGAGTTAATCTTTTTTATTAAGTGATTTTGGGTTTGAATTGATTTTCATCAACAAAAATAGGAACCTTTTATTCATCCATTTAGGCTTCATCAAATTACCAAGATTAAGATGATTATAATTCTATACTTTCAGGATCTTCATCTACATCATCTGAATCAAATATAGATTTATTTTTGATTTTCATTATTTCTCTTCTATCATTAATGAATTAACAAGTTTCTATTTGCATTTCTTTGTAATTTCTTAAAATTTATTGCTTAAAACAGAAACGTTTATATTATTATCTTTCCTATACAGTTTATCTATTAGATTTAGCAATAGCAATAGCTCTATTAGGTTTATAGATAATATCTTAACATAAGAGATGACCTTCACGTCTGCAAAGTGGACAAAATAAATAGAGATTTGAATAATTTTCATAAATTACTTAATCATTAATCATACAGAAAACTTCCTTATCATTATTCTTTAAGACTTATTTAAATATCTAAGTTGGTATAAAATAGAAAATTGAGAAATCAGAACTTTTAAGAAAGTATTTAGATTGATCTACATTAAATAAATTTAATAGTCCATAATGATCACCTTAAAATATATTACAAATATATTTAGGATTTATCTTGGATCCCCAACAAACTTCTGCTTATCCTTTATACAATAAATAAATTCCATCTTAAGGATTAATTAATTCACCAGGTTAATAATAAACTTCTTATATATGTTACATTAACTCTTTAATACATTCTATATTAAAATTGTTAACTAGAAATGGTAATTTTAATAACATTTGACCCTTATCCTATAAATTAATTTCTTATTATAAAGGAAGACTTAATTTAGAGAATATTCTATCTTCATTTTATTTTTATTCACCCAAACCCCATTTCAATAGAGACTTCAAATATTATTACACTCTCCTTTGTAAATCTGTATCACAACCTTTCTTTACTAAATAATTTTATATAATTCTTGCTTCTTGATTAAATTAACTTTTATTCTAATCTATGTCTTTAAGAACTGTAGTGATGGTATTTAGAGTGTAAGCAAATATTGCACTAGAAAGCAGTACAATCATAATACAAGCCATCAATTCATTTTCATTAACTGGAACTATATCTCCATAACCTACAGTAGTCATTGTTAATATTGCAAAATAAAATGCCCATAGATATTAGATATACCATTGATCATCTTATAAACCATTAATACTTAGCCAACTGGGTTCAGTATGACCAGCAACTATCCATAGACATGCCTATATAAAATTTAAATGTTATCTTACTATAATATGAGCTAATAGGAATATTGTCACAAAGAGAGTAATCAATTTGATATGATTATTGTATTTATTTTATGGATCTAATTCATATCTTAAAAATTTAATGAATTTTTTAATTTCAGATATCTTAAAAAAATAGATGTATTTGATATATAATATATCTTGAAATAGAAACAATGAAAATCCAACAATACCTAAGGCATCTAAAAAGAATCCACTTTTCAAATATTACAATGCTAAATATTAATGTTTTTTAATCAATTATCCACTCTTGTATATTTGTACATTAAATCTTAATACAATATCAAATAACTAAGTTATTATAGTAAATAAATACTAGAAATATCCATTCCATCAAAAATATTTATTCTTATCTAACTATTACTTAATTCAATTTCACTCCAAATGCATCAATTAATGGAAATAAAATGAAAATATGAATCATGAAAAATAATTTAAACATATTCCAAATAATAATAAAAGGATGACTTGGCTTTATTGACCATTCCTAATTTTTGTTATGCTTCTCTAAATATCGAAGTACTAATCCTCTTAATTTACCCATTTAAAACTTTGATTCATAATAAATGGATTCAAAATGAGTTTCTTCTTTTTTTATTAATTTATTAATAGTCCCTTTTGAATGTGTAGATCCAAAATCATCTATTACATTTAATTGCTACTCTGTCAATGAATGAAATTGTTTCACCTATCATTACTATCCAATTTTACTTAAGTAGATTATCTCATTCTGTTTATACATTTCACTAATACTTCTCTTTTCTCAGCCTTATCTTGTATTGTCTGCAACATAAATGCACTCTTCCAATCTGCATCAATCTTACGCCGTTTATGAACTAATGTGACTCTTGAATTGTCAGGTGAATTTATGTGTATTAAATTTTCAGAAGCATTAACTAAACTCATCTTATCTGTCAAGTTGTTTAAATTACACTATAAATAATAAATTAGACATTTGAATATAGAACATCAATTAAATATAATAAATCATTAAGTAATTTAATTTACTATTGATATCAATATATCTTAGTATAATTAATATATATATTAATGTACTCTTATAATCATTTATCATATCTATATGTTAGAAATTAAAATCTTATTCAAATCACTATAGAGATTTATTATCTTATGAAAATATTTCTGTAAAAATTAATATTTATCAGAATAAGTACTAAATATTAAGATGATATGGAATATTAATAAAAATTGAATATATGCATATGATTTATTAATCATTCTGATAGTTTTTGGTTGATATATTCAATTAATCTATCTACGATATCAATTTCGGTTTGTCTAGAATAATAATGATAGATAACCTGCTAACTTTTTGATTGCTGTATTCTTAATCTTCTAATTCATTGATTCTAGTAGCATCCTAAATATTTAATTAGGTGACTTCAACAATAGCATTAGAGATATTGATTAAACCATCTAATTCATTTAATCTTGATTGGATTTCTTTAAGTCTATTGTTGGCTGTAGCTAAAGAAACTTAAAGGGTTTGCTTTTCATTTCTTAAATCATCTCCCAATCTACTAAGATTTTCTACTTAAGTCTTATGATTAGCTTCTAATTAATCTTATCCTTCTTATAAGGCAGTTATTAATCTAGCAACCAAACTCAAAACATTATTTAAAGTTTCTGGATTAACTTTTGTGGTCATTTCAGCCAAACCTTCAATAATTGGTTAGAAAAGAGTGAGTGAACTCTTTTTTGTATGAGCTTCAAGAATCTCTTTGATCTTTTAGAAGTTCTCTTTAGTTTAAATAAGATTGCTCTTAGTGTCTTGACTATATATAAATATTTAATAATACGTTAATTGAATTAGAGATGCACCTTCTCCTCTTAAATTAAGTAATAATCTTTAGGCCTCTTTGCATGCTAAGATAGCATCACTATAATCAGAGTATTTGGTAGCAAAATCGGCATTTTCAGCATCAAGTCTAGATTAAGCATCAGAGCTGCCTCTGCCATTTCTATCAAGGGCTGCTTAATCTTCTTTAACTCTGGTTTAAAGGGTAGTCAATTCATTACTAAGACTTGATTATTCTTATCTTTAATTATCAAGGTCTTATTAAGCTTATTCTAGTGTGGCTTATAGTTTAGCAAGGTCAACTTGAGATCTTCTTGTGAAAGTGCCATTTTCTTAATCTTATAATTGTGTAAGTGCAATTAATTCATCCTTGATTTGTTAGAGAAGTTATTTAAGTTCATTGAGTGATCCACCAGTTTTCATATTAACACTGACTAAGTTAATCATGGAAGATCCAAAAGGATGATCGGCATAGTTTGACAATCTCTAAGTAAGGTCTGTAACTGTTGAAGCTGTTGCCAAAGCAATGACTAAAAGAAGCAATGCTGATTTCATAATATATTAATAAAAACAAAAAACGAATATTTTAATGGAATAATTAAATAGTGAAGAATAAGTAATAATTGAAGAGATTATTCATTCTGAACATACAGAAATACATATAATAGAATATATATGTTATCCATTTTATTTAGCCTTATTATGTCTATTATGCATCCTTATAAACTTAAACAAGCGTAAATTTAGAAGAAGGTAAGGCATTATGATTTATAAATTATAGATATCGAATTGATGAGATATTCCTCTTTATTGCAGTATATTTATTCAATGTATTGATTACATGGAATTTTTTTGATTTCTTTGACAAAATAGTAAGATTCATAATAACCTTAATCATTATATTTGGAATTCAACATTATATCGGAAGAGTTCAAATTGTAGGTATAACAGGAGGAATTGGTTGTGGTAAATCAACCATAGCCAAATACTTTAATGAATTCCTTAAAGTCTAAATAATAGATTGCGATTAAATAGCCAGAGATATTGTAGAACCTGGCAAACCAGCTTATAAATTAATTGTTTAGAGATTCGGACTTTCCATTCTAGCAGGCCAACAAGATGGATAACCTATTGATAGATAGAAGTTAGCAGATGTGGGTAACTAGTATTGATTAGCATTTTCAGTATTTTAAGATAGTCAAAAAAGAAAATAATTGCAAGCTATTACAAATAAATTCATTTTTAAAGAAATAGCTAAATCTATATGGAAAATATGTTTTATTCAAAAGGATCAATATGTAGTGATTGATGCTCCACTATTATTTGAGAGTAAAGTTTTAGAATATTTCTGTTTCCCCATTATTACAGTTGTAGTGACTAGTCAAGAAGAAATTATTAAAAGGTTATGTGATTATTTTATTATAGAGTCAAAGAAAGAAGTGGTTTAAGTTAAGAATAAATATTACATAGAATTGAATCATAAATGAAAGCAGAAATTAAAATAAAAAAATCAGATATTGTTATTACAAATGATAAATCTGAGAAATCATTAATAAGATAAGTCTAAGAGAAAGTATTTGAGTATTTAATATGAAGAAATATTTCTATTATTAATTATTTTTTATAATAATAATACTTCTAATAAATAAATTGATCATCTTCTATTTGGTATTGGTTTTAATGTTCTAAAATCCATTTCTTATTTTGGTGCATTTTCAAACACTTTCTCTAATTTTTCATCTAAATCTTTATCAAATTTCTTTAATAATTCAATGCTTCCCAATGATTCTTCCAATTATGCTACTGTTCTTGCTCCAGTAATAGCAACATCAATATCCTTATTTCTCATTGTCCAAGCTAATGCTAATTAAGCTGGAGTAACTGATAATTCCTTAGCCAAAGCTACAAATTATTTCAATCCTTCTACACACTTTGGATTACTTGCTATTATTATATTGAAATATTATTACTATATTTCAATAAGAATCTATTTGTAGCTCTCTCCTTTGTTAACCATCCATTATCTTTTCCACATCTACTATTTTCAGGAATTCCTTCTAAATACTTTCCTGTTAAGAATCCTCCACACAAAGGACTATAGATAGTAGTTCCATAATTGTATTTCTCATACAAACCTACGAATTCTTATTCAAATCTCTTTCTCTCCAACATATGATATTCTCCTTGATCAGCTATAGGTCGAATCAATCCATGAGAATCTGCATAATTAATAGCCTCTTGAATTTAAGCAGCATTCCAATTACTAGTAGCCCAATAGAATGCTTTGCCATCCTCAATTACTGTATTAAATCCTCTGACTATCTCTTCAATAGGTGTTTCACAATCATATTAATGAGCATATACAACATCTACATAATCTAATTATAGATTCTTTAGACTAGTATTAACAGCTTCAATGATATGCTTTCTATTTAATGTACACATTCTATTCACATTTAATCCTAAATCCTATAAATTATCAAATACCTCCTGGAGCTTAGTTACCAAACACTTTTGTAGTAATTACTAATTTCTCTCTTGGAATATTAAGTATTTTAATGGATCTACCAAGTTACTTCTCAGCTTCTCCATGTTGATAACTAATAATAGATAGGAATTAAGAACAATTCTGCAGTATCAAAGAAATTGATTCCAGCCTCATATGCTCTCTTAATAATGGCCACATTGACTTCCTCATCTTCAGGTTGGAAATTGACCATGTTACCAAATCCCAATTAAGAAACTAATAACCCTGTATTTCCTAAACGATTATATTACATAATATTATAATTAATAATTGCATCATAGAATTGTGATCATTATATACAAAAAGATACTGATATTGTCTGATTAATTATATAATCAATCTATTATTAAGAGTATTATAATATCTCTTAAAAACTATCGATATCATTAATAACTTCATCTAAACATTGTTAATATTTAAATTAATAACCCACTTTATAAATCACACTCTTTATATAATGATAAAATCCATATTATATAAAATTTGCATAATTAATAAATAATAATATATAAATTATTTGTTTTAGTAAATATATATATATATATCAACACAAAAATATAAGATATATAATTATATCTTTAGGTTGATTAACATTCTTATTATGATAGGTTCCAAAAAAAATAGATTATATTGTAATAAATATTTATTCATAATTATAATGTCATCCTTGAGAATCTGGATGCTCATATGCAAATTCTGGCAGTTGATCCAAATTCTCTACAACCTTTTTAAGGGCTGGGTATTTATCCAAATTGACTAAATAAGATACATCATCTCCTCTAAATGCTGGATACAAGAATGCATCAGCTATTGTAACTTGGTTCCCGAAAGCATAATCTCCTCCATGTTTTTCCACAAGAGCATTTAATGCTATAATAAATGATATTTAATATAAACCTGTAAATCCTCTTTCTAAGAAAGGTTCTGAAATTTCTTATCTATTTATATCACTCACATAATTGTGAACATATTTATAAAATCTAGATGCATGATATGGATGAATGCCACTATTTACAGTTTCACACATAGATCTAAAGATATATTTAGAATTACCTAACTATAGCTTTTTCTAAAGGAGATTTGGGTAATAATTTATTTCTTGGAAACTCTTCTTCTAAGTATTCTGCAATGGCCATACTTTCATGTAATAATTATCCATTAATTTCTAATGTAGGAACAATCTATAAATATATAGAAATTATTAGATTTACTTAAAGTGGATTGATTTATGAATACATATTTGATAATTACTCAGCTTTAGGTAAATTTACAAAAAATGGTTAGAATTGAAGTTATTTCAATTTAAGCATAATACTTACTCTCCATGGTGCTGAATAACCTCTATAGGTATATAATCTAATTGCTAATCTTGATGTTGACATTAAAATTAAAATGATATATAAATAAACTATAATCACTTATATTGATTTGAAACTAAAACAGAGCAATTCTCAATTGTTTATTTATCAGCATAATCCAAAATCAAAGTGCCTGTTTGATAATTATTAATAATGATCTTACGATAACTCTTCAAGAGAAGTATCATAATCTAAACACCAAAATTAGCTGAATATTATTACAGAATCTTCTATTATTAAATCAATTCTCTTTCATCTTCTTTATTATAAATCTATTCAATATTAGCACACACTAATCTTGATCTTTATTCCTACAAATATTATTTGCATTAATCCAATTTCAATATTGATAATTTATCAAGTTATTTCTCAAGCAATTCAAAAATCTTATAGATTTATTATTTTTTCTTTATTAATTCAGATAACAATACACTACTGTTATTTTCATTAGTAATAGTTTTTGTTCTCTTTGTACTTATTGATCTTATAGGAGATGATTAAGTGCTACTTGTTCTACAATATTCTTATAAATTTTATTAAGATTATTGTTTATGCATTTATTATTTCTTTGTGACATAATACAATTCTTTCGTCAGATATATATTCATTAGTTATTATTTTTCATTCCCTTAAACTGCTTTCATCAATTAATCCCATCCCCATCTATCCTTCTCTTCTTTACCTAAACAACCTATAATTATTTATCTTGTCAGTAATTCAATTTATGGTTAAAATGGAAATTTCAATGGTTCTTTATCTAATCTATTCAATAATTCAACTACATTAGTTGAATGCCAAGGAGTTATTTTGTAAATCATTTCATACAAAATTAATCCAAGTGACCAAATATCTGATTTACTTGTATATGGCTATCTCTTTAAGATTTAAGGTGCCATATACAAAGGGGTTCCAACAAGTGATGACATTGTTGAATCCATTTATACTCGTTTTGCAAATCCAAAATCTGTAATTTTGAATATACCATCCTACAGTAGAATATTTGCAGGTTTTAAATCTCTATGAACTATTCCATTCCTTAATAATTCCTATAATCCATTTAAAATTTATTTAAATATTTAAAGGGCTCTATCCTCACTTAATGTTCTTGATCCTAAATATGCTTTCAAGTCTCCCCCATTACAATATTCTGTCACTATATATATATTGTTTGTGCTATGAAATACATCCAATAACTTCACAATATTCTAATGATTAAATGATTTCATTATCTCAACTTCTCTCTTTATTTGTTGAGATGTGTAATCACTCTTAATTAAATTATTACTTATAATTTTTATTGCCACAGCTATTTTTATCATATTTAACTACTTGAATCATTATAAATATCCCTCCCCATATACACATTAGCATAAGCACCTGAACCAATTTTAGAATCATATAGAAATTCGTAGTGCTTAACTCTCTTTTTTGATTTTATTCTCTCACTTTACATATTTGAATAAATTATTAAATTAAATACAAACTTTATTATTAACAGCACTCTATTTTTTAAAATATAGATTTTGATCATTAAACTAATCACAATTGTATAAATATTCAGAATTACTTTAATCTAAGTAATTTTTGGATTCAAATTTAAATAAATAAATAAATTATTCATAATAATTCTCTAATAGATGATATTTTAGTATTAATTTTAAAACTAAATGAATTTAAGAATAAAATCATTTAGTTTTATTTCTATTTTGAATCTAAAATATATATTTTTTCATTAAACTATATAAGGAGACTATAATTCCTTAAAACTTTTAAATCTCTAATAATGTAATTAAATAAATTTATATACATTATATTATCTAAATGAATTTGAAATAGATGTTAATCTACTTTTATTAATAAATCTATTATTTTCATTTATCAAATTTAAAGTAACAAATTAATTTATATTATTATGATTTATAAATATTAATATATTAAGGCAATAATAATTATAATTATTTTTATTATAGTTGAAATATATCATTAACTTAAAAATGAGAATTCTCTGCTTGGCTATTGTATTGTTTATTTTAAGAAAGATCTTCTAATAAAAAAATATAGGATCATAAGTATAATAATCAAAATGAAAAATACTATTCCATATTAGGTCATATCTAGAATAAATTTATTTTAATTTTAAATCTTATTAACCTATAAAATGATCTGTGCCTTAGATATCTTGTTTTCTGCAATTAAAGTGCATGTTTCATTTTTAATTTAATCATCAATAATACTAATTCTATAATCTATCTACACAAGTATAAAACCATTCATATCGTCTTATTAAATAATGTAATGTGTAGTATTATATTAATATAGTTTATTTATGTTACCTAAATAGAAAAATGAATAATCATGAATCAATTTTGTTAATCGAAAATCAAAAATAAAATAATTATACCCTTCATATAAAATTAAATAGTTTTCATCTATAAAATGTAAATTAAAAATCTAGTTGTATGGATGTCTTGCTATTTTTTAAAAAGTATAATTTTTATTTCCATTATCTTAATCAATCTAAATAAATTGAAGGATAGAGAAATCATCTAAAATTATTAAGCATTTGATATTTAGAGTTTAATTATTTAAAAATGCTTTTAAAGAATAAATTTTTTTCTATTAGTATTTATTATTATTAATATCGTATACATATTAAGATAAATCTTCTTGTATTTTATCAAAATCAAATGTAAATTAATGAATAATATCTAATTCCATTTAAAGAATTTTAATAGTATTAATTGTAAGAAAATTATAAGAATTATCAAATTTTAATTATAAATAAATTTAATTTGAATTTTAAATGAGTAATAAATTTTCAACTCCATTTTTATTTGATAATTCATAAATTTTACCATTTTAAGCATAAAAGATAATATCTTTAGGATTGTTTCTAGTTTAAAATAGATTCTCTATTTATATAATATCTTAATGATTATAAGCATCATTAATAATAAATTCATTTGAATCCATTATTAAAGATAAATCATCTTGGTTTATCCTAAAAATTTAAGCTTTTATTATTTCTTCAATAAAGTATATGAACATAATTTAATATTTGTTAATATAAAAGCCTTTTAAAATTTTGCCAAATTTACTTATTATTTAGTATTCATCTTGAACTAATATTTTGATGATTTGTTTATAGTAAGAGAATGATTAAATAGTTGTTAAATTAACTTTAACATTAAATTGCTCTATGATATAGGTTTCAATTTATAATTCATTTTGGATTTGAGATTTTAGGAAAGGACCTTCTAAAAGTACATTTGAATTGTCTTATATTTTTAGAATATCGATGGTTCCTTCAAATAGGTCATTTGAATCTATTATTTTATGATTATTCTTATCTAAGATAATAGAGAATTGATTATAGAGTGGCATCAATTTAGCACAATTAACAAAAATAGAAAGGTTTACATTAAATTCAACTTTAGAACTATTATTAGATTCTGTAGTAATGTAAAACATTAAGGTTTCATTTAATTTAATATTATTTTATTTATTAAGTAAAGGTTTAAATTAGATATAAAAATTATGTAAGTCTAATACTTAAATCTCATTATTTGTATTAAAATAATATAATTTTTTGAATGAAATAAAAGTATGATTCTAATTAATTTAAATAGTTTATTTCAATTTAAGTTGTTTAGTCTCTGAAACTGAAAAAATATGTGTATAAGATATATTTTTGGTAATAACTCCGATTGTAAAAAATTCTTAGACTTCTTAATAAGCTAATGGCTGTATTACTTTAGAATTAGGAAAAGTATACTTCTACCACAATATTAAATCTATTAGATTAAAAAAGTATCTTATAAGCACATTTTAGGTTATATCTACAGCAATAATTTGATAGCCATCTTCTTGTAGATGATTTAATTATTTTATTTGTATAATTTACTATTATTTTAAATTGAAATGATAAAGATTACCATTCTTTAAAAAAATGAAATGTTCATAATACTGAATAATGTAAGAATTTCTATGTATATTGAAACAAAACTATTTAGGCTTATCATTTTAATTAATATTTGCTTAGTAAATATTTAACAATAGATGGTTCAATATAATAGGCAATTAAACTTTAAGTTCCGAATTTAAATCAAATAAAATTAAACTTTATGATTAGGTAAAAATTAATACATAATTGGAACAATGGAAAACTTCTTAAATAATACTGTCTAATTTATATTCCCTATAAATTGGTTCATCATGTTAAATTTTAAGATATCTAAAATGATCTACCTAATATTCTAGAAATAGAAAACGATCATAATAATTAAATACCTTTTATTTATGAATATAAATTTGGATTAATTATTAGTTATCACAAAATAAAATATTCAAATATTTTTCAGTTTAAAATATGGAATAAGCTTTATCATTTGAATTATAATATAAAAATTTAGAATTTTAAAGTAAGTTTTTAGGTATAAGACAAATTTAATCAAATGATTATTAATCACTAATAATGTCAATTAAATTTAAAGGGTCTTATTTTATTATAATTTTGTAATTATCTTGTAAATATGCTAATGTTTTTTATATAAACAATGTCTCAATGTTTTAGCATTTACAATTTAATGAGAAAGAATAATTAATAATGTTATTTGATATTTCTTTGTTTATCAATTTAATACAAAAAGAAGGAGAATCGCTAATTAATTGTTAATAATAAGAATAAAATAGTAAATACTTTTTCGAAGGTCTAAAAATAGAATTATTCAATATTTTATATTTATAAAATCTAATGACCTTGTCTACTTAATCAATTTAATAAAAGATATTATTAATTTTCATAAATTGCAATGGTAAGTTTTTTAATTTGAGCTTTTCTTTGAATTTTTTATTTAAGATTACTTCAAGTTCATCTTCATATATTATAAAGAATATATTTTACTCAAAATAAACAAATTTTGGAGTATTTTCTAATTCATAATTGAGGACTTAATTTTGAATATAAAATTTATTATTATAATCAGAACCTACAAGAAAATATTAAATAAAACTGCAATCAATATTGAATAGTATCTATTTTAAAAAAGAGATTTCCTAAAAAAAGTTTAATAATAATTTGTTCTCTGTTCTATAAGTATAATGATAATACTAATTATCTTCAATTAATACAATAGTTTCTTAACAAATTTAAATATCTTTAACTTAAGTGATATTGAATGATAGTTCATTTTAAATTGCTATTTCTCTATTTAAAAGTAACTTAAGGAGATTATTTTTATAAATATATATAGCCCAAGAGACACAATCATAAAATATTAATAAACATGAATTTTCAATGAATTATGTATACATTATTTTACATTTTTAATTTAGAGGTTCTTCAATTTTGTAATCTTATTTAGTAATAGTCAAGTTCTTTTAATTTATAAAGTATATATTAAGACTTTTTAAGGAAGTGCAAAAGACAGATAATTCTAAAAGATTATTTTAGAATAAGAATTCACAATTTTCATCTATTTAAGTGTAAATGGGTATTTTAAAACGTTCAATAAAAGGGTAAAATTATTATTGACTTTAGCCTTCTTTTTCTTGTTCTCCTATATTCTAAAATAATCCTTCATTGAAAATACAAGTAATATAATAAGCTTCTAATTTATAAAGATAACAAAGTTGTTTTTCTAATAAGAATTCATTTAACCAAGAATCAATTATTATTGTATTAATAATTTGAGCCTCTTGATTATATTAAACTTTGTATAATTATTGAGTTAAAGGAAATTGATTTTCTTTAATATTAGAATGATCATCAGAATCATTTTCAACTATAAAATTTTTACTTTAACTAGAATAAATGTATTCATCGGATTCAATAAAAGTAATGTTGCATTCTAATGAATTTAATATGGGGAAAATAAAAAACAAAATAAATTGTCTTAGGTAGAGATCTTACAGCATTGAAATCCAGATCAGATGTATAATATTAAAATATAATTTAATATAATAAATGCACATAAATTCCACAAAATAATTCAATCTAATTTTATATTATAAATTATTGAATAATAATTATATTAAATTAATTAAATATCTATTATTATATTAATTAACAATAATAATAAATTATAAATATTGTAAATAATTATATAATTACATCAGTTCTTGATTGTTATTTTTTTTAAATATTATTGATTCTTTGAGATATGGGATTGTTAAAGTATTACTTTAATGATATTTTTAATAATAAATTTTGGATAGAATAATTATTTTAATCAAATATTAATTCATTTTATAATTAGATTTTCATTTATGATTATATAGCAATTAGAACTGTAATTTTTATTATGAAAATTACATACAAATCTATACAAATTACCTAAATTATTTATTAGATATAAGTATTAATATAAATTAATGTCGATATGATAATTTAATAAAAAATTATAGTAAATAAAGATTTGATATTTAATATTTAATATTTTTTCATTTTTTAACTAATGAATATCTAAATGTACTTCGTAATTCTTATGATTGCCTCATCAATTTATATGAGATAAATAAGTGAATATTGTGTTTGTAGACATGTAGACAATAAAGATGAATGTTAAAGATCTTAGATTTGTATTTGGAATGGAGAAAAATGTGATTTAAGATCAGGTGAAACTTACATATACTAGGTTGACTAGGAAGATGCAGATTAGTGTTATAAGTATATATAGGAAGATTGTATATAAATGGAGATGTGTGGATTTTATTTAGGAGAATGTATAGGTTTTACTGAGTGTGGTTTATTTTAAAAAAATTAATGTTAGGAATCTTCATTAAAATGTGTTTCAGATGGATAAAAATGTATTGAGAAGAGAGGATGCATGGATTATGACACAGAGGTAGGATGCCAGAATAAAAATATAAATGGTAACTATTGTTATTGGGATGTACATGCTATATTTAAGTGCCAAGATGTTATGCAATGTACTTAATTGCCTCAGTATCTAATGAACGATAATGATTGTAGAAATGCTATGTATTATTGTACAGTAAATGATCTAGGATTGGGATGTGAGGAGGGAAAAAATAAATGTGAAGAATACAAATTGGAAAATTAATGTTATTTTACATATAATAAAAAAATTGAATGTTTTTGGGATGTTGAGTTATAAATGTGTTTTACAAAGAATTGTGAAAATAAACGATTAAAAACTTATGAAGAATGCAATTCTTATATGTCTTAATGTACTACAAATGGTATTCATTGTATTGAGAAAAAAGAGTGTAAAAATATTGGAAATGCAATAGGATGTGTTTTTGATATTAATAATAAAAAATGTGTTTATTTTAATGGGTAATGTCAAGTTAAGAGTTGTATAACAGCACCTTAATCATATAATAATTATTAATAATGTTAATCATATGATTAATTATTAGATTGTGTAAGTGCATAAAATGGAGGATGTAAAGATAGACCATTATAATGTTAAGATTATTATTAAGAAATTGATTGTTATTCAGTAAGTACATAAGATTGTGTTTGGTTTGAGAATAAATGTGATAAGAGATAATGTTTGCATGCTCCAAAGAATTTTGATCATTATTAATGTAAATAATATGGAAAATGTATGGGAATACTATAGGGTGGTTGTGAATTAAGACCTTAAACTTGTGAAGAGATCATTAAATAAGAATTTTGTGATATTACATATGATGAATCTAATTGTATATGGGAGGATAATTAATGTTAATAATTAATATGTTCTAATTTAAAATTACCAAAATATGATAGTAATTAGAAATGTAAATAAGCAAGCAAACTTTGTACATTTAGCATAGAGGTTGGTGGATGTATTGATTTTATCTGTAAAAGTGTTGTTGATGTTTCTGCTTGTACTATTGATTCCCTTGATTAAATATGTACTTTAAATGATGGATGCATTGCAAAGAGATGTAAATTAGCTCCTAGTTATTATGATACAAATGCTTAATGTGAACTATGGATACCAACATGTACTGTTAATATCTATGAATTTGATGGTCTTAAACTCAAATTTGGATGTACTGATAAACCATTAGAATGTTCAATAGCATAATAAGAATAATGTTATACAACTTATTTTGGTGTTTAATGTAAATGGTAATTAAATAAATGTTCAAATTAATAATGCATTGATGCAGATAATACTCATATAACAAACGAAGATTGTGCTAATTTTAAAGTTGGAACAATCTAATGTATTATTAATAGTACTAATAATGGATGTATTGATTGGCCTAATTCATGTTCTTAAATGCTTACAGAAACATAATGTAATATTGGTTTACAGAATTCTAATATTTGTATATGGAGTTCCAATTCATGTCGTTAAGTCGATTGTTTAGATGCACCTTTATATATTAATAATCTTCAATGTAATAATTATTTAAATAATTGCATTGTAAAACCTTCATTCTAAGGATGTATGATTAGACCATCCAATTTAGTATGTTCATAATCTCCAAATACTAAAATGTATGATACACATTAAGAATGTCAAGCTTGGAATCCAAATTGCACAGTCTCAGATTATCTTACCTCTGTAGGTTGTTAATAGAAATCAGCTTCATGTTCAGATTATACTACTAAAAATTAATGTAAAATAATATTAGATAATTCATATCCCAATCCCAATCCATAATCCTATTGTTTTTGGGATTATATAACATCTACATGTCAAAGTGCATATTAAAATTCTTCATATCAATGTAATAGACAATCCTTTGGTGAATTAACTCATAAAAATTGTGAAGACTTTATGAAAATATGCACAATTAATAATAATATTACTAAATTATGTGTATCTCTTTAGGATGATTGCATTAACTATACAATACCATAAGCATGTGTATTAAATAAGTATTAATAGCCTTGTATTTGGGATAAATCCTAAAGTAAGTGTCAAAATGTATTGTGTTCTGAAAATACTGTCGCTTAAACTGAGGCAGAATGTTTTAAATATCAAAGACAATATCTGTGTTAATTAATCTATAATAAAGATGGTATAGGTCAAAAAGGTTGTGAAGAGCGTCCTACAAACTGTTCTGATATAAAATATTAGAAGATTTGTAATAAAACAGTAACAAAACTCAATTAGAAATGTTATTATTATAACAATAAATGCAATATAATAAATGATGCAAGTTAATGTTAATTAATTACTGAAGCTTCCAGTGACGAGGAATGTCAATATTATTTTTCATTATGCTTATTATAATAGAGTGGTAAAGGTTGTTATAGTGTAGATGAATGTAAGAATCTAAAAAATTTTAATTGTAATTCTGGTATTCTATTCAAAAATAATAAGTGTCTTTATTATGGTAATGAATGCAGATAAAATCTATTTTGTAATTAACTCTTTCCATCTTAAAGTAGTTGTAATGATGTGAAAACAAGTCTTAATATATTATGTAGTTATTAATATGTTGAATTTGAACTTAAATGTGTAGATTAAGAGTGTGCTTTAAATAATATTACAGGTAGTATAGTAGATAAGTATTCAGCATGTTATAATTATTCCTCAATATGTGCATATGATATAACTACTGATTCAACAACAAAATCTTGTATGCAGATTATTAATTGTAATGATCTAACCTAATAAGGATTGATCAATTATTTATTATGCAATAATTCATTAACCATAACTAAATAAAAATGTGGATTCAATTTTGTTAATAATTAATGTGAGAATAGATAATGTGAACATTTAAAATTTGCAAATTTTGGACTTTTAAGTGATGAAGATTGTTATAATTGGAATCATGATTGTATTTTTGATGGTACTAATTGTAAACTCTTTAATAATATAGATTGTACTTAAATAAAGTTAAAACATTAATGTATATAATATTCATAATGTAAATTAAATTAAAATAATTGTGTTAGCAATATAGATTGTGAAATTAATACAACTGCAATTACAATGTATGAATGCTAATTAATTAATATAATATGTTAATTAGATTTTATTAACAATTAAGGTTGTAAATATGAGCAATGTGATTATATTACAAATCCATCTTAATGTAATTCTGCTCACACTAGTGATGGAATGGATTGTTATTGGAGCACTTCTTGTATTCCTAAATCATGTACTGTATTTACAAATTCTTCTGATTGTTAAGCTAAATATGGACTCTTAATTGTTAATTCAAAAAATATAAGTGTAAAGTGTTATTGGTGTAGTGGATCTTGTTCTTATAATAATCCATGTAATGCTACAATAGATTTAGGACTTGTTAAACATGAAGATTGTTATAATTAAAATATTCTTAACACTATTACATATTCTAATGGTCCAATATGTATTTAAAAACAAAGTAGTTGCTCAGCTTATGCACTTCAGGCTTTTTGTGTAAAAACAATAGATGGTTAAAAATGTGCTTGGAGCTCTGGAAGTTGTAAGGATTATTGTATGTCTATATCAACTTCACCTTTAAGTCATGAAGATTGTCATACATTCGATAATAATTGTATGAAGAATGGAACTACATGTGTACTTCTTAATTGTTCCTCTTTAAATGTTACAGATTGTTTAATATATTCAAATATTTGTACTGAAAATTCCTCAAATTAGTGTGTTAAGATTACTAATTGTAATGTACACAATTCTACTAATTGTAGTACAGGTAAAGATTTTTAAGGATATCCTTGTGAATATGTTGGTGGAACTTGTTAAAAATAAAGCAATCTTGAAAATTGTTCATCATTAACTAACCAGGATGACCATTAATCATGTGAATCATATTTTTTAAGTGGAATATGTACTGTCAAAAGTAAAAACACTAATTGCACAAATTTACCAATTAATTGTAGTTAGGCAGCTAAAAAGTAATGTGTAATTGACTAGAATAAAAATAGATGTTATTGGAAATAAACAAATTAATGTGTTTTGTTAGTAAATTGTTTAGATTTAGGAAATGAAAATGATTCACATTATAAGTGTTAATCTTATTTGTCATAATGTACTGTAAATCCATAATTGAATGGTTGTATTGATTTAATTGATTGTAACTTATATACAATTAAGGAATAATGTTATAAAGATAATTAAAAAAGAGATTGTGAATGGATTCAACTATAGAATAAATGTGAATTGAAATCATGTAGTACAGCATAATTAATGTAATATTCATCAGGAGCATGTCAATAATATTATGGTTTAACATGTTCAGTAAATGCTGATTTGACATAATGTGAAATAGCATAAGGTCAATGTCTTGGTTATAATCAATAATAATGTAAAAGTGATGGACAACGTAATTTTGATGGTACTGAATGTTTTTGGAATGTTGAAAAAGATGAATGTGTAGAAAAGACATGTGAGAATGGTCCAAAATTTGCTTTATCTGATAAGGAATGTTAAGGATATATGTAGAATTGTTAAAAAGGAGGATGTAGATTAAAAGTTTGCACTGATTATTATTATGCTATTGATTATGCTTGTGCTTCTATATTCCCAGACAAAAGTTGTACCACAAATGGTTATTAATGTATTAAAAGAAGTACTTGTGAAGCAGTATTAATTAAAGATGGATGTACATTTAATTAATTTTATAATGATTGTGAATGGATTGAAAATACTTGTGTTATAAAAACATGTAATACTGCTACAATTAACTTAATAACTCATAAAGAATGTCAAGAATATTTATCATAATGTACTACTAAGAAAGGTGGAGGATGTGTAGTAATAAATGAATGTACAGATTTCTAAATTAAAGATGCTTGTTAAAGTGATAAGTATAATTAGGGATGCATTTGGGATGATTAATTAGAATTATGTTTTACAGATATTTGTGAAGGATTTTGTGGAGATGGAATCATTACTAATTCATCTGAAGCCTGTGATGATGGTAATTATCTTCCATATGATGGATGTTATAAATGTTAAATCTAATGTTCATTAGGTTGTTTATAATGTGAAGGTAAATTATGTAATGTATGTGATTCATATGGATGGAAATTAGTTGATGGTTAATGTAAATCAGTTTGTGGTGATGGTATTATATTAGGCAAAGAATATTGTGATGATGGTAATCTTATAGAATTTGATGGTTGTTATAATTGTGAGTATTCATGTGATAGTCATTGTTTAAAATGTTTTTAAGGTACATGTATTTAATGTCCTATTGGATTATATGAAAATTAATCATATTGTCTAAATAAATGTGGAGATGGTGTATTAGCTACATAGTATGAATAATGTGAAGATGCTAATACTGATAATAATGATGGTTGTAATTCTAATTGTTAAATTGAAAAATTTTGGAAGTGTTATCTTGTAGATTCCTTGAGTTTTTGTATTTACAATATAAGTCCATCCATCAAATTAACAACTCCTCTTAATAGTTATGGCTAAAATTAAGAAGTCATTCTCTCATTCAGTGAAGAAGTCAAATTAAATTCAACTTCTATCACTGAAGAAATATTTATATAACTTATTCATGTTTCCATCTCTAATCTCTAAGATACTGATTATACTTATGAAATAGTTCCAATCTTAAGTGTTGATTATACTTTGTAGCCTGTCTCATACAAAATTAAACTCAATTTCTATAAATCTGTAATAGGACCCATATTAATAGTTAACATAAATTGTGATCAACTCGTTAATTAATATGAAAATCAATTGGCATCTAATTAATAAACTATCCTTTTAAAAGATCCATTTACACTATCTTCAACTTAAAAGATGGTAGCTGCTAATGCTGCCTTATTCAATGAATTTGTGATCTATTCATTGATTTCTATTGCTTGTTTTGCTTTCATAAGTGGAAATCTAGAAATTTTCTGGAATCTCATAGATACCTTATAACAATTATCTTATATGAAATATTTGAATTTACAATTTCCATAAAATTTATCCATTTACTTTGAAGTCTTTACTCTTGTTACTATTTAACCAATAACTGATAAAATTAAATTGAGTGGATTCTTTGAAGAAATATTTCAATTCTCTTCTCCTTACATACCTGCTTATGGTAGATTTGAAGTCTTTTCAATCAATTGTTATTTTGGAATAAATCTATAGTCATTCGTAATTATACTAATCTTAGGATTCATAAATTACATTATCGCTTACTTAATATAATTGTTACTTACCTCATTTAAATATTATAATTGGCCCATCATAGTTGATTAAAGATACTTGGAATAGACTACAAAAATAATCAAAGCTATATATTTTGTTCAAAGAATCTGTAAATCATATTATCAATATTTTTTATATTCTGGAATAGTTAGAATTTACCTATCTAACTTTTATGATTTAATGTTCTCTGCACTTCTACAAGTAGCTAATTTCTAATCGTATGATTCAATAACTGAAATTAGTTCATTTCTTGCATTAAGCATACTCATTTTGAATTTTGCTTTTATATTCCAAATGTATTCCTATTTGAGCACCAGAAAGACATTGTCGAAAAGATTTTCAATTTTTTTTGAAGGACTTGAAATCAAAGAGAATTTATGGAATAAATAATTCATAACAATAGTCTTAATTAAAAAGACTATTTTCATTGCTAATTTAATCCTAATCTAAACAATTCCTCCTGTTTAACCAATCTTAACCTCTCTGATTTCAGGATTTTATTCCATCTATGTATATAGGATGAGACCATTTGCAAACAAATTTGAAAATTATAAAATTATTGTTACAGAATGTTTAATAGCAATTATTGCTATTTTATTTTCAGTTTCAGAATCTCTGTTACTATTCTCTTATATAGACTATGTATCCTTCTTAGGATGGATGGAAATAGCAGGATTTTCAGTTATCCTTTTGAATTCTTTATTTATAGATTTCTATTAGTAACTAGGAAAACCAACTAGATAAATATATGAAATAATAAAGAAATGTGGTACTAAAACTACATTAGATAATTCTAACTCAACTATACTCAAAGAAGGAGTAATTGAATTTTTTTGATATTTGTATACATATATGATGTAGATCAACTTTAGTAAGTTAATCTATATATTTAATATAATTATTATTAATAAATTGATACAATTAATTATTTTTATTAAAAAAAATAGTTTATGTTATCCTATCCGAGAGTACTTAATAAATATTGTATCAAACTAGTTTCATATACTTTCTTTGTTCTATATTGATATATAAAAACTCAATTGAATTAATTTTAAATTAAAATTTTTAATATTAGATTAGGTTGTTATTAATAATTGTGTTTATAAATAAAAATGAAAGAAATTTAATTTTAGAAATGAAAAAGCTATAATATAAATGAAGCAATTAGTTTTTATTATATAAATATATTACAATAATCATTATCTTATTGTTCAAATTAAAAATTAAATTTTATATAATAATACTTTAAAACAAGGAAAAATAAATTTCTATGTGATTTAACTTAATTATTTTTAAAAATTAGGGTCTTAAAACATCAATATAAATAAAAAATTTTGATACTAAAAACATCAATTTGGATCAATATTGTAATCTTTTTAAATACAAATTAACTATTTTTAAAGTTTTAAACTCAATAAAAAAACCAAGAAAAACAATTAATATTATTTAAAAATTTATTATGAATTTAAGAGGAGGAGGTTGCGGATCATCAAACATTGTTACACCATTCCCCATTAAAACCTAGACCATTAAAAATTGCCCAGGATTGACAACTTAAATCAAATTTCATTGTGATAGGATATCAAGATCTATGGTGACGGTTTTAGATTAAGAAAATAATCTAATGAATAGCTTTCAATTCTTTCAATTAAATTAGAGACAAATATGGAATTTAGTTAGTAATGTTCAATTAAATTAATCAACATTTGAACTTGTATCATAAAGTTTAGATACACTAATGTCAGCATTATAAAAAGTTATTTAATAAAATGTTGGATATTCATTGTATGTTTTATAAATTATGACTTAATTATCTTGGATATTATTTATGTACTATTCAACAAATTAAGAGAGATATTTGGATATTGATAGACAATAATTTATTTTAAGGGAAATGGGTTTAATAAGAGAATAATTGAAAATTGAAAGAAGTGCTGATAAATTATTCAATAATCTATATTTTGAATTCTTTATTACAAAATCCATTATTACTATTTAACCTACAAATTCAAAAGAGAGTTAAGAAATATTAATATAGTTTTTAAGTGGTGCTTTAAAATCAGTAAGTACATTTACATTAAATGATGATCTAATATAAAGTCTTAAAAAAAGTGTTATTTATATATATTAAGAGGGAGTAAAGTATAGTAGAAAACGTAAATTAGAAGTGATTTTTGCTCTTTAATAATTAAAGTTTCATATAATTGATGAATTAGAAAATGGTAAGGATGCTAAATATTTGGCAACTGTTCTTAGCAAGATGTATTGTGAAATTATTAGGGAATCTACAGATTGGGAGATATGGTGTAGTTGGATTTAGGTGTTATCTTAATTATTTTAATTGAAATAAGCAGTAGATGAATTGAAAATTTAAAATCAATTATCATAATACTTTTAAGGAAAAGAATATGCAATTCCTAATTTTGATGGTAGAAATTATGTTTCACTAAGTAATTTCTAGATTTAAAATGATGAATTATTAAAATTAATTTTTGAAAGTAGTTAACCCTTACAAGAATTATCTCGATTATAATTCTATATATTAAATGGATATGGATTATTATAAAGTTATGAACAATTTTATTTTAATAAATTATCTGTTATTAAAGCAACTAATTCAACATTAAAAAATAACTCATTTAGTTCATCTCAAATATCTTAATTTATGAATTTGGTTAGTGCTATCTAATAGGGTTAATAATCATTAATTGAACTATTTAAATAGCTTGTCAATAATAATGATTAATAAAAAATAAAAGAAGCTGAAGAATTATTGAAAGATTTGATTACTAAAACTATTTAATTAAAAAGAGATTTAGAATATTTAATTATAATCTAATAATCTATATAAGGAGAAATAAATTAAAATGAATTGATTTATGAATTTCCAGAAACTGATAAAATTTAAGTTATGTTTTTATAGAAATATTTGAATTGTTAATTATCAAGTAAATAGCTATAAATAATTGATTTTGAATCAGTATTTTAAGACAGTGCCATATCTTCACTTTTAGATTAATTTACTTCAGATGAAATAAGTATTGAATTAAGGGAAGAAATATTAAAAAAAACAATTAATCATGTTTAAATTGAGAATTTAATTGTTACTCTAAAAATGAAAAAATAATAAGAAACTACTAAAAATAATACAAATGAGAATAAATGGTTTTATGGATTTTATAAAGCACTTGAACTTACATAAAAAACTAAATGTTTCATTAATTGGAATTTGCAAATTTAAGTGATATTATCAATTAAATTAAGAATGACTAATTCATTTAAAGAAGATGATAAATAATTAAATTTAAAATAAGAAATCATTTAACTTTCAATGTAAATGATGTCTTATGATCCTCTATAATCTTCATTATAATTTATGTACAATCAATTCTTAAAATGCTAAAGTAGTAAAATCTTATCCAAAATTCCTATTGATTATTCACATAAATTTGTAAAAATTTTAAAAGCCATTACAATTGAAAAATTTATAACAATCAATTAAATTATAGGAATTTTAACTAAACATTTATTTAAAGAGACAAAATTAAAAAATGATGTTAGTATTGATTAAGAAATCTGTAAAATTGTTTAAGAAGAATTAACTGATAATATAAATTATTTAAATTAGATTTGTAATGGAATCAAAATGATAACTGATATTCTAAAAAACTAATTAGATAATAATTTTGAATAAAAAGATGATCTAATCATATTAAAGGATTAATCTATATTCCATGAAATTTTCCCTAATTTCAATACTAATTCCTTATTATAATCTTAGATTATATTGAGTTTTTAAAAACTTTCAGCTTATTAAGATGAATTTTTAAAATCATTTGAAATTATGAAAGAATACATCAAAAGTGAAGATAATGAATTTTATTTATATTTAGAAAATAAGAAGGCTGCAATTTCAAATATTATAGAATTGATTGATATTGTTAAATTGATGAAAATAACTAATGAAAAAGATAAAGAAATTGCATATTATCTTTGTGAAGATATACAAAAATAATTAAGTGATTGTTGTAAATTAATAAGAAGTACATCAGTTAAGATTGAATAAAAATAATTTGATTGGAATGAAGAAATTAAATTTTATGAATAATTAGTAGATGAAATGAAATAAATTAAAACCAGATAACAAGAGTAAATTTAATAATTTTAGAATATATTTATTAATTCTGAGAAAGTACAATCTCAAATCTTAAATGTGATTACTCTCTAAAAATTAGCTACTAAGAAACCTTAATTTTCTTAGTAATTTTAAGAATCTGAAATATTATTGCAGGAATCAATGGGTGAATATTGCAATTAAACTATAGAGATTGCAATAGACTATTAATAAGTTTAGTAGATCATTTCATAAAAGGAATTTAATTAATATCCTTCTGATTTAGAACCTTAAATCTATTTTATATTGAGTCAGATAGAAAATAAAGATGAGTAAAAAAAATCAAATGATTATTTTGATTTAATTTAATAGGGGATTAATGATTTATTATCAAATAATTAATGGAGGATTAGATAGTTTTTGGTTTATGAATTAATTTAAATGAGAAAAAGTTGTCTTTAACAAAATTGTATGTCTTTGAGTTCTGGATTATATATTAGATTTTAGGTTTATGAAACAGATAAGAGAATTAGATCATTATTTGATGATAAATCTATTTAATTATCTAATTAATTAATGGGTAAATATTGGCCAAGTCAAGAAACAATAATTTAAAATAGATTAAAGGAGAAATTAAAAGATTTAAATGAATTAGCTTAATAAATATCAATTGAAACCTCAGAAAATTATAAATAGTAATTAAGAAAAGAATATTCTAAATTAGAAAAAGATATTTAATAAATGTTTGATAATGTTGGTCAAATATAAAATACACTTGGAATTACTATCATCTTTCTTTAAGATTTAAAATAAGATTTATTAAGAATAGAGAATTTTATTATTCAAATGTAAGAAACATTAGATTAAATAAGTAAAGACATAAAATATTTGAAGGGTAGAACTATATATGAATTATTAGAATTAAGAATGAAAAAAATGTTATAATAAAGACTTGTATTCAATTCAGACAATGTTTATATACCTATTAAATCAAAAGAAAAATTGAGTGATTCATAATATACTACTGAAAAGACTAATCTATTTACAGAAGATATCTTTGGAGATGGAGAGATAAATGAATTTATTTGGAAATAATCTAAGGATAGTTTTTTAATACATGGTTAAGCTGGATCAGGTAAGAGTACAGCAGCTAGAAAAATAGAGGAATTTCTTTGGATGTTTTATTAAAAGAATAAAAAATAAAGTGATTATATTCCATTAATTCCAATTTTTGTATAATTACCTTAATTAAGAGATCCTGTATATTGTTGTATTGAAGAAACATTAAAATCTGATAATTATAGATTTAATGATAGATAGATATAAGAATTTTAAGAAGCTGTTGAATAACGTAAAATAAAATTAATTATTATAATGGATAGTTATGATGAATTAAAATCAGATTATATAGGATTAAATTTAAATGTTTCAAATAAACTATCAAAATGGAGATGTTAAGCTGATAAAAATAAATTTCCAAAAATAATTACTACTTGTAGAACAGAAATATTTAATATTGCTGGTTATAATACATGGTTTTTATCAGAATCAAATTCACCATCATTTTACAAAGAAGTTAAATTATTAAAATTTAATTAAGAATAATAAAAATTATATATTGATTAATATACATTATTATGTGTTAAGAGAGATATTAGAGAATTTTATTTTAGTAATTATGGTACATAAGATTATTCTGAATATGAAACCTTTTTCACAGATC